GATTTTTAGGAACAGCTAATCCAAAAACAATAAATAAACACATTTCAGTTAAATTTTATTTGTATAGCCCCATATCACAACAGTGGTCGTCTCTCTGAATTCATCAACAATAGATCAGAGAATCAAACAATTAGAACACAGGAAATGCAATAAGACACATAAAGGAGCCGGACCAAAGGGAAGTGGGACCAAATACCTTCATGTTCAAGTGAAAGTGACTGACAGGTTTCTGGGGGTTTGTTCATCATGTGATGGTTTCACTGCATCGTAAATATTTAGTCTTGCATGAATTCATTTCCAGGGGGGTATAGTTTTGTTATTAAGCTGAGCAGTGTGGGCCCTGGTTATTACTGAGACATGATGGGAATGTCACAGAGGACGCCTCATCCCTCCATCACTATACTTTACAGATTTTCTAAACACATTTTCTTTTTTACAAAAACTTGCTATGCCCCAAACTAGAGCCCTCATACTGCAATAATTCTAATCTTCCTCAAACTCAGTCTATGGTGTCTCAGGCCCATCTGCAGGTTTTTATAATATCAGGGGAGTGTTGTGCCCATAGGCGTTCACGGACCAGCTGTGGTCTCAGCAATATTGCTCCACATTTGCATAAATAAGACTTCAGTTCAACTCTACTGCTCTCAATGGGAAGAGCTTTAAAGGGTCTGTATGTAAGATTGACATGTTTTAATAGGATGGACATCTTCTATCCATTCCCCAGGCACAAGATTAAAATGCAAAAATCATATATATGTATTAAAATGTCTTAACCGGTTTAAGATTAAGGATCCCCAGCAACAAGCACTATTTTCTGAATTAGTACATTTGGGAGAGTCCAAAACGTTCTATTTTTGACTACTGTTACTTTTTGTAGGAAAGTCCATCTTCTCTTTGTAGAAGAAATAAATAAAGGTGCTGTATTGTCTGGTATAGAAGAACCAAACACTTATATTTCTGTTTTCTTGACATGTTTGGCTATGTTTGTCTCTTTTTAAAATGTATTTTCTCTGCACGGACACCCCAAAACTACGCCTGTGTTTGAATAAATGTGAGATACAAAAGGTAGAATATTCCTGCCACGGCAATTCAGTTTTAAGAGACAATATGACCTTTATGAAACACATAACAATATTTTCTGAAGTCAAAAGTCTATAGCCGGCGAACAAATAAATGACAGCATGTTTCATAAATAAAAAACGTCTCTTTTATTTGACAGGGAAACATCCTTCGGGACAACAGTTGGTCATTACACAATAGTTAGCAACAATACGTAATGAGGAAGTCCCAAGTGTGTATGTGTGTGTGTGTGGCCCCCCTCCCTCCCCCGTCTGATGCAGGCTCCGCGAGGGCCCCTTATTGCAGACACAGTCCTCCCATGCGTAAGGCTCAGGGGGTCTGGGGTGGGGGGGCCTGGACAATTATCCAAATATTAAGAATCAAAATGGTCAAGGCGTCAAATTTCATGACAGTCTGAAGAATCCTGCCGCCACGTTTTTCTATAGTGTCGTTACAAAAGGGCATTAGAGGCTACTCCTACTTCAAATATACAGCAGTTAATTAGCATCACCATCAACAAGTTTAGAGCGCGACTTAAATAGTGCCAGTTCCCAAGAAAATAGACCTGACGACGTTTCCATTTCCCCCTAAAAAAAATCTGTCCCTGTTACACTGAATGAAACAGGAAACAAGTGGGATTCTGGAATCAAGTTATAAATTCTTCAGAGCCCAGTGCAATTAGGTAGTCGCTCTACAAACGGGAACCTCTGAAAATGCAAATATCAAAATCTCCAAAACATCCAGATCTTTCCCAAAAGATTTTTTTTTTCTTTTAATACAACATGCAATAGTCAAAAGAGTTTCCTCAAAAACAGGGTGGAAAGATCCAGAGAGTACGCAGTCGCGATCTCTGAGTGAACACGGCGATGATGGACGTAGTTCTGACGTGGTTTTATGACTTCTCCTCTCGTGTTGTTTACAGTCTGTGCAGAAGGATGAAGGCGAGACAGCAGCTAAAGCACTTTCAAGGGTATAGTGAGCGCCAATGTGTGTGTGTGTGTGTGTGTGTTTTGAGAGGGGGGGGGGGGGGGGGGGGGGGGGGGCTTTCATGGAGCCTGCTGCCTCCTCATGGTCAGCTCTAGGTGGTCTGCCATGGTCTCCTCAGGTCTCTAAAGGTGGTCTATGATTTGATATTATCTACAGTGTTATGAGTGTGGGCCAGTGATAAAGCCAGTGGTGGAAAAAGTAGGCAAAGCAAGTAAAGTGTAGGCAGAACAAACTTTTTTTGGTACATGACAGTATATGTAAAAATACAAAAGAAATGGCATAAAAGTAAGGCTGAACGGGTATGTTGATTATTGAAATTCAGCAATCATTTGTTGAAGCCTACATAGACTTAAACATGCAGAAAAGAGGTTTTATGACTCGGATAATAATCATGAAATTACATTAAAATGTGTTTACAAAGTCTTTTTAATCAAACAACCTAATGTGGGTCAAGAAATCTCTATGAAGATGTTATCCAGGGGCATCACTGGAGCTTTGTTTTGGTCAAATGTATTAAATAAAAAAACATCAATGAGCTTTTGGGATCTGACCAACTTATCGATTCATGTCCAAACTAAGGCCCGTGGGCCAAATGCGGCCATTTTGTAAGGGCTCTCTGCTGCTTACACAAAGTAGACATTGAACTTTCAGTGTCCAGTTAATTTCAGCTCCTGCTACACATTGTTTAAAGCTCTTTAGAGACTTCAGAATCCAGTCGCTCTCTTTATTTGTATATACTGACATTTGATTTATTCACTCTCAAAACTCCATATAGAACAGGTCCTTTTGTGGCCCTCTTACGGAAAAGGGTTTGGGCACCTGTTGATGACTCATCCACCTAATGGATTATCAAAATACTTTAAAGTGCATTAAAGCCCTAAACTGAAGTCATAATGATGAAGATTTTTAGATTGTTTTAAAGCAAAGATAACAGTTTAGAAATCAACTTAATGTCCATTTAAGTTGGTTAAAACCATTATTGTCGACTAAAAGCCAGATTCAATTTGACTATAAAATGTAAACGTTTGTAATCAAAGTCCAGACAATATGTGTTAAAGATTGTGTTATACAAATGTATATTTTGAGTGGAGAATTAGCATTAGCTGCATAACTTGCTGTAGAATGGCTGCACTGTACCTAGACTAGACTTCAGTCATTTGTGAATAGAATAAAGGCAAGAAAAATGTTGCAAATGAAAATTGACAATTGTGATGACCGACCGGGTTGCAGCTGAACTAAAACACAGCATACTTTTACTTTAGTACTTGCATTCCACCACTGGATAAAGCTCATGGAACTCGATGAACGCGTCTGCTCTCACTGTGCCTGTGTTTCCCGGGCTGCACTACTTTCAACAGCATAAATGATACATACTTCCTATATTTCCTTACAAATATATACTATGACACAGCTAGATAAATAGTGGGATGCCAGTCGCTCATGTCCCTGCACTATACAGGCGCTGTGTGGTCTTGTGGAATATGGTGTATTGTCAAAAGCACTTTGGTTTTGCTCAGAGTATGAGCACCTGTGCACGTGAGCGGAGTGTAAGACGCCGTCCCAGCAGCTGCCTTTGGAGAGGGGGTTCTGGACTGAGAGTCGCGAGGCTGCTTGTCCTCATGCACCCACAGGACCATACAAATTGTGCTGTGTTAGGATAAAGGTATGGCTTGTTCGAAGACATTCCCTCACTCACACACACGACACGGATGATGGCGGACTGGTGGGAAAGCGCGGCGGTCATGCATGCGAAAGGGTACGTGGGGGATGAGCAGTTGTACATGTGTGTACCGGCAGGGGTCCCCGCAACGCTGCCTGCACATGTACAGTACCTATATCACACACAGTAGTCTACCGCTCACAGCTAAATGTAGCGTCCAGGTAATATGTTTCCACAAGTATAGGATTATTATTGCACTCTGGCTACACATATTCAATAGTTTGGTTGTCTTAAGATGTACAAAAACACAAACATGATCCGACCTACAGCAGCTTTAGAGAGAGGCCCAGTGATATCAATACAGCCAATGCCAAAAGGGGAAAATCTCATGCGTTATAATCCGTGGTCCAAACATTGCGATCCAAATTACCTCTGTGGTATTATTAATCTAACATTATGGGATTAAGGGGGGGTATTTTTGCTTCACTGAGCCTGCATCTCCCGTCTAAGAGCATACAGGAAGGGGACAGTACAGCTACAGACAACACCCCTGCTTGTCCTCTGCTTTTTTAAATATAGAAAAATAAAAGCCTTCTCATAAACCTCAGCTCTCCTATCTGAGAGACTTCTACTGCTTTTTAAAAATGCAACATACATTCACGTAAGGACAACAGAGGATTAACAAGCAACTTGAAATTCAAATTTGTGTGCAAAAACATGTTAGATTTCTATAAAAATATGTGCATATGGATAGAGCTATTTTAAATCTCACAGAATACAGTATTTTCTCTTATTTACACTACACAGACACAGATACAGACACACAGTCTACAGCTGTGCCCTGCTCTCTCTCTGTGGTCCAAATGCTCCTGCTCTGATCAATGTGATCCAGCAGAACTCCTGTAGGACGCCTCAAAGTTGCATATCCCACATTTCCCCCACGCTGCCCATAAAATGTCATCGATTTTCAGCCAGACGCTGCTTCCTGATTGGCTCACGTGGGGAGAGACAGTGTGTCTAGATAAAAAAAAACACAAGAAAAGCAATACAAATGAAAACTTTGGCTACGGAGTTAGGTGGCTTCAGTTCTGGTGCAAACTTATTAGCGTTACTCCAAATTGCACCGTATACAGTGGATGCTGTCACCAGTACAGCATTAGTGGTTTTGTAATCCTGCAAAATCCATCTCCTTATAAAAACATGTTCATGTTCAAGTCCCTGTCAAAACACATGTCAATGTTGTGTGGTCACATGACGTCAGAGGTGAGTATACTTCCTGAAGTCACCGCTCTGTTCACTGAGCAGTCCTGCGGTTCTTGGCACTGAAGCCCGGGCTGCTCCTCAGTCTGTTGTCAAAAGGAGAGGTGCATGCTGGGCCGTCGCTGTCTGACAGGCCGGGCTGCAGGCCGCTCATGTAGTGAGTCTGCGGCTGATCGAAGGTGAACTGTGGGAGAGCGCTGTAGTCCCCCGGGTGAGGAGAGTGACGTGGGGAGGGGCTCTGACTGCAGGGCCTGGCCCCCAGGGGCGCTCTGGGCTGGATGAAAATGTTTGGGCTGATGGGGATGTGCGGCATACCGTGAGGAGGGGTGAGGGACGGGCTGAGGGTGGGGCCTGCAGAGGGCGCCAGAGTGTGGCTTGGAGAATGCACTCGTAGAGGTCTGTGTACGGGGGTGAGCGGGGTCAGGGGGGTTAGCGGGGTCTGTGTGTCCGCACATGGCTCCTGTGACAGTGTGTGAGGGCTGAGGTCGTACGATGGCGTTCTCCTCCGCAGCAGGCTGCTGCAGTCGGACAGATTGGGGGGAGAGCCGGGGTGAGGAGGGGGATGGATGGAGATGCACGGGGGACTCATCTTCTTCTTCCTGTGGCCCCCTCCCACAGACTGCACTCGCACAGGGACCCTCTCTGGCCGCTGCCTCGGCTCCGGGGCCTCGTCACTGGTGAAGACGAGCTGAGGGAGGCACACCTCGATGGAGTGTCGCCGCTGGTCATCAGGGAGACCGGCGGACAGCGTTTTACCCAGCATACACTGGGGGTCGGTGCTGAAGCCCTTCTGCAGGTGACACTCTGTTGAGGCAGCGATCAGACTGAGCGCGCTCCGTGAGGCCAAGCCGAGGGCGGGGTCCGGAGCAGTGGGGCCAGAGTCGTGACAGAAAGGAGGTGCGTAAGGAGACAGAGAGAGGCTCCTACAGGAGGTCACTTTGTGCTCAGGCCCCTCCCCCCACTGACCACACGCAGCACTGGTGATGTGGCACACCTCCTCGTCCGTAGGGTCTCGAGGCTCCAGCGAGGGTCGGGCTCGCCGCAGGCTGGGGGGCCGCAGGGGGAGGCGAGGTGAGGGCGGGGGAGGCAGGAGTCGAGCGGGGGAGCAGGGGGGAGGAGGGAGGGCAGAGCACAGCAGAGGTGAGGGAGGGGGGAGGGACAGAGAGGAGGGTGAGGGAGGGGCCAGAGCTGAGGGGGAGGAGGGGGGAGGAGGCGGGAGGGCACAGGGAGAAGCTGGCTGAGGGAGCGGAGGGGGCACACGCCGAGGGTTGGGTCTGCCCTGTTGCTCAGAGCTTTGGAACTCCACTGAGTCCACTTTGACCGCCACCTGCAACCACAGGAACCACAGGAACCACAGGAGCACAGGGTTAGGGCCAGTAAGGTCACGCTGAATAAGTAAAAACATACACATGATTTATTATTTGATGGTGTCACAAAAAAAGCTCACTTTTAATCTTAAAAAAGCAAAGGTTGTCCCTATGGCCTTCAAGTGCTCTCATCTCTTCAATGTCCTTTTGTGATTTGTTTTGTTACACTGTCTTTGTAAAGTGTATTAAGTTGCAAGCCTGAAATGTGCCATTTAAATCAAATGTCTCCTTGGTGATCTCAAGCCAGATTCCATCAAACCTCCAAGCAGGGCAGGGCCTGGTTGATACTGTGATGGGAGACCTCTGGAAGCACCTGGTGCCACAGTGGGGCAGCTGCTCCTCTAAAGTAAACTGTTGTTGTGCCTTAGACAAGACATTTCACCCACATTGCCTAGAAGGGGTCTAGCGTGTGTGTGAATGGTTGGTGGTGGTCGGAGGGGGCGATAGCACATACTGGTTGTCTTGCTTCTGTCAGTCTGCCCCAGGACAGCTGTGGCAACAGTAGTAGTTTATCACCACCGTGTACAGAGTGAATGAACAATGCCATGTGAAGCATCTTTGTCCATAAAACCAAAGTATAATTCATTTTTATTATAATTATTCTATGTACAAGTAAAAATGATCCTTTAATACACCCTTTCAAATTCCACAGATTAGACAAACTTCTAAACTGCTAAAAACTTTACTTTATTGTAGTACTATCTATACTATTCTGGTGTTTCCAGGCACATTATCATGTTCTTACAAACTCAAGAAAACAAATAAAAAAAAGAAGTAAAGCCAATCTAGAAATTGTAACATTACAAGAAACATCACATGAAACATGACACATGCAGCATCAGGCCCTCACCTGTCTGCGCAGGGCTCTGTGCTCTGGGCTGGGGGTGGGCGGGGCGATGCGGGGCGGGGCCACAGGGGGGCTGGGCTGGTGGATGGGGGATATGTCGGGGACCTGTAGCAGAGAGCGCCTCTCACACGGCTGGGAGTGGACCGACGTCACCGAACCTGACAGCAGAGAGCAACGTCGGATCAGCAGGTTTTAAAGACTCTACAAAGCAACATGTTTGGTCACAGAGGTGGGTAGTGCTGCCGTTTCATACTTTGTACTTTTCAAACGCCAAATGGTTAGTCCTACTACATCTGACATAGAGTCTAAATGTACTCCCATATTACACTGTCGATATTATACAAAATAAGTAAATAATATAATATCTTGATAACTCTTCCAACTATGGACAAAAGCTTGATGTTGACAATTTGAATTGATTTGTTTCTTGCTCTGCTCCTTCAGATGTTGTAGTAGTGTGTAGTGTTTATCATTGTAGTTCCTTATCCAGATAGTGTGACTTATTTCGCACTTTGTTCAATAATCAATTAATTTAGAGATGGATTCATAGTTTTTTAACCTCATATATGCCGAGTTTTAAGACACAGATCATTCTTTAATATTTTGCTAAACAAAATGAATCCAGGGGTTTCACCAGCTTTGTTTTAGTCAAATCCCCCAAATTCCCATACTCCACTGACCTTTCATGATCTAAACCAGTGGTTCCCAACCTGGACAACCTCTAAACAACTGTGTAAACAATCTTTCACATACCCCAGGTGTCAAACTCATCTTGGTCACTGCTGCATTAAAAAACTAACCTACAGCACCGGCTGATGATTGATTTTTGTTATAAATGAATTTAAGACTGTTCTAAATAAATTGAGTGATTTGGACTGTGTCAATACTGTACCCTGAAGAAAGTCTTGTGTAAAAGACCTAGCATCTTTCATCACATTATGGGTTTGATGTTTATAATTCAATGAAATACATGGTTGTTTTAGTGAGAATTTTAGCATTAAACAGATGTATAGCATGTCACAAATGTCTCTCATAGCCTATAGAGCTTACTGTTTGTACAATACCATCTACCCTCATGTACCCCTTGGTACACAAATGTACAGTACTTCTACACTTTACATAGTACACAGTGGGACAACGGATGCAAATTAGCCCATGGCCACAATCCGGAGTGATGTGTTCATTAACATGTACTGTCCCAACCAAATAAATAAATAAATAAATACATTTATGTCACTACTTTGGTAGAGTCTGTGGTTACTCCACCCACCTCTAAGTATGAGGGAAATCCTGTAAGTTTCAGTCTGCTGTAAACAATAAGGTTTGAACAGGGTTGACAGTAGAGGAGAGTTAGTTCTACACAATGCTGCATGTAGCAAACATCTCATACATGCGTCTAGAGCACATGCATGGCCAAAGGGTCAATGTCCATTTTCTGTTCCAGAGCCAACACTTTATCTTGACTTTATAATACAAGTCTAATTATTACACTGAACAGATTCAGATTCCGTTTATTTGCCATTTGCAGCATAACCACATTGGAAAAACTGTGCACAACGATCCCAGTATGCACCAGAGTACACACCGGAGTACACACCAGAACTATTCTATCAATTATATAGAAACGACTCAATTGTATTATCGAAATGAAGTGTTGTGTTTTCAACAACAAAAAACACTCTGGTTAAAATAAAATGTACTCTTTAGGTGTTCTATGCAACTTTGTTGGTGATGGGAAACAAGCACGTGTCTATAAAGCCTGGTTTGGCCTCTCGCTGACAGTAGGAAAAAAGGAAATGCATGCACAGGTGAAACTCAGAAAATTTGAATATTGTTCCAAAATGAGTTTGTTTCTTTAAAGCAGCTTACAAACCAATACATTTGGCCTTGCACCAAAGTACATCTGTGACATTTATTTTGCCAGGTTAAAAACAGTGTACAACCTGTGTACACAACTGAAGGATTGCATCTTCACTCTTTTTAATGTTCTGTGATTTATTTTTTATTCTAATGCCTTGTGTGATTTTCTCTACCTTGTTTTGTGAAGCACCTTATGTATGAACTGTGCTATACAAAATAAACTTGCCTTACCTATGATGTTGATGGATATGGCTTGCAGATCATTTTGATATTGCCTTTAGGATTTTTTTTTTTTTACAAGCTGTGAGACAATTATCAACACGACAAATAAGGCTCGGTATATGGGACTTTACTGTCTCAGAAATTAGTTATATGTGTTGAATTTACAAGTATATAAGTATACATTATTCCAATTGTCTAAGTTTCACCTGCAAAAAATACAAAAATTGAAAAACAAAAGTGCTAAAACCCATCGTAAAAGCAACATAGCACATCTTTAAAGAGACATTTGAGTATGCACTTTCGATGCTGACGTTTTCTACTATATTGTAACCAGGATCTCCAAGCAGCATTCACAGACCAGCATGTGCAGCTTCTATGCAACTATGTCAGAAAGAGGAGGAAAAGGTCATTTCAAACTTCTTAGCGCTTGAGACTCAAATTGCAAAGCCACCGATGGTTCAGGCCAGTTCCACTTCAAAAGCAGTTGCAGAGATCAGTGGTCTGGTTTTTGCTGTTTTGTTTTTGTAGGTGTTTTTGGCTGTGGCTTTGCAGTTGGGCTCGTGTTGCTGGGTTTGGGCAGATGAGTTGTGTGAAGGCAGCTGCTTTTCACTTGTTTCAGCTCATCCACTGCTGTAGTACCTTTGACAGAGCCGTCTGCATGTGCCTACAGTGTGACTGCACACAGAATCAATCAATCACATATATGTACTTTGTAGACAAAGTACATAAGTACAAAACAACAAGGCAATTGAAAATAAACATAGAATAGGTCTTATTATGGTCCGACCCCTCTCACTCATTCACCGCACACAAACACACACAGAAACACAAACGCTCTGACCCTACACCCCTCTCCCATCTCTCTCTCTGAAGTTGCCAATCTCTCTCCTCGACGTACTCCTTCAGTGTTTCCTTTTTTTAAATTTTTTTTATTTTTAGAAGTGCGTTTGGAGCAGGGTTAGGGCCAACCCATTACTCACTTTTTTTGACCACATTCACTATTTTTTTATGATGTGAATATGAACTCATTAGAGATTCAATACACAATGAAACATGCAATTAATCGGTCCATAGTTACTGTATGTTGAAGTTGGATCTAAATGGGAATATCGGTTGTACATGTACTTGAAAGTTTGCACACCCAGCCAGAGATTTCTATGTTTTGACCATTATTTTTAGACTATGAATTATAATACAAAAATGTTTATCGCAGGGGCTATAATTTACAAATGATGAGATCCCATGCAAGGCGGCCCAGGAAAATACAGGAACTAGACGCTTGTTGCTATTAGAAGAATGAGCAGCTTTACCATCAGAGAGGATACAGAACTTCATCCACAAGTACCATAAAATATTCAGCGCTATGACTGATGTTAAACGGACAATACACAATTATTAGAACAGGGGGGGGAGACTTCTGATCAGGTTCAGAATAGGAGTTCCGGTCGTCATTATAATTTGAAAATGCCCAAAATGTTTATGTGAGAATAAATGGCTTCACACAACCACTTACAATGAGTGAAGTTTTTACGTCATCATTCATAATCTCTGAGATATGGCAAAAAATATATATATTTTCTGCCTGAATGCGCAAACTTTCAAGCAATAATTTATATCAAGGATTGTCAATGCTCCACCGTATGGCATTCAAATCTCAAGCACTCCTAAGACACCCCTTTTAAATATGAATCCAATCTAAAGAAAAGTCTGATGAGGCATTAAAAACACACAAGCTATGGTTAGTCAAGCTGTTTCCATCAAAAACTCTACTCTGTGGAAAATAATGCACAGATCTGCAAATGTTTAATTATTTTTCATTTTAGAATTATTATTGCCATGTGCAGAACAAAGAACAGGCAGTCAATAAACCAACAAGACATAATTATGAATAAAAAAGGAAAGAGGGACAAGGTCTATTTCATATGTTGGAACGTTCTACGATCAGTAAGTTAGTCTATAAGTCATGAAGTGCCTAAAGTGCTTTGTACCTGTGTGTGGGGGACTGTGCTCCACCTCCTCCAGAGGGTAGGGGGCGCTGGCCGGGCGCACGGGTCTGAACATGTAGCTGTCGTTGGGCAGAGAGTGCATCCTGGATACGGACATCTTTGTGGAGGAGGGGTCCTGCTGCTTGTACTGCTGCTCCTCCTCCTGCAGGGGGAGACACAGACCACAGCAGCACACACATAGCTTCAGTGTTATTCTGCTCCAGACGCTGCTCAGTATTATACAATCAGGGCCAATCACAGTTGTTTCTCTGCATAGTGAATTAAGTAATTGATTCCAAACTGCAATATTTAGATAAAATAGGTGCCGAGGTATGGTATAATAGGACACAAAAACAATACTTTTTTCAGATTTATGGGGCAAAAAACAGAAATCAGTCTGCCTAAAAATGTAATTACAGCTCACATGCACAGCTATTGTTTAGCTGTGCAAACTACTGAAAGATTTGCGCTCTTTTGTATTATGTCTTTATTGTATTTATGATTTGAATCTTTCTTTTCTTGTGTTATAAAACTCGTTGCCCTGTGTATGAATCGTGCTATACCAATAAACTTTCCTTGCTATGACAATTCAAATGAAGGAAAAACAGTTATCATGTTAGAGCCTCTCTGGTTTGCCGACCCCACTGCGGTCACCCTGGTTGAACATTTTTACATTTAACATTTTCAATCCATGTTTTTTTAGAATAATGTATGATCTGCATTTGCTGTTCCCTGAGCTCTGGTCCATCAGAGCAATGAGGAGGAGAGGTGTAGTTGTGGTTACACCTGACCTCAATTTAAACTGTGCTCACAAATGAGATCTAAAAAGCCTAATTACATGTTCAAATTTTTGTCAACAAAATGTACAGAAAAAGTATTTATAATGAAAAAAATAAATCTCCCCAGTCACAGAAATGTGAATGTATGCAGTACACAAACAGGAGTGAGTGTACAGAATAAAAATTACATATTATTAACAAAGCTGAAGGCTCAGTATATAAAGATAATTGAGATGTTTACTATACAATAACTTTCTTACCGTGGTCCCTCACGATAATGCGGTTAAAAGATCTACGAAAGCCTCGCTCTTTTGTACTGTAAATTATTCAAAGCGTAATCTTGTCAAGTTAATTTTAAAACGTAACCCTTGCGATAAACAATGGATATCATGGTACTGTATTATAAGTTGAAGTCCATAAGCAACTCTGTGTACCTCTTCTGGAGAGTTGGGACAGGGGCCGATGTAGGTCCCGCCCACTGAGCTGCTGTTGGACCCTGTGCTCGCTCGCCGCTGGTTCTCTAGGGCCATCTCCAGTTCAATTTCAGCGTCAATCTCCGCGTCTTCCTTAGCCTCCTGCAAAAGACGTGCAAAAAATTACACCAGGAAACTGCCCACCTCAACATACTGTATTTCACTCTGTTCGTGTTTGATTGTTTGAATATAATAAGGCATTGCGAAGGTAAAACTAAAACTTATTTAAACACTTAGAAAATAATATCCTCTCCAATATGTTGTATTTATTGTTGTAGGACTGTATTTCCTAGGGCAGCTGCCAAAAAAACTCTAGGGGAATGAAGTAATTTTGGATTTAATAGTTGAAAAGAAAATGTCAAAAGTTTTTCCCAATCCTTATTTGATAGTGATTATTTTGACAAACCTGTCATCACTCTTATGTCTGACAGTCCTTTCCACTGGCCAACATAAGATAAAAAAAACTTTATTGATCTTACATACTAGACATTTACAAAGACATCTTTTTTGAATATTGTCAAAAATAATCTGTGCAACTTTGTGACATTTTTTGTTTCATGTGGATTGGCCCAGGAGTTACAGAGAAATCACCTCTAAATCTTGGCAGTTACCATAGTTACCAGGAAAGCTTATTCAGGTGCCACCATATATGTATAACCATGGGCCATTTGGAATGTTGTGATATCACATGAACCCCAATACTACTAATATTTGGCCATACCTTGTTGCTTTCCTCCAGGTGCTTCATTAAAACAGCCACCACCACGTTGACCAGGACAAACTGAGCCATGAGCACGAAGGTGACGAAGTAGATGGGCGAGACCAGGGGCAGGTAGGTCATGCAGTGTTTGTCTTCAGGGCGACATTCCCGCAGCGTGTCCTGAGCAGACGAGAACCACGGTTTAGGAAAGAGACACAGACTTCAATCAACTTTAACATATGCACTGTGTAGATCCGTGTTTTTCAACCACTGTGCCGTTATATGGTGCCTTGAGATGTTGTTTGGTGAGCCTTTGGAAATGATCTGCCTCATTCCGCCACTTCTGCCTCATTAGTCAAAATAATGGGAAAAGAAAATATTGTGAGAAAAAAAATGCGCTTGTATGATTTTCTATATAAAACACTTTGATGAGAATTACTTTGTTAATGAGGATTTTATTTTTTATTTTTTCAGTTTAAAATGCTGGTGTGCTATGTGATTGTTTTAAATGAATGAGGCCACACTGTTTGATACCTTTTGATTCTTCTAATAGGCAAGGCAAGGCTTATTTGTAAAGCACAGTATACAGAGTCACATGGTTCGTATAGTGAAACAGTTAAAATAAATCAAAAAGTGCTACAGAAATGTCAAATTGTATCAAGTGTCTGAAACTAGTTTTAGTATTTATTCATATCCGATGTACGATACTTTTGACAACCCTACAAACAGGACAGTATGTAACATTTCCTGAGCAACATTCTTTTTCTAATTCCATACTCTATCTACAGAACTAACAGCCTAAAATCAGCCTAAAGACACAACTCAAAGATCATCAGCTGTGCAGTCTAAGGCAGGGTGCTTGCGCTTTTTCCAAATTAAAATTCCAGACTTCTTTAAAACTGATATTTTTTCTTCCCCAAGACCTTAACTTTATGTACTTGTATACTTGTGTGCCTACTTCCTTTGAAAACACGCAACGACCCATTTCTGTTGACCACTAGGCTAGCTATGTGTCAATAGACCTCAGTAGTGACATCACAAAAATGTGCCAGACTAGGCTAAACAAGCGCTGAGTGGATATGATTCCATCAGGCGAATACAGTACGTTTCCAGTTAGTAAAATTATAGTTGTATAGCCTACCTTCCTACTTTTCATTTCACAATGCCTTTGAGCATACTGTACCGAATTCTACCACACATTTTTCTCTCCATACTTTACTTATTAAGATTTAAAGACTTGCGCAAGCACCCTGTAAAGGCATTTTGTTAATAATTGTGTGTTGTATGTATTGTATCTATTTTTTGTTTAGGGCTATTCTACCTGTACTTTAAATGCTAATTAGGCCATATATTTATACATTTTTTGCACACTGTAAATCTGCTGATATTTTGCCTCTATCAAGGGATAATGGCTGAAAATGTGTGAGTACTATACATCTGGTCTACTGTATATTGTCCCTAATGACAACTAAATAAATAAAAGAACAAACTAGGTCTGAATGTGATGAGAGAGTGAACGAATGGTGACAATAGAAGGCTTCTCGCCTCTGTTATCACCGTTTGTGGAGTGAATGGACTTTATCAGCCCTCCAAAACAATGTAAATTGCTTTGTGTGACCTTGGTCTGTGAAATGTTCTATATGAATAAAAATGTCTTACTTACTTATATTTATATATTAAATTATAAATTATAGCTCAAGAAAGTGAATTATCCTGTTTTAAATTTTTGCATAGCAATGATAATAAAATAATAATAATGTATCGGTTTTAAGGACACTTAAAGACAGCTTAATATGTCAATAATCTTTCACTCCATACACGGTGGTTTTAAACTTCTACGGTAGCGACAGCTGCCCTGGGGCACACAGACAGAAGCAAGGCAACCAGTTTGAGCCATCGGTCCATTCGACCACCACCAACCATTCACACACACACCAGACTCATTCTAGGCAATGGGGGTGAAGTGAAGGATTCACAAAGTTTGGCACTTTACAGCCGCCCCACTGTGGCACCTGGCATTGATGGCATTGAAATTGGTATCGAGTCTAATCATTAAAATTGAAATCCAAGTTTGAAACGTCCCATACACAAGGACTTGCCAGACTCTCCACCAGAAAAGTAGTGCATGATACAGTCCTATTCATCAAGAGGAGATCCTTTATTTATTCCATATCTGTGGTCTGTTTTATGTCACTGTGGCCTGACAAAATCTGAATTTGTTTCCGCTGTGATCCTGCTCACGGTCTTTGATATCCCCTGTTCATGAACGCGAGAGTGCAAACAAAGCTAAGCCTCTTAATGACGGAATAATTGGTTTTGGAGGTCATGGAGGTCTCTGTGGCTCGGGGGATAATCTTTGCTGTCATTTCTGCCTGCAAATACAGTATATGTGTATGTGTACGTGTGTGTATGTGTGTGTTTGTGTGTGTGCGTATGCATACTTTCATAATCCCGTTCCAGTTGTCTCCCGTGGACACCCGGAACAGTGTCAGGAACGCCATGCCGAAATTCTCGAAGGTGGCATGTCGGCTCAGCCCCTCGCACGGGTTATATTCGTTACACTCTGCAAGATAAACAAAAACAGTGAGGACAGATGTGGTGACAGTGTAGAACGCAGTAGAAATGTAAACACAGAGGAAGAACGTGTGTGTGTATGTGTGTGTGTGTGAGCCTGGAAGGGGGGCGGGCCACTTAAAAACCTTTCCAGAGTGATTTTTGTGTGTGATTGTAAACAGTTATCAACTCAATCGAGTCAAACACATCAAAGAAAATTGTAGATATTGCATGACTTATTTATTAAAGCTGGGGTACCTAACTTTAAAACAACTACATTGAACTAGGTAATACAACACGTGTAATTGCTTGCTGTCAAAATTGTTTTCACACAAGCGTTTGTTTAGGCCGCTGTCACATCAACTTTTTCAGACAGAAAAGTGAAAAAGGACAACTCTCGCTCAGCCAATCAGCTCGAAGCATTGGGTTCATTATTATGCAAAAGACACAGCGTCCACGTAATGGGCGTATTTGTTCCAACAACATTTGACTTTTACAAGACCGTTTCTGCTGGGAAAAACTATATGTAATATTTATGAAACAATAAAAGTTAGGTACCCCAGCTTTAAAGGTTTACAGTGTGAAAGTGTAATGGAATCTGACAAAACAAATACCTTTTGTTCTGATGTATTGGTCCACATTATTTATATAGTGTGGATGTATTTTGTATATTATTCATTCACAGTAAACTATTAAATGATAAAAAACATATACAAATGATCAGACATAATTCATTGTATTGAGCTCGTTTCCCTATTCACCTGCTGCCAAATCTCTATATACATTTTATGCATAAAATATTGTGTGTAAAGACAGCAGAGGATTGATTTGATTCTATTTTAGTTTTTTTTTTTAAGTTTATGTTTCTCACAAAATTATCTTCTCAAACACCACACTGGTGTAAAAATATGAAAGCTATGACTTCTCTAACACTCCTAACAAAAGCAGATTCACAACTATGCCCACACTATGCTGGTCTGATCCGGCTGAGATCCTTATTTCCTTTCCCCCCCTTTATAATAAATGCATTGAACCCTTCTATACTTGTTTGTGAGCGTGTGTGCATTTCTGTTTCTGTTGCTCTCTCAGACTGACCCAGTTTTCCGAACAGCTCCACTCCGAGCGCAGCGTAGATGAAGAACAGCAGCATAAAGAGAAGGCCGAGATTTCCCACCTACAAGCAGCAAACGTGTTAATAACATCCGTTGTGCAGCCTGTGTTAATCTCTGTACAGGATGTAAACATTCAGGTCTCTAGGGAAACGAGCGCATTAAAGCTCATTATGTTGGTTTCATTCTCTTTAACATGACTCGCACCCGCAAAGTCTGCACCTGTTATTACACTTGTGAGTTTCTAGCAAGGCTACTTTTAGGTTTATTGTGGGTACAGTACTTAAATAAATAAATCTCTCTACCAGTTTTTTTTTTTTGTTAAACTGGTAGAGCTATAGAGATGCACCCAATACATGCACTTTTATTTTGTTAGAATACTCGATCAACTGTTGATCCAGAGCTGATCACATTCCAGTGCTGAAAGTTCTACACATTCCTACTTCCCAGTGTGTTCATGTGAACAGCAGAGACACAAGGAAGAACGGGGAAATACCCAGGACGAGTTTTTATGTGATTAGGGCTATAGTCAAAGCAGAGTTTATGATTGTATAGTTTTGGCTCAAAGTCTTAGTAAGGATCATAGAATAAATATATTGTTATCCATTGTTTTGTCATTGTCCCTTCAGTTCTACTAACATCAGTCTGCCGAGCCCCAACATGTAGCTGTTAGCTAGGGTTATAATGGAATAGATTTTACAGATGAAAAAATATAATGTCAATCACAGAGAAGCAGGAGTAATTGGACAATCTTTAATATTTTCTTCAATTATTTATGTTGGCATGTGAAGACTGGTTTGCCTGGATTTATTTTGGCATGGGCAAAGGAAAGTACATTGTTGAAGATGTTACTTAAACAAAAAAATGATGAGAATACATAAGAAGTTAACAAGTACAGGCTTTATAATAATGATTTCAAAAACACTTATATGAACATGCTTCACCTGGCATTATTCATTCACTCTGTACACAGTGGTGATAAACTACAACACTAGCCACAGCTGCCCTGGGACCAGTATGTGCCATTGGCCCCTCCGACCGCCACATACCATTCACGCACACACAGGAAATTTAGGTTAGATGTTTAATGTTAAAGTCGCAATATAGATTTGTATGTCAAGGCATCATTAAATTACCCTAATATGTCAAAAGACACAAATAAACCATCCTTTTCTTTAATTCTTCTTTAACTGATAACAGTAGTTCAGCAGAGATGTTCAAATTTCTAAATTAGTTCCACAGCCCCTAAATCTTATTATTGTTATCATTCCGATGTCCCGCCCTCCATCGTTTTACCAATCAGAAAGGCCGTGATCTGGTGTCAGGCCGCAGTACTAAAAAGATCTCTTTATGATTCTCAAATCATTAATGACAAAACAAGGAACAAAACTAAGATTTCCATCAGGGTCTTTGTGAAAAAGTTGTTGGTTATAGATTTGTTGTTGACAAAACTCTTGTCTATTTAGATATTATGGTCCCAGCGCAATTCATCTGCATATCTGGCAACCAGAGTCAGGGAGAGTGCAGTACCACTTTTGGCCAGATTTGTACATTTTGCTCCTTTGATCAAGCCTGTGGACACAACAACAGTTTCAAACTTTACAGCCACAGGTAGGCCACTGTGTACCTGATGTTCCCAGAGGTCTCCCATCACAGTTCTAACCAAACCCTACTCTGCTTTGCTTCAGATGTCTGACAGGATCTGGCGTTCACAGGCAGGTGAAGGCCCCAAAGAGCAGCAACAATGTATTTTATTGAAATATATGCAGGAGAACTTGCATACAGGTTTTTGCTTTCCAAGGAACACTGGTTTTAACAAACCATGTATTTACTATTCATTTTTCATACTGAAGGTGGCAAAAAGTGAATATTTGCAGGGTATTATTCTGCACCTTTACTTTGCTTTAGCATACATTTGACTTAAAAATAAATACCCACAAAGCCGCTGACATTTGAGCAGGAGCAGAAAAGCTTAAACTCATTTTGGGGTCAATGTTTGTGATGTAGAAGGATATGACACAAGCTAAAAATGTAACGGGCCGCATGAATATTGAATACGGTGACATTCTGAGCAAACATAATCCACAACAGAGCATGAATAAAACACCGCTCTCGTCTCTGATTGTTTACCTGGGGGAGCGCCTGCATGACGGTGTCCAGCAGAGATCTCATCCCTTTAGCCATTTTTAGAAGCTTCAGCACTGGAAACACACAGAGGGACAAATACACACAATGACAATCAGGACAGATTTTACCCTACTGATAATGTACTGATGATGTGTTGTTGCAATAGTAATCCTGCTACTCTGGGCGAGTTTCAAGGTATTTCCAACAGGTTTGACTTTTATACAACATACAGTATGATTTAAAAAACAACAGGTGACAGAAAAATTATAATTGAATGCTGTAATAGTGACTTTAATGTTCTTATAATTCACTTAAAGGGCACTTATAGCAACAAGTCACCATTTCACCATAAATAAAATTGAGAATTTAAAATAAAAAATTCACTTAATGCTTAAAGATGTCTATGACTGAAATATGTATCGCCCTGTTTCTACCGGCCCTCTTTAACTGCTACTATCGGACATTTTAAGTACCTGCTTGGCCCTGGTTCTATCCAAGCTGAGCTGGTACAAAGATGCAGATACTGTTTTGTTGTAGGTAGATACATCCATCCATCCATCCATTTTCTTCCGCTTTATCCGTTGCCGGGTCGCGGGGGCAGCAGTCTAAGCAGAGACGCCCAGACTTCCCTATCCACACACACTTCCTCCAGCTCGTCCGGGGGGACCCCAAGGCGTTCCCAGGCCAGCTGAGAGACATAGTCCCTCCAGCGTGTCCTAGGTCTTCCGCGGGGACTCCTCCCGGTGGGACGTGCCCGGAACACCTCCCCAGGGAGGCGTCCAGGAGGCATCCGGAACAGATGCCCGAGCCACCTCAACTGGTTCCTCTCGACATGGAGAAGCAGCGGCTCTACTCAGAGCTCCTCCCGTGTGACTGAGCTCCTCACCCTATCTCTAAGGGAGCGCCCAGCCACTCTGCGGAGGAAGCTCATTTCGACCGCTTGTATCCGCGATCTCGTTCTTTCGGTCATTACCCAAAGCTCATGACCATAGGTGAGGGAGGGGACGAAGATTGACCGGTGTATCGAGAGCTTTGCCTTTCGGCTCAGCTCCCTCTTTACCACAACGGTCCGATACAGCGACCGCATCACTGCGCACGCTGCACCGATCCGCCTGTCAATCTCACGCTCCATTCTTCCCTCACTCGTGAACAAGACCCCGAGATACTTGAACTCCTCCACTTGAGGAAGGACCTCTCCACCCACCTGTAGAGGGCAAGGCACCTTTTTCCGGTCGAGCACCATGGCCTCGGATTTGGAGGTGCTGATTCTCATCCCAGCCGCTTCACACTCGGCTGCAAACCGCTCCAGTGCATGTTGTAGGTCCTGGTTCGTTGGAGCCAACAGGACAACATCGTCCGCAAACAGCAGAGATGAAATCCTGTGGTCTCCGAACCGGACCCCCTCCGACCCCTGGCTGCGCCTAGATATTCTGTCCATAAATACAGTGAACAGAACCGGTGACAAAGGGCAGCCCTGTCGGAGGCCAACATTCACCGGGAACAGGTCTGACTTACTGCCGGCAATGCGAACACAGCTCTGGCTCCGGTCATACAGGGATCGGATGGCCCTCAACAGAGGACCCCCGACCCCGTACTCCCGGAGAACCCCCCAAAGGACACCCCGGGGAACATAGTCGAACGCCTTCTCCAAATCCACAAAGCACATGTGGACAGGTTGGGCGAACTCCCATGAACCCTCGAGTATCCGATGGAGAGTATAGAGCTGGTCCAGTGTTCCGCGACCGGGACGAAAACCACACTGCCCCTCCTGGATCCGAGATTCGACCATCGGCCGTAGCCTCCTCTCCAGTACCTTGGAGTAGACCTTACCGGGGAGGCTGAGGAGTGTGATCCCTCGATAATTGGAACACACCCTCCGGTCCCCCTTCTTGTAGAGAGGGACCACCACCCCGGTCTGCCACTCCATTGGCACTGCCCCCGATCGCCACGCGATGTTGCAGAGACGTGTCAGCCAAGACAGTCCTACAACATCCAGAGACTTTAGATAATCAGGGCGGATCTCATCCACACCCGGAGCCTTGCCACCATGGAGGCTACCAACCACCTTGGTGACCTCAGCCAGGGAGATGGATGTATCCGCCCCAACATCCTCAGCCTCTGCCTCTGTAACAGAGGACGTGACGGGGGGATTGAGGAGAACCTCAAAGTATTCCTTCCACCGCCCGACAATATCCCCAGTCGAGGTCAGCAGCTCCCCACCCGCACCGTACATGGTGCTGGCAAAGAACTGCTTCCCCCTCCTGAGGCGCCGGATGGTTTGCCAGAATCTCTTCGAGGCCGACCGATAGTCATGCTCCATGGACACTCCGAACTCCTCCCAGTCCCGGGTTTTTGCCTCTGCAACAGCCCGGGCCGCGGCACGCTTGGCCTGCCGGTACTGGACAGCTGCCTCAGGAGTCCCCCGAACCATCATGGCTCGATAGGACTCCTTCTTCAGCCTGACAGCATCCCTTACTGCCGGTGTCCACCACCGGGTTCGGGGGTTGCCGCCGGGACCAGCACCAGAGACCTTGCGACCACAGCTACGAGCCGCCGCATCGGCGATTGAGGCAGAGAACATGGTCCACTCGGACTCCATGTCCCCCTCCTCCGCCGGGACCTGGGAGAAACTCTCCCGGAGGTGTGAGTTGAAAGTCCGTCTGACAGGGGGCTCAGCGAGACGTTCCCAGCAGACCCTCACTATACGCTTGGGTCTGCCAGGTCTGACCGGCTTCTTCCCCTGCCAGCGGATCCAACTCACAGCCAGGTGATGATCGGTTGACAGCTCCGCCCCTCTCTTTACCCGAGTGTCCGAGACACGCGGCCGAAGGTCAGATGATACGACAACAAAGTCGATCATCGACCTCCGGCCTAGGGTGTCCTGGTGCCACGTGCACTGGTGGACACCCTTGTGCTCGAACATGGTGTTCGTGATGGACAAACTGTGACTGGCACAGAAGTCCAACAACTGAACACCGCTCGGGTTCAGATCAGGGGGGCCGCTCTTCCCGATCACCCCTCTCCAAGTGTCACTGGCGTTTCCCACATGGGCGTTGAAGTCCCCCAGGAGAATAACGGAGTCCCCGGGCGGTGCACCGTCCAGTACCCCTCCCAAGGACTCCAAGAAGGCCGGGTACTCTGCACTGCTGTTAGGCCCGTAGGCCGTCACAACAATGAGAGACTTGTCCCCCACCCGGAGGCGGAGGGACGCGACCCTCTCATTCACCGGGGAGAACTCCAACACGTGGCGGCTGAGATGGGGGGCAATGAGAATGGCCACCCCAGCTCGCCGCCTCTCCTCGCGGGAAACTCCAGATACAGATACAGATATTAGATACAGAACCAGATATTAAAGCAAACCCAAGTAGAACTGAGTAGAGCTGGTGGAAACAGGGTTAATGTTCAACAAACCAGCATCTGCCTTTTGGTACCAGATCTCAACCCCATTGGAAATCTGTGGAGGAAGTTGAATGTCCGTGTTCCTCAGTGACAGCCCCAAAACATCACTGTTCTAAAGGAGATCTGCATGGAGGAATGGGCCAAAATACCAGCAACAGTGTGTGAAGACCTTGTGAAGAATTACAGAAAATGATTGCTATATAACAAAGGGTATATAACAAAGTATTGAGATGAACTTTTGTTATTGACCAAATACTTATTTCCACCATAATTTGCAAATACATTGTTTATTAATTAGACATGTGAATTTCTATATTTTATTTTTTCTGATTCGGTCTCTCATAGTTGAGGTATACCTATGGTGAAAATGACATGCCTCCCTATACTTTTTAAGTGGGAGAACTTGCACAATTGGTGGCTATCTTCTTACCCAACTGTATATTTGCTGATCCTTATACTGTGTGATTGAAAACTGTGTCATAGTCTAACGGTATTTCATGTTTGGTGTGTCCGTAGGCAGCAGAGCGAAGGCGTGTCACACCGACCTCGAGCGATTCGCAGCACCCTCATGATGCGGATGATGGTGGGGTTTATGGGCAGCGCGGCGCTCATCTTCAGCTCCTCCAGCGTGATGCCCATTATGGACAAGGCCACGATCGCAATGTCCAGCTGGTTCCACCTGAAGCGAACAAGAAACACCGGAACACAATCAATACGCTGTCACACTCTTTAGCGGAAAGTGAGATGGGCGACTGTTTTGAGGGCCCCTTCGCTCATTCGTCAGGTAGAATCAATAGGTCGTCCACCAAGGTAACACTAAAACTTGGGAGGACTGGAAGTATCTCTGATAAGTTTACAAGTCAGCACATTTGAACAAAAATTAAATAAATAATAAAATAATCTCTAAAAATCATGTAGCCTGTGTTCATGTAACATACTGTATCCTTCCAAAGAGCCTAAAGTGTGATAGAGAGCAGCTGAAAAATGGTCCACTCTGGGAACTGTCAGAATTGTTTTTGTCTTATATTAAACTAACATTTGCATGACGTTGGCCAGCAGAAGGGACTTTCAGACAACATAATAATATGCCACGTTTGTGAATCTAATCACTATCAAATAATGATCAGGCAAAACATTTGGATATTATTGTTTTCTACATTTTGTTCAAAATGCTTCTTCTACGTTTCTTTAGCCAGAGCTGCCCTGCCCTGACAGAAGCGAGGGAACCAGTATATGCCCCCTCTGATGCAACAAACTCAGTCTAGGCAATGCTAGGCAAACCTAATGAATACAATAAACAAGATAAATGAAAAAAGTTGTATCGGCACCTGCCCTCCAACTGGAATACCATTCTAGAGCAGGAAGGAAAACTATTGAATGTAAATAGAGAAATCACGGTCTGAAGTAAAAAAAATAATGAACACAAATGATTCTGGTGGCACTTTCATAAAAACTAAATAACTAAATGAAGGCTCCACAGCAGGGGTCAAAATCATAAACAGAATTTGTATTATTTGTACTTCCATTGTAAGAAACAGAAAGTCACAAACTAGGACTTGGCTTTGGCATAAGGTGCACCAAGTTATATCAATACATTAATGCACACAATAGACATTTGTGCAGTGATCAGAAAGTGACCAGATGTATGACATAAAACGTACCTGTCTTTAAAAAAACGTTGTATTCCAAAAGCCAACAGTTTCAGCAGAGCCTCCACCACAAAAATGCACGTGAACACATAGTTGCAGTACTTCAGAACCTCCTCCAAATACTGGAAAGTAAAAGTAGGTTAATCAGAAACCATAATCACAGAACGCACTGTCAGTTTTCAGAGAGCTGTACCTGAGGCTGGTTGTAGTGCTCGATGCTCATGGTGAAGACGTTGATGCAGATGATGAAGGTGATGAAGAGGTCCAGGTAGTGGCTGGTGCACAGGGTGTGGACGTAGAGGCGCACGGGGGAGTAGTCTGCGTAGTACGGCCTCTGCTTGGCCTCTGTGACAGGGGGGGAGAAAAAAACTCAGAACACACATGTACAGGTAAGACGCATTCACACATGCTCAGTGGGTCCAGCACCCGATTTCAGTTTCAGGCCTGATATGAGAGTGGAGTTTTGCACCATGGAAGCAGATGAGGACATGAGAGACACAGTTGTACATATTTGTGGGGACAAGCCATGTTTCTTTCCTACCAATATCCACATGATCAATCCAAGAATTTGTGCATGAACGCTTTATTTTTTACACACCCAGGCAGAGATTTCAATGTTTTTTGCCAGATTTTTGGAGAATATGAATGATAACACAACAACTTTGAACCCATTGATTATTAGTGGTTGTGTGAAGCAATAGATGGATGTCAAATAAACACGCTTTCTATCTAAATGATAAACAATCCATATCCACTGTGTTAGAGCCCTGCACGGGCCAATTATCTGGGCCCGAGCCCGGCCCTGGCCCGAGGGGGTGGCGCCCCAGCCCGGCCCGGCCCGATATGGTTTCTGAATTTTCAGGCCCAAAACCCGCATCAAGCCCGCCTTTTTTTTTTTTTTTGTAACCTCCCATAACAATGTTTTAGCGTAGTATATAGTGCCGCGCACTGATATGAACGCAGACTTAGCTAGAGGGCGGAGTTATACATGGTAGTGATGTGTTGCAATGAGTTCTGTGTGTGCGGAGTGGTGCAGAGTGAACGGCCGCAGCTGTATGATGCCCAGATGCTGCAACACATCTGCACATTACATAAGTAATGCTATGTGCCGTCAATGACAACACTACACAGAACAACAAACACTACAGCGTGATAGAACGCTATATTCAGTGGGTGCGTTCGTAAATCTATTCTGCCGCTCTGAAAATGAAGAGCCCGAGCCCGGCCCATGTCCGAGGTCATTATGCGGTCATCGGCCCGAAGCCCGGCCCTCGGGCTGTCGGGCCGTCGGGGCCCTCGGGCCAAGGGCTCAAGTGCAGGGCTCTACACTGTGTTGGCAGAGGTCTCCCATCACAGCACTAACCAGGTCCTACCCTGCACAGCTTCAGAGGTCTGACGGGATCAGGATTTCACAAGCAGGTGGTGCCACAACCATTTACAGATTTTAACATAAATGAGGCGCTCTGGGGGGGATTTTGCAGTTCATACAAGGTGGTCCAGAAATGATGTCATGGTGGCTGAGTGGTTAGCATTCCCGTCCCGTTCTTCTCGTCCAAGAACGTACTGGTTTTCATAAGGCCTTTCTGAGTGTAATTTGCATGTTCTCCCTGTGTTTTCTCGGGATCTAAAGGTTTTCCCTCCCACTAAAAACATGCACAATAGGCAAAATCCTCCAGCTCTGGTCCCGACCAAACCTAGCATCACAATCTGGAGATGGGCCTCGGGCACTCTACGACAGGACCACTGCTCCTGACAGTGGCCCTAGTGGAAACCATTTGAACAACTGAAATTATGGGTCAGATTTCCCTAAGTATACCTTAACTTAACTAGAATTTACAGGAAGAGGAGGCTTTATGCAATTAAGAGTCTAATCAGAGTAATGTTATCATTTGTAAATAGAAAACATATGTAATTGACAAAAAACTTCTTCACACAACCACTAACAATAAGTGAAACAAACATACTGTATTATAATGATTTTCATTCATAATCTACTACAACATGGAAATGTCTGCGTGGATGTGTAAACTTTCAAGCACAACTGTATTCACTTTTCACTTAGTAAGAAACAGATTTATCAATACACAAAAGCAACACTTGTGATTGTTGGCCCAGAGACTGTGCTCAAATGTCCAAAGCTGATGGTGTGACTGCATGAGCGACTGCATGAGCGACTGCATGAGCGTGCACTGTTGGAGATAGCACCATGCTCTGGCTGCACTGCATGCCCACATGCCTGTTCATGGGTTTCAGCTTCCAAGTGATAAACGCCCAATGAGGACTTTCTACCATCCAACATTATTACACGTTTTTATTTTCATTACTCTGAAACCAATGGATGTAAACAGAAAAGAAGAAGTGAGGCAAGTTCAATATCACAGTAACATGATCGTCCGTGGTTACTTGATCTCCCAGCTTTAGGTGCCACAGAAGAACTACATCCTTTCTTTTCCATGTTTTGGAGTATAGCATTTCATCTCTGTTCCTCAACTGATCTGGTGGCATCAGGCCATGTCACAGGTCAGATCAGACGAATGCTTTCTCTTTTGACCTACATTTCTGCATTAAAAATAACCTATAATTGATGGTTAATGCTTAGAAGGTTCTTTTAATTTGTCTTATTAAAACAAACTTCTAAGTATTAAATATAAGACAAAATTAACTTTTTACATTTATAATGAATGGCATTTAATGCAACACTCACTTTTCAGGGCAAAGAAGAAGTTGGTAAACTTAAGCACAATCAAGGTCACACGGTGCACCTTTTTACGCTACTACCAATATGATGTTGAACTATACAGCCACTTCCATCCAACATCCCCTTTAATCAAGAAGGATTTCAGCAGACACAAACCATTTCACGACTTATTGACATCACAAACTAATGGTCTGTGCAGCTTTAGACCACTGAGCCTCACACAGAGATAAGTGCAGTGCTCCGCTCACACTGAATGCTGAATGTAAGCATGTACAAAGTGCTTTGGCTTCGTATGTAGCTGTTGGCTCAAGCGAATGTTAGCATGTGCAGAGTAGTGTGCAGTGACGGCTACGTTTCTGAGTCTGCCAGTCAAAGCTCGTAAACACACCCGAACTCCTGGTCCATCAGAGACTTTAGGAAATTGCATGCTTTTGAAGTGTTGCTTGCTTTCAGGTTTTCTTTGGGGTATTTTTAGGAAGAAAAAAATAAAAACTCGTCTGTAGTTTCAGCATGCATTGGGAATGCTATGGAAATGGCAATTACACAAAATAATTATCGGAGGTGGGTAACGCTAACATTTTATAGTGGTAGTTTAAAACATTGCAATATTACTGCTGTTTGAGTGATTTATTATACGCATTTTTTATGCCCCAGTATTGTGCGTGACCTACAATTTTAACAGTTCAACAAGAAATATCCATCCATCCATTTTATTCCCCTTAGTCCATTTCTGGGTTGGAGGGGTGGCTGTCAGAGCTTCATCCAATTCAATTAGCACCAGCTCCTTACTGATCCTCCCCAGGTGGTGAGTCCACAGGAGTCTTGATCTTTCAGCGGGGGCTTCAGGCAAAGTGGGGTTAAGGGCCTTGCCCAAGGACACAACGACAGCAGACATTAGTGGGAATTGGTGGTAGTAGGTCTCGTGGTGGGCTTGAACCCACGACCTTCAGGCTCAAAGGCCAATGCTCCACCAACTGAGCCACTGTTGCCCCAACAGGGATTATAGACAGAAAATTATATTAGCATGAACCGCTTATAGCCATACTTCACAACACTCATAGATAATGTCATATCAGACAGAATTCCCCCAAAAACGTTGCTTTACTTTGATAAAATTGTAATTTATATTTGTTCCCACCTCTTTTCACCGTATGTTTCTTCACTGTAATGGTTACAGAGAGCATATAGGTATGAACAAAGGAGCTGTAGAATAGAATATCGTGGCCACTTTGGGTTTTTCATGCAGAGTATACTATAGAGGGATTCTTTTGGACTGTAGACATGCACTAATGCCATGCACCAGATTGCCTTGGCCCACATTTGACCCAGTGTGAACCAGACAATCTGTCCGTCTCTCCCTCTTTGGGCGACAACCATCACGCCTGAATCCTCTTTTGTCACGGTCATTCTCGATCACTCCGTATACAGGCTCTGATAGCAAGCAGTGCTCAGAAAAATAGACTACCGACCAGCCCCTCCATTCTCCTTACTCCTGCGCCTTTTCTCAAGCATCTTCTTCCGTTTCTCCTCCCGCAGGCGCGCCTCCTCCTCCTCCTGGTCCTGACGGCACTTGTGGAAGTTCTCCACTACCACACCCACGAACATGTTGAGCACGAAGAAGCTGACGATGAGGAGGAAGGAGATGAAGTAGAGCAGCATCCAGGGGTTGTGGTTCCGCACCGGCTGAGGACGCATAGAGTACACATACAGTAGATAAGTTAAGTGTTTGTTTTTTCTCTCTCTTCTTTTCTTTTCTTTGTATGGCACTGGCTGTAGATTCATTTGACAAAATAACTGTATCTGTGTATTGAAACTAACCCAAACTAACTTTTTATGTAAATATTATCATTATTATCATTGAAATCTATTTAATGTTTGGCAAAATGGGTGAAAAGACAAAAAAAAGTGTGTCTAATATGGTACTTGAAATGTGCTTCGTGCTATGTCGAGATGTACAATGCAAAAATACAATGAAGTATATTAAAACATTGAAAAGTTGGTTAAGTCATTCGTTTGTTTGTTTCATCTGAATTTTTCCTATGGGGATTAAAACAGTTTCTATCGATCTATCTAAATCTTACTTGGAGTGAGAGTAAGAAAAACTGTAATAACGGAACCATGTTGTATTGGCCTTTATCATGCTACATTAAGAAATACTCAAAAAAACAACGCAATGTCACTTTTTCCCCCCTTTCCCAAATGATTAAGTAATGTTTTCCATGAGTGCTCCTTTGTTCTTTTGGCAGGTAGAATCAACAGACCACACACCACACCGACTCAACACTAAATCTTGGGACGCCTTAAAATGCATGCCTGATAGTAGGTACTATTTGGCACATTTGTAAAATAAATGTAACAAAGTAAAATGAGGCTATACCTGCTCAAACACAATCCTTTTTTGTTTGATAATCCAGCATACAGGCTTTAAAGTTGTAGTAGTAGTAGAGAAAAACTATGTCATAATCAAAACTTGAAGCTGGAGTACTAGTGATCAAAATAAATCGAGAGCTAAATATTTAATAATTTCCATGTGACTAGGATCATAGATAGTGGTTTGTACTTGTGGTTTTAAGGTTGGTTAATTTAGCTTTAAGCCAAAATCAAACCATGATTGGATGAAAGCTAAATTACTGTGAAATTAACTTTTTTAAAATGTCAACACCCTCCAGCAAAAGTGTGAGGCTTCTTCTCTGACATATTGCATTGACGGAGAAATTCAATATAACTTTGCTGATGCGCTGTACAGGTTTTATTGTAAATAGAACATTATGTACAGTATATATTGAACTGCTGAAGAGAAGTAAAGAAACACATGACCACTTCCCAACACAAGACTGGTCCACTTGTGTTGGGAAGAGGAGGAAGAGAGAGCTGCGCCTCATCCCCTGCTCCGTGATGTGGACTGGTGTTAACTCTGTAAATTCAACACTGGGGTGCAGATACACTCTCTGCGCTTCTCCCAAAGAACCATGATGTATAAGTATACCAGGAGAATCGGTTTGCTTGTCTGAAAAGCTTTGCACATCGCACAATAATAAGATGATTTTAAAACGTTTCAATTTAATACAATAACTAATTAAAATATAAAAGAATCTTTAATATTTTTAAACCCAAAACAGTGATACATGTAAGGGCCAGACATTGCAATATAGGACAAACTAAATCAACAAAGCCCAAGCTGGGACAGACTGACAGAAGCGAAGCAATCGGTATGTGCCATTGGCCTTTCCGACAACCACCAACCATTCTCGCACACACCACACTCATACTAGCCAATGTTGGTTATATGTAGCACCTGGGGTTGGAGGTCTCCCATCACAGTAATAACCAGGCCCTGCCCTGCATTGCTTCATAGGTCAGACTGGATGTAGCTTTAACATTCAGGTGAGGACATCCTTTTAAATCAGGGGTGTCAAACCAGTCCTCAAAGAACCAGTGTGGCAGCAGGCTCCACCCATTTCTTCAGGTGAGTCCAGGTTTAACCGGAAGATTTGAGGAAATGGGTGGAATCTGCTTTGCTCAGGTTGGAACTAAAACCTGAAGCCACAAAGGCACTCTCTGGAACTGGTTTGACACCAAAGCTTTAAAGTTTTAAAGACATAACATACTCCCGTAATACTGTGTTTGGTACCTGTTGGTCGACCCCAACTGCATCCAGTCCATCGTACATGATATTGACCCAGCCGTCTTTACAGGACAGCACAAACAGAGACATCAGCGCCTGCAGACAAAACGCACAGTCTCACTCGAATGAATACATTTATTTTCTAAGTCATGTTTTCCGTCCTTGTGCCTGCGGTCACCTGAACAAGGTTGTCAAAGTTATATTTCCTCCGAATCCAGCGGTAATTTGCCTCCAGACAGTCGGACTTGTTGGTGATGTTTTTGGTGTCCGTGCCTTCACAGTGGTAGAATTTCCCTTTGAAGAGCTGCAACACATGGAGTAATAAAAGTGAACATTCTCCAGCAAAATGTGGTAAATCTGAAACGTGCATTATGGGACTAATTTGGATTTTAGTTTTTAGTCTCCCTCTCTCTCTCAGTTTTAGGAGTGTCGGAAAGTGTTAGCCAAAACTCAATTTCAATTGTTTGCCTGTGTTGACATCTAGGACTTTATATTCAAATTGTCATGATCATTACAATAGCCAAAAAAAAAGCATAATATTGGGAAAGTTACAAGTTTGATTGATTACTGAAATATCAACTCATTTATTAATTGTGAAAGGTACAACAGATGAGGAATCAGACTTGCAGAGAAGAGGCTTTATAATAACTGTAGAACGAAAGAAAATTAAGTATTTTACCCAAACAACCCAATTTGTGACAAGTTATATCTTTGAAGACGTTGCCCAGGGGCATCACTTTGTTAATAAAAAGGGTAATCAAAATATTATTCATTTACAGCCATAAACGATATCATACCATACATCCATCCATCCATTTTCTTCCCTTTAATCCATTTCTGGGTCGGGGGGGTGGCAGTCAGAGCTGCACCCAGTACACATAGCACCAGCCCCTCACTGATCCTCCTGCAGGTGGTGAGTCCACAGGAGCTGAGATCGTTCAGTGGGAGCTTCAGGCAAAGTGGGGTTAAGTGTCTTGCCCAAGGACACAACGACAGCAGACATCAGCGGGAGTCGTGAAGCAGGTCTTACAGTGGGCTCGAACCCACGACCTTCAGGCCCAAAGGCCAATGCTCTACCAACTGAGCTACTGTCGCCCCTGACGATATCATACCACTTAGTTAAATAGCAGTTTTAATGCGCAACATTTAAGTTTTTCTAAAGTAATACCATAAAACAACATCTTTCAAATGGTTGGCAACTTTTAAATAGGTCCAAACGTTAAACATTTTCTTTGTGCCAACAGAAATGGTCTTATTAAAGTAACATTTTGTGTACAAGTATTTTGTTATCTTCTTGCATACATTTAAGACAGAGCCCTGGGAGTCATAATTTGACGCTCTGGGCTGGTGCTATGACACTTGGGTGGCATCTCTGATTGCCACCCCCCTGACCCAGAAATGGATTAAAGGGTAGAAAATGGATGGATGGATGGATGGGCTGAGGTCTTTTGGGATGAATGAGGGTATGTCTCTGTTTTTCTATTAAATCTCTGAAAAAGCGGGATAGGATCTATGAACAACAGGTGCACAATTCAATCCTTGGAACGGCTTCAATTTTATTTGAATTTGATGTGAGTTTTTGCAGTGAGCCTCTCCGCAGGGCTGTTTGTCTGCCACTTAATCTCAGGCGCCTGCATTCACACACTATGTACATCATTATTACTGCCAAAGAATAAGGACGCGTTTTAACACACTGCTCCTTATCTGTGTGAGTGTGAGTGGAATTGTGGGCCGGGGGCTGGCGCTGTATTTTCCACACTTAACCCAATTGTCTTTCGTTCAGAACTCCAAATGAACAAACACTAATTGTCCGCAGCATATTTAATGTTTCCAACAGCCCTCCAGCCTTTGCTTTGGCATGCAACGTTTGACATTTAACTACAGGAGGGATAAAGAGCGCTTCTATGGATCAACAAACGCAGTCGATACTCAGGCCTGCACTGAAAAAATAAATCCTATATTTAAAAGGAGAGTATGTAATATGCATTCTTACAGGTCTAATAAGTGTTTTTTCAAGGTATCAAGGTGTGTCAAGGCAGGTTAGTGTGCCTTGCGATGTTTGGTGTGCCTTTGGAAATGATCGTAATTGGCCCAAATAATGTGAAAAGAAAGAATAGAAAGATCTTTTTTTGTGCTTTTAGATTTTCTGTATAAAAGCCTGTACATGTCATCTCATCTGCAAATAGTAAATACTGCAATCATGTGCAATACTGCAACTTCAGAATGTCCTCTGAATGTCACTTTATCTACTTATCATTTTACAACATATAAGTAGTTACAAGTTATAATTAATTTTACTTGTATCTGAGTAGTCTCGTGATTAGCAGTTCTGGGGACTTGTTCTGTGAATTTCTAGTCCACGGGAACATTCCTGGACTAGCAGTAAAAGCTCCAGGAAGACAAGCAGGTCAAAGAAAGTGTCATCATGCCTTTTTGAACCATCACACATTGGCAGTGTTGTGCCAGTTCACAGCTTTTCTGAACTAGTTCAAGTTCAGTTCATACATGCTCAAAGTGAACAGTTCACGTTCAAAGTTCACAATTTAAAATCTGAACTAGTTCAAAGTTCAGTTCGTTTTACTTTTTTTGTGAGATATTCAAATAAATACTTTTTTTCAAACTACGAGCTAGAAATCACTATACGTGATATACCGTATATATACATATACATACATATATATATACATATACATATATATATACATATACATACACATATATATATATATACATACACATATATATATATACATATACATACACATATATATACATATACATACACATATATATACATATATATATACATATATATATACATATACATATATATATATACATACACACATATATATATATATATATATATATATATATTAGTCCTGTCCAACGATTAAAATATTTAATCGCGATTAATCGCATGAATTTCATAGTTAACTCGCGATTAATCGCAAATTAGTCACACATTTGCGTGCTGTGTGCAATTGCTTTTTTTATTGAAAACAATGTGTAGTGTTATATTACACACTAACATTTGATGCAAAATCATCAATAAATGGATGACAAAATAAATAATTGGTAACAAAAAGCCCCTTCAATGTGTGTGTGTGGGTGTGTGTGTGTATGTGTGGGTATAGACCATAGACTGTATAGAAACATCATGGTGTCATTATGATGATGATAAACAATCTGTAAATATTTTGTAAATTTGTTCATGTAAATACTCTATGCTGTTTCTCTGTTTACCTTCGGTATATCTATGACTGTATACTGTTTGCTTGTATTGCCTTTTTTTATTAACCCCTCCCCCCATCTCCCACTTCGTGTCCCCCCCCCTCCCCTCCTATGTGCCCTTCTGGGTTTCTTCTTTGGCCCCCTGTATTTCCAACTACATATTGTTTGTAATCTCTGTCTACAATGTATCTGAACTAGTCCTTTTCTTTGTTTCTATTTTTTTTTCTGTATATGTGTTTTTTTTTTTTTTTTTTATCGCGCGATAAAAAAAATGACGGCGTTAATATTGATTTGCGTTAACGCGTTAATAACGCGCTATTTTGGACAGCCCTAATATATATATATATATATATATATATTTCCTGAACACCACACAGGATGAAAGCCCTTTGACTCCAAAACAGACAAGATTTAAATAGGTTTCAATGGGAGCAACGCTGAGTTGTCCCATCTCTGCTCATAAGTACTACAAACAGTCATGCGCTGTAGTGCATGTGTCTATACTTGATGTCAAATGTAAACGGTTGGCCCTGTGTGGCTAACTCACTCTTTGTTTTCATCACCACTCAGGCATATTTGAGTCCAACAACCCATGAAAAGCACTAGCATACAGTGCCGCACCGCAACACAGAGTCGGGGTGCGTTCACAGACGGTGGAAACCATGGGAATTTCTAGTTTTCGGTGGAAAAAGTGCAGAAGATGTCACTCAGTTTTCAATGGAAAACAAATTCCTACATTCATTTACTGTGATGTCTGCCGTTCATGAACTTGTTCATGAACGCGTTCTTTTGAACTTGTTCATGAACGCGTTCTTTTGAACTTGTTCATGAACGCGTTCTTTTGAACTTGTTCACGCACAACACTGCACATTGGATTGCAATCTCCTCAAGTCTCTATTCTACAGTGCAGGACTAAAACACTATTGCAGCCTGAATATTGAATGCTTCCAGTTGCCCTCCAGCTCCTCCTTTTGCATTCAGAGCTTAACATTTGAGCACTGGGACTGTAGGAGTGGTGTCCTTTGGCTGAACAAAAGCTGTGATCGGTGTGGACACTTACCTGCACTCCCAGGATGCCAAAGATAATGAAGAAAGCACAGCAGATGAGGACAATGTTGCCGATGGGTCTCAGTGACGTGATGAGAGTTTCCACCACCAGTTTGAGGCCCGGGGCGCGGCTGATCACCCTAAAGAAATAGTGTCAACAAATACTAAGAGACAGCGTGCAAGGACTTTGTATGTGTCACAGGTTTAAAAGTGTCTGTTGAGGGGGTGTGATCAATAAAACAGGAAGAAGATAAAAAGGGGATAAAATATTTAATAAAATATATACAAAAAGGATTGATAAAAGATGATTAAAAAAAAACCCGCAGTCCACTCGTTTCTCACTGGCCTCTGCTCTTCTCAGTCCCGGGACCGGGCCGCAGTCCCGCCAGCCGCTCGCCGACCACGGGTTGCCACCGGGCACCCGCGGGGGAGAGCCGGCCCATCCCGGTCTTTGGGCCTAGCCCGGGCGCGCACGCGCCAATGCGCTATCAATGCGCGCCTCACCGGTGCCGCTCTCCCCGCTGGCCTCAGTGCCCCGTGGTCTCTGGCTGGCGGTGCTCGTCCTTGGCCCGGTCCCATGTCCTCCTCCTCTGGACTGGCTCTGCCCTCCTCTCTTCCTCTCTCTGTGTCCTCCCGTCCTCCAGTGCCCGCCCCCAATTAAGAGGTCTTGATTAAAACAGGTGCGGGTTAGGGGAAGTGTCCAGGGAACAATGATAAAATGCATGCATTAAAACCATAAAAACACACAAAACACATCACAAACATAAAAGCAGTTAAAAGTCCTTTTTAAAAGTCCACTTTCCCACATATGTCTATAAACTGAAACCATATTTAATATTAAGCGAGTGATATAAATAGTATGTGTATTTATCCAGCATTATGAGATATAGGATTTGTGGATATTTTATTGTACTTGCCATTGGCTTTTTAGAGATAAAAATACCATGAACACAGTATGAGACATAGCACAGTGCCAACGTAAATGAAAGAATGTCAAATGTGTCCGTGTGTGTTTAATTGCACTGCGGAAATTAATGACTTAAATTCTCAGAGTATATAAGATGTAGCATGAATACATTGTGCTTATTCAGGAGATTCAGAAGATTCAGAAGTTGCAATTACTGATCCAAAGTTTTAGAGCAAAGGCAAAGTTACAGTACTTATTTGAAAGCAAAACAAGACTACAACTGATCAAGAAAGTGCATGTCCACTGGACCTTAAAGTGGTCAGACGGTTTGATAAAACACAGAATACTTTTAACAAACTCTGTATTCTTGTGCTTTGTAAATTCCCTAAATGGTCAAATGATTAAAACAATATATTGCCGTCTTCTTACATCATCATGATTTGCAGATATAGCTCACAACTACTTATTCATATATCTGTAGTGCTCTACTTAATATTCACTTGTGCTGTGTGCTCCTCCTTCCTACTGTTCTGTAACTTGCAAAGCCACACTGCCCTTCTCCCACTGTGGGACAAATAAATGATCTCTTAATCCTATGTTATTGTTTGACATTTCCTCTGTTTTATTATTATTATAATTATATGTGTTTTTTTGCTGCTCAAAACAATTTCCCCTGGTGGAATAAATAAGTAGTCTGAATCTGAATCTAACTCACTCTAAAGCAGGCGCAAAGATCAGCGTATTGACGACAGAAAAACAAAACGTTTATTCTGAATCCATATGACATTCTGAGGCCGGTACCTGAGCGGGCGCAGGGTCCGGAGCAGACGCAGGACCCTCAGAATCCCCAGGATCCTGTTCCCTCCGGGGTTTGCCAGAGTCACCAGGATGTCCACCAGAGACACGAACACCAGCAGCCCATCCAGAACGTTCCAGCTGGACTGAAGGTAGGTCTGTGGGCCGAAGCAGAAGCCCAGAGCCACCACCTGCACACACCAGAGAGAGACACCAGAGACACCACCATCACTCTGCCGGTCTACAAACACACAATTATGTACAACAGTCAAGTACAACAACAAGTTGTTGTACTTGACTTTTAAAAACCTCAAAAAGGTTTGGTAGTTAGCTCTTTCAGACTGAAAAGTAGGGCTGCACGATATTGGAAAGTAGTGCAATATTTGATATGAGTGTTTAGTGTTGCGATAACAATATTAGTGCAATATTTTTGTCTTTTATTCTGCATTGAAAAGCAAGAGAGAAATAACAAAAACATTAATGACATTCAAATGCATAGATGTATATACTTTTTTGTTTGTTTGCTGTTCTTGCTGAATGTTGATGTGTCTGTCTGTTTTGTTGTCTTTAATAAAGGACAAAAACATTTATATATATATTTATTATTATTTTTATGGTGGATATTTTCTATATGGATATCGCACGCACCAACATCAAGATAACAATATTTTTTCGATATATCATGCAGCCCTCCTGAAAAGTAAATTTAAGAGGCCACCCTGCAGGAATTGATTACATATAACCAGGCAATAACCAGCCAAGAACCAGCTGAAAACCAACTCGGACTCTGAGGAGCACAGGGTCAGGAGAGGGAGCATTTCAGATTTATGCAGCTAAAATCTGGAATAGTCTTCCTGGAAATTGACGTCTACTCTGACAATGTTAAAATCGAACTCCACTAGGAATATAAATGATAAGTATGATTTGTAGGATGCACTTTGAGCACTTTGTTAGCCTAACTCTGGTGTGGCGAGAAAATGTGGCTTGTTAAGGGGAAAAAAAACATACTTATTTCCATCACATAATATGCTTTTGGGGAGTTTTTACAGTTTGAATGGGTAACATTATCAGGCCAAACCTACACAAAATGACAAGTCAAATTCAAAACTCTTGCATCACTTGAGAGGGTCATGGCGCCCTCAACAGACTGAATCTCCAAAGCAGAGTTATTACGTTATTGGCTTTATTACATTTCAAAATCCCCATCACTCCAATCTGGTCTCAGCCAAAATGATCAAATAGTTACTTACAGGTTCTTTCTTACAAGTATGCTGAAGACAAAGACACAGATAGATGGGTTCCAATTACTTTTTCTAGGAGACCTGGCCAAACATTCTCATTCAAGAATAACATCTGCACGCTTCAGTGAATCTATTATTCAGATTTGCTTCTTTATATTGCCAAAGTAGGGGTTTTTATACTGTGTTTGTTATGCTAAAGTCAGAGATTGCTTCTTCATTGTGCTAAAGTTGCTCCTTATTTTGCTAAGGCTAGAGATGTTATACTGCTTCTTTTTTATGCTAAAGTTAGAGAATTTATTTTATTTTACTATAGAGTTATTGTTCATTTATCTTGTGCTGTGTGCTCCTCATTCCTACTGTCTGCAACTCACTGAAATATCTTATGGGACAAAGATTCTTTAATCTTAATTAAATGAGAGCAGGGGAGAGATTTTTTATATTTGTATCAAGTCTTGGATGTTGTCCGAAGCCCAGGGTGCTAAATGTACTATTTACACCTTGTTCTATCCCGCGACTAGCGCTTCTCCTCACAGCCTGCACACAGCTCTACCGTTCCCCTCATGTTGTTCAAATATTAGTGCTTTGGTGGTTTTGACATGATGCACATAAAATCATACTTAGTCACTTTTAGCTCAGAACCTCGTGCTGCTTTTTCATAAAAATACAAGGAACTGAGAGGATAGTGACAACTTACTGACAACTTACAATGTGAAACAGATCATATGCAAATTGGAATATCAAGCCTTTCTATTCAATTTACTTCAATTCATTTTTGTAGAGCCATAAATCACAACAGCAGCCGTCTCGGAGAACTTTACAAAGTTGTCGATTCCTCAGCGACAGATCAGATAGATCAGTGGTCTCCAACCTGTAGCTCGCCAAAGGATTGAGAGACATTTCAACGTTTGTTATGCCTGCACCTGTTATGCATCTTTAATTTTGCATTTTGCATTAAAGATGTATAACAGTTGGCAAGGCAAGGCAATTCAAGTTTATTTATATAGCACGGTTCATATAGAAGGAAAGTGAGAGTGCAAACATTAAAATCCTAAAATAATTGATTTACATTCTACAGTATTGACTAAATGTATTTTGAAACGCCTAGCTCTCTGCCTTTTTGTCCTAAAAGAGTAGCTCCCCATGGGATAAAGGTTGGATACCCATGAGATAGATCATGTGTTGATAACAAACACACATTGGGACAGAGGGGATGACCAATGTGATAAATATCCATACATTTTCATAAATATCCCTTGTTATTTGTTAACCATGGCTGACAGCTTGTAAAAAATCACCAAAAAAAACGTATTAAAAAATGAGAATATTTTGAAAATGCCATTACCATCAATACTACAACAAACAAAGGCTTGGCGTATGTCTCTCTGCACGTAACGAGTCTGGTGATTTATTGATTTCACATTTTAAGTTAAAAAATCAACCAAAAATAATCTAATATCATTCATTATTTCATTTACACAGGTTAGATATCATGTTTTAATCAACCCAACTGTGACTTTTCAATATATCACCAAATATATTGTTCTACACGTTATGACAATCTTCAATGACATAGACCAAAAACAAAGACAGAAGACTTACCTTAATGGCCATCTCCGCCAGGAAGATCACAGTGAAAACATAATTGGAAACACTCAGAAACAGCCGCTCCTGGAAACAAGTCACAATTACTCTTGTGTACGGAGTGATTTAGGGTGTAAGGAAGAGCACATTACAGGGAAAGGGACCTGAAAATGGTATTCTAAAAGTGGAATCAGTCATTACCTTGCTGTCTTTCTGTATGTCGGGTCGCTCCAAGGCAATGGTGATGCAGTTGAGGAAGATGAAGAACAGGACAATGTGGTCAAACAGCTTGTGGGAGATGATCGCTTGGCTCCATACACGAAAGCTGAAAAGTAAATAAAATAAACCGTTTTTTAAAATTATGGTTATAGTTTATAACTTTGAATCAGATATAAAGATTAACACAAATAAAAATAGATCATAATTTAAAAAAATAAAAACAAAAACAGTTTGAAGGAGTGCTGCAGGACATCATACATATTTTTCTTTTAATTTGTACATGTTTAAGAATATGGAGGACCAAAAATGACTAAAGTATAAATAAATAAATAAATAAATAAATACAGGAATATATTAAGAAATACATTCATTTTGGACAATAAAAACTAAATATTTACATTGATGTGTTAAATATTACTATGAAATCAAATAAATATACTTTTATTTAGGTTATTTATCAAAGTCTACATTTTTTCCTTTATTTATTTATCCATTTATTGCATATATTTATTTATGTATTTCTACATTTCTTCATTTATTTATTTATGTATTTCTACATTTCTTCATTTATTTATTTATTTATTTATGTATTTCTGTGTCTCTACATTTCTTCATTTATTTATTTATGTATTTCTACATTTCTTCATTTATTTATTTATGTATTTCTACATTTCTTCATTTATTTATTTATATATTTCTACATTTCTTCATTTATTTATTTATGTATTTCTACATTTCTTCATTTATTTATTTATGTATTTCTACATTTCTTCATTTATTTATTTATGTATTTCTGTGTTGCCGTATGCTAATTAGGCAGGCGGTGCTGAACTCAATCTAGGACAGGATTGGTGGGCAGTAGGTCAGCCAGGGCAACCAGACAGAAGCAAAGTTAAGCCTAGCGTACATCGACAGAGAAACTGGAGACAAGTTGCAAGGCGGCTTTTGGCAACTGAGAGGAGATGATGGGAGATGATCAGTTGAAATCGGTCGATGTGCGCGCTCTTACAACTGGAGATGATCAGTCGGTCTCCAGTTTCAGTCAGTTGCCCGTGTTCTACTTTTCGGCAACTAGTTGTCCTCAGTTTCGGAGATATGACCCGATGTGCGCGCTCCATGCGCCGCTCCGACAACGTGTGTGTATTGCGTGTATTGCGCGCCCGCAACAGTTTATGTCAGAAAACACACTGTAGTTGAGGCCAGTTGCTGTCGATGTACGCGCTGTTATTCCCGAGACTGGTCTGATACTGGGAGTTGCCCGTTTTCGTCAGATTGTCGATGTGTGCGGGGCAGCAACTCATATGCGACGGATATAATCAGTTGCCAGTCCGATGTACGCTAAGCTTTAGCCTTCTCGGTTTGTGAGAGGATGTGAAGCTGCTGCTTGTTGAAGAGCGTCCAGCACAGTTGCATCAAAGTCTACCTCTGGGTCAGCACTGTGATGAACTAAAACATTTAATAGTCTTTCCAGCCGAAAGAGTAGATAGTCCTCAGGTGCATTATGCTCAACATCATTAACATCATTTGCTAATGCTCTTAATTGATGAGCAATGGCTCCTAAAAAACTTACATTCGAAACTGCCATCATACCACACAAAAGTGCAAAGAGGATCTCTAGCTAGCTAACAGAGTACCGTAATGTGAGGCAGTAATGATCGAGACCAGAGTTCACGCAATCCTAACCAATCCTGTTCTAGATTGAGTTCAGCACCGCCCACCTAATTAGCATACAGGAACACAGAAATACATAAATAAATAAATGAAGAAATGTAGCGACACAGAAATACATAAATAAATAAATGAAGAAATGTAGAAATACATAAATAAATAAATGAAGAAATGTAGAAATACATAAATAAATAAATGAAGAAATGTAGCGACACAGAAATACATAAATAAATAAATGAAGAAATGTAGAAATACATAAATAAATAAATGAAGAAATGTAGAAATACATAAATAAATAAATGAAGAAATGCAGCGACACAGAAATACATAAATAAATAAATGAAGAAATGTAGAAATACATAAATAAATATATGCAATAAATGGATAAATAAATAAAGGAAAAAATGTAGATTTTGATAAATAACCTAAATAAAAGTATATTTATTTGATTTCAGAGTAATATTTAGCATATCAATGTAAATATTTACTTTTTATTGTCCAAAATGAATGTATTTATTAATATACTCCTGTATTTATTTATTTATTTATTTATTTATTTATACTTTAGTCATTTTTGGTCCTCCATATAAGAAAGGGGCAGGCAACATAAGATTATTTTCTTTTTTCTGCTCTTTTTAATTTGTGTGACAGGACTACAGTTATGTGAAATGTGGTGTATTGTCATGTCCACAATTGAAAATACATAACATAGCAGAGCACAGCATAGCATTGTATAGTCTAGCCTAGCAAAACATACAATGCAGATACAAGCAACTCCATTTCGAACAACATTACTTTAGATTTCAATAATTGTTCTCATACAAATAGATGCCTTTTTTCAGATAAAAGATGGTACGAATGTTTGACTGACCGGTTCTCAGGGGAAAACAAGTACAAGTTCCAGTCCTCGTGCTCTTTGCACCAGACTGGCTTCAGATTCTGCAGCTCCCTCTTCACAAAGAAGCAGAATGAACTCTGTGGAGACAAGCACAGGCTCTATTAATACACAAATCATATTAATGACATATTAATATGGACCAAAGGTATAAAAAAAAGAGAAATCTACTTTTAAAGATAACCAAGCAATTTTTCATATAACCTTGCAATTGCGATTACGATTTGATTTGCGAGAAAGGATAAAGTTCAACGTGAAAAGGGAGTAGGGGGTGCTAAAAATGTTTTTATTATTTTTGATATTAATAAACTAAATACAACATTGTTTTTCATTTAGGCATATGGATTTTTCTTAATAATTTTCTCAGATTTTCTCTTCAATAAATAAAATATGGATGCATATAGTCTCCCCCCTGGACTGCCACCTTAACGTGGTGGGGGAGTTTGAGTACTCGGATGATCCTGGGAGCTATGCTGTCTGGGGCTTCATGCCCCTGGTAGGGTCTCCCATGGCAGACAGGTCTCAGGTGACGAGTCAGACAAAGAGCAGTCCAGAAGACACCATGGACAGCACAAATACAAAATCAGTGACGTCGCCCGGCATGGCGCAGCCGGGGCCCCACCCTGGAGCCAGGCCTGGGGTCGGGGCTCGTATGCGAGCGCCTGGTGGCCGGGCCTTAGCCCACGGGGCCCGGCCGGGCTCAGCCCGAATGGACGACGTGGGCAGTCCCTCCTGTGGGCCCACCACCCGCAGAGGGGTCCGTGGTGGCGAAGCGGTGCAGAGAGGACTGGGCAGCGGTCGAAGGCGGAGACCTCGGCGACCCAGTCCGCACACACAACAACAACAACAAGCTCTTGGGACGTGGAACGTCACCTCACTGGGGGGGAAGGAGCCCGCGCTTGTGGGGGAGGTTGAGCGATACCGACTAGAGATAGTCGGCCTCACCTCCACACACAGCTTGGGCTCTGGAACCCAACTCCTTGAGAGGGGTTGGACGCTCCACTTTTCTGGAGTTTCCCACGGGGAGAGGTGGCGAGCTGGGGTGGCCATTCTCATTGCCCCCCATCTCAGCCGCCACGAGTTGGAGTTCTCCCCGGTGAATGAGAGGGTCGCGTCCCTCCGCCTCCGGGTGGGGGACAAGTCTCTCATTGTTGTGACGGCCTACGGGCCTAACAGCAGTGCAGAGTACCCGGCCTTCTTGGAGTCTTTGGGAGGGGTACTGGACGGTGCACCGCCCGGGGACTCCGTTATTCTCCTGGGGGACTTCAACGCCCATGTGGGAAATGCCAGTGACACTTGGAGAGGGATGATCGGGAAGAGCGGCCCCCCTGATCTGAACCCGAGCGGTGTTCAGTTGTTGGACTTCTGTGCCAGTCACAGTTTGTCCATCACGAACACCATGTTCGAGCACAAGGGTGTCCACCAGTGCACGTGGCACCAGGACACCCTAGGCCGGAGGTCGATGATCGACTTTGTTGTCGTATCATCTGACCTTCGACCGCGTGTCTCGGACACTCGGGTAAAGAAAGGGGCGGAGCTGTCAACCGATCATCACCTGGTCGTGAGTTGGATCCGCTGGCAGGGGAAGAAGCCGGTCAGACCTGGCAGACCCAAGCGTATAGTGAGGGTCTGCTGGGAACGTCTCGCTGAGTCCCCTGTCAGACGGACTTTCAACTCACACCTCCGGGAGAGTTTCTCCCAGGTCCCGGCGGAGGAGGGGGACATGGAGTCCGAGTGGACCATGTTCTCTGCCTCAATCGCCGATGCGGCGGCTCGTAGCTGTGGTTGCAAGGTCTCTGGTGCTGGTCCCGGCGGCAACCCCCGAACCCGGTGGTGGACACCGGCAGTAAGGGATGCTGTCAGGCTGAAGAAGGAGTCCTATCGAGCCATGATGGTTCGGGGGACTCCTGAGGCAGCTGTCCAGTACCGGCAGGCCAGGCGTGCCGCGGCCCGGGCTGTTGCAGAGGCAAAAACCCGGGACTGGGAGGAGTTCGGAGAGTCCATGGAGCATGACTATCGGTCGGCCTCGAAGAGATTCTGGCAAACCATCCGGCGCCTCAGGAGGGGGAAGCAGTTCTTTGCCAACACCATGTACGGTGCGGGTGGAGAGCTGCTGACCTCGACTGGGGATATTGTCGGGCGGTGGAAGGAATATTTTGAGGTTCTCCTCAATCCCCCCGTCACGTCCTCTGTTGCAGAGGCAGAGGCTGAGGATGTTGGGGCGGATACATCCATCTCCCTGGCTGAGGTCACCAAGGTGGTTGGTAGCCTCCATGGTGGCAAGCCTCCGGGTGAGGATGAGATCCGCCCTGATTATCTAAAGTCTCTGGATGTTGTAGGACTGTCTTGGCTGACACGTCTCTGCAACATCGCGTGGCGATCGGGGGCAGTGCCAATGGAGTGGCAGACCGGGGTGGTGGTCCCTCTCTACAAGAAGGGGGACCGGAGGGTGTGTTCCAATTATCGTGGGATCACACTCCTCAGCCTCCCCGGTAAGGTCTACTCCAAGGTACTGGAGAGGAGGCTACGGCCGATGGTCGAATCTCGGATCCAGGAGGGGCAGTGTGGTTTTCGTCCCGGTCACGGAACACTGGACCAGCTCTATACTCTCCATCGGATACTCGAGGGTTCATGGGAGTTCGCCCAACCTGTCCACATGTGCTTTGTGGATTTGGAGAAGGCGTTCGACTGTGTTCCCCGGGGTGTCCTTTGGGGGGTTCTCCGGGAGTACGGGGTCGGAGGTCCTCTGCTGAGGGCCATCCGATCCCTGTATGACCGGAGCCAGAGCTGTGTTCGCATTGCCGGCAGTAAGTCAGACCTGTTCCCGGTGAATGTTGGCCTCCGACAGGGGTGCCCTTTGTCACCGGTTCTGTTCACTGTATTTATGGACAGAATATCTAGGCGCAGCCAGGGGTCGGAGGGGGTCCGGTTCGGAGACCACAGGATTTCATCTCTGCTGTTTGCGGACGATGTTGTCCTGTTGGCTCCAACGAACCAGGACCTGCAGCATGCACTGGGGCGGTTTGCAGCCGAGTGTGAAGCGGCTGGGATGAGAATCAGCACCTCCAAATCCGAGGCCATGGTGCTCGACCGGAAAAAGGTGCCTTGCCCTCTACAGGTGGGTGGAGAGGTCCTTCCTCAAGTGGAGGAGTTCAAGTATCTCGGGGTCTTGTTCACGAGTGAGGGAAGAATGGAGCGTGAGATTGACAGGCGGGTCGGTGCAGCGTGCGCAGTGATGCGGTCGCTGTATCGGACCGTTGTGGTAAAGAGGGAGCTGAGCCGAAAGGCAAAGCTCTCGATTTACCGGTCAATCTTCGTCCCCTCCCTCACCTATGGTCATGAGCTTTGGGTAGTGACCGAAAGAATGAGATTGCGGATACAAGCGGTCGAAATGAGCTTCCTCCGCAGAGTGGCTGGGCGCTCCCTTAGAGATAGGGTGAGGAACTCAGTCACACGGGAGGAGCTCGGAGTAGAGCCGCTGCTTCTCCACGTCGAGAGGAACCAGTTGAGGTGGCTCGGGCATCTGTTCCGGATGCCTCCTGGACGCCTCCCTGGGGAGGTGTTCCGGGCACGTCCCACCGGGAGGAGGCCCCGCGGAAGACCTAGGACACGCTGGAGGGACTATGTCTCTCAGCTGGCCTGGGAACGCCTTGGGGTTCCCCCGGACGAGCTGGAGGAAGTGTGTGTGGATAGGGAAGTCTGGGCGTCTCTGCTTAGACTGCTGCCCCCGCGACCCGGCAACGGATAAAGCGGAAGAAAATGGATGGATGGATGGATGCATTAATAGTATTTGTGAAAAGTGTTGCAATTTTGTTAAAATGGAGATGAGCGTAAGATAGTGCCCCACAAGTCTTAATTTTATATTGAACCATTTCGAAACAATTTGAAATATATTGTATCAAATTGAAAGATAAGATAAGATAAACGTGAATCGTATTGTGTTCTGTATATCAAGATATCGCCAGGCTCTGAAAGATACCCAGCCCTAACTAGGAGAATTCAACATTTTCCACTGTTTTTGACATTTGCAGTCATTCTTATATTTCTAAGTCCGTGCCAGAGCGCTAAACATTGCCATAGCCAGATTTATATGCTGACAATATGCTGTTTGTAAAGAAATTAATGTCAAATAAATAATTGCAGTCTTTGCGATAGAATAACTGCGGCCACTGAGATTTTAGATTCGCTTGCTATCTATCATGCAGCCATGGCACCAACGCCTTTAATTCACTCCTCAAAACAATATAAACAATTGATCCAGTCTACTGCATAGTAAGCACACCTCAATCCCATCAAAATGCACAAATAATGGCAGCTGAAATCCACATTGAAATCTACACAATAGTCTTGCAAGCGCACACAGTGATAATTACTCAGCAGGCTTACACGCGCAGCTTCTAAGCCCATCCTCGAGCTCAATACAAGCTTGGTCAAACTCAATACGGCTTCCCGGGAAACACATCCAAAACAAACAAAATTAGGCTTTTAGGTGCTCAGAATGCTAACTTGACATTTCCAATTAAACACATCCCAAACAGAAGCTACACACTTCCTGGTTTTTGGGTCTGTGTTCAGTTTGTATGTCTCGGCTGTGTGCCACTCAGTCACTTCGACCTCGGAAAGCTCCAATTCCTGGCATAGGAACAGAAAGTCAACTCGATTCAAAGGGTTTTTACTTACTCGCCTCAGAGATTCGCCAAATTCTTTATGCATAAAAAGAGTGGTACAGTATGTGAAATGGACATGGAAAAAGCAATGCAAGAAGCAGAGAGGTTTGAATATATATCTCACTACCCATATTGCGGTCACGTTTTTAGGTAAACCACATCAATAAGCATGCTACTTAAAGATTTTCTTTTTTGTATACACAGTGTTGGTCCTCTAGTGCTTTTTGCTTCTTCTCAGCGACCTCCAAAACCACTTTTCGCTTTTACACCACTTTCATTTTTTCCCGAAATCACAAAGAACTCTCCATGTGCGGCAAGATGTGACGCATGATTGTGACAGTGACAGTGCAGAAGGAAAATAATGGAGGTTGGCCAGCCAGAATACATGCTGTTTCAAATGTGTAATGTTCATTATGTTTAAGGATTACATGCTGTTTCCATTCCTTTTATGCACCTTTACAAAAACATGGAGTCTGGGAGGGTGCGTGATCGCTACGGTTTACCAGTGGGTTATGACAGACGAGATTAACCGATTAGACAAAAAAATACTTCCAATGCTGTTTCTTGTGCTGGTCTGGCTCTGTCTGGTTGGAGCTGATACTGTGCATAAACAAGGGGCCTCTAGCAGGCTACCTTTATTTATTAAAGATTTTAATGCTATCTTCATTTGTTCAGTACTTTGAGTTGCCTTGTGCATGAATTTTGCAATACAAATAAACTTGCCATGCCTTTGATTGTACAGCTATGTTGCAGTTATGGAGGTAAGATTGTAGAGAATATGCCTAATCATCCCACAGACTCGGGTTACTAGAATTCTATTGCAGACATGTGACACTTTTGGGTAGGAGCGTCTGGGGCTGATGATAAGTATCTCTGTCCAACGCAGAAGCAAGCAGAATAACAAACCATTTTGATTGGGTGTATGTTCAAAATTTGCTACGTGTTCATTTTTCTACCAAAAGCGGCTGTAAGGATGAGAAAATGACCATGGACATAAGGGTGTGTGGGATTTTCTTAAGACCAACTTCCTGTGTTAAAATCCGGTGCTCTAGCTTGAAGTTACATATACTCAGCATCCTCGGACAATATGATGCTAAAAATAGAAGCAAGACCAGGGATTAGAAGGAGAAAGACGGACTTAACACCAATATTTGATCCAAGGCCACGACAATTTCTTAAAACCCACCCAAACGTGCCACCGGCAGACGAGGGGTAAAGCCAACACGACCATTTCCAGACAGCCTTGGGACCAGTCTTTTGTTTCGCTGGATTGCATGCTCTTACAAACTTAATTTAAGCCCAGTAAAACATTCATCACTGCTGCAGAGGTCAGACCAAACCACCGGGGGCGAAGGGGACAATCATTCCCAAAGTCAATGACACGACTGTCCCTCTTGGCTGTAGTGACAACACAAGCTCGTCCGGAAGTGATGTGGTGTCAAAGGACAAATAAGACAAGGGGGATTGGGAAGTCGAGCAAAAAAAATGAAAGTCTTAACAGCAGAGAAGCAGATTATGTGATTAAGAAATTACATAAGAGCGCAAAAAGCACAAGGCAGCTGCTCAGCAAATGTGTCAGTAGACCTACAGGGAGCAAGACTGGATACAGGGCAATACTGTCGTCATGCCGACTCATAGCTGTGAGATGTACAGACTGTTTTTCTCTTATACAAAAGCATTAATATAGTAATTAATTTTGCAATACTGTTTTGACATGTCTCAGCACAATTTTGACCATCACAAAACTAGAAAACTCACATTTTAAAGATGTGATGAATTATTCGCTTGATCTTTCAGCAAGGGGGGTTCAGTCAAAGTGGGGTTAAGTGTCTTGCCCAAGGACACAACAACAGCAGACATCAGAGGGAGTAGGGATTAGGTCTCGTGGTGGGCTCTTACCCACGACCTTCAGGCTCAAAGGCCAATGCTCTACCAACTGAGGCACTGTCGCCCCATTCAAAAACTTGTGTGGCTTGCTTTCTAAAAGTTACTCAACAAAAATATTTTAGAACGCTGCACCCTTACAGCCAAAACACCACTAATTGCATGTTTGTTTGGAATCACTCAGTGCGCTGTTAACTCCCCCCACATGCCATCCAAATTTCGCTGAACACATTTTTTTTTTTCTTGTGTACAAAACATGTGAAAGCCATAGCTAATTTGCATGGAAAAACTCAAAGAAACAGGTGGGGGAGATGAAAGCACTTGTCTGATCACCCAGAGTGTTTTTGGCCTTAAACTTTTTTAAGACTTTTACTTTACACACTGGTGGTTTTCATGCATGCCCATCTCTCCTCCTGGAGTTTTACGGTGCAACAGAGCAAAGCAGAGCGCAGGTATAGTGTAATTTGTCTCACAGGTCGAGCTGTGGACTTGTGAGATTCAAACACATCTTTACTCACATCGTCGTCCAGCTCATCATCGTTGTTGTCGTCTTTGAGGTCGGCGCTGATGTTGGGCGGTTCGTAGATGGTGCGCCCGTTGCAGTCGCCGTACTCCGTCACTATGGAGGGGCAGAGCGTAGATGCCTGCAGGATCTCCAGAGAAGCAGGCCGCAGTCTGTTGGGGTCTTCTTTCTCCTCCTCTGCGTTCTCCTCCTCCCCTCCTCCCTCTCCGGACAGCAGGCTCTCTCGCTCTCCGCTGGTGTCTCGTCTCTTGAGGCTCGGGGCCCTTCCCAGACTGTTCCAGCTGGAGCGCCGGCTGCCCCACGAGCTGCCTGCGCCGCGAGGGAGAGCCGGAGAGCGTCGCCCAGGACTAGAGATGCTCTGCTGAAAGACACAGATAAGCGTAGTCACTCACATGTGTCCTGGCACGGCCGGACGAGTGGTTACCCTCCAGTTACTGCAGACTGGCCTTTCCATAATTAAAAGTCCAGCAAGACTAGATTTTATTTTTGTTTTGTCAGCATTGATGATTTGTAAACTTTTTTTTACAGTTTTATAACATTGTCGATATATTTTTACAAAAAAAAACTAGGCAAGAGCGCATGTGCACGTCCGTGTAGAGCCCTGTAAATAAAGCGGTCAATATTTGTGATACTTTTTTATATAAAAATCGACTTTAATGTCTTTAATGAAGTGCTCATGTGCAAAGCCTTTGGCGCCATTCTTTTACATACATTGAAAAGTGAACTCTCACTCTGGTTTACCGCTCTAAATGATCCTGGTGTTTTGATTTTGATATTGTTTTTTGTATAAAGTCCCAAATTCCAATTCAGCTAGCGACACTCCTGATTGGCTCGTTAGTTGCTAGGTCGTTGCCACCCATGAATTTGGCACCAGATTCATGCACCTTTTTGAATGAGCTCAAATCAGCACTCTGTAAGTCTGTTTAACTATGTTTGTTCTCATGTTCTCATAAATGTGTATAAATGTTACTTGATGGAAACACTTAGTTATGTTGCAAAAGAAAATTCTTAAACCCATCGAGTCATGTATTGTTTGTTCCACTTTAATCCGTCATATTTTCATAAAAAAGTGCTAATTTTGGTCTTATAGATGAGAGGTCCATCTATAGTTGCAAAGGTTGACCAAGAAGAAGCAATAGGTCTTCTAACCCAAACAGCCATTGACTATTAATAGTAGAAAAACAGGAAAAGGTTCAAAAACTCACCAAAGAACGCTGGTCGTACGCGATGGGGTCTATGGACGTGCCAGCGCCTCGAGACTCCGCAGTCGCACTCCCGCTTTCAGACAGAGAGATGGCGTCTCTGAACTGCTGCTCGTCCCCCAGGATGGAGTCGGGCCCCAGGGAGCTCTTGGGCGTGGGCATGGGCGTGGCAGCAGTGTGCATAATAATGGGCGGAGCCACAGAGCCGCGTTCCACGTGCCCATTGGCGGTCATCATGAGGGAGTACATCTTCAGCTCTGGAGTTCAACAACATTTTTTATCAAACAAGAAAAAGCCAAAAATCAAAAGGTAGAATTTTGAGGACTTTAAACCATGTTATAACAATGTTATAAAATCCTTAAAGATTTTAGATTTTCAGAAACTCAGAAGTTCTGACTTCCCACATGGGGTTGAACGTTGCTCAATTTGGAAATTCACGCAGAAACTGGGGCTGAGACTGATTTCCCAAGTTTGCGTCACTGTGACAAATGTCAGATTGGGATTGGATGAAAGAGACACCAAGGTTTTCCTTCACAAAATGAATATGTTTAAGCCAAAGATCAGTTTAAGTTTACAATTTGTTAATTTATGGCAGAAATATTTGAGAACTTGTTCATATCACAACAGTCGTTGGTGTCTTTGCCTTTCTCAAGAATAAGCAGAGAGAATCCTGGTACATCTTTGCAAATTGTTGTCGCTGCTGCACGCACGCGTGTGTGTGCGTCATCAGTGTCACCAGCATGAACTTGATTTTGATAAATTGGAAGATTATGTAGATACCAGAGTTTCAAAGATTGCTTAAAAGCACCCAAAAGTCCTTGTATGATGTCATTGTACCACTATGACATCAAGCTCTGAGCAGTTAACTGCCTTTTAAAACAAAAACTATGCATAAATAAGTGAAATTAAGTTTTGGTGAAATGACGTTCTTCACTTTCGTTATATACTTTCAAGTTAACATATGTTTACATATTCTAAAACATGAAATGACCAAGTTCCATAATCATGTTTAAACCAAGAATAATGCAGCATTGAGATTGGACACAGCATGTAGATTTTCTTTTGATCAAATCTTTCAAAACGTATTTTTCATAAAGTAAAAGCCATTGCCCTTTTTCTGAAGTTAGGACCATTTATCTTTAAGCAATTATTAGGTGTTCTTAATTACAGGTCAAAAGCGTGGGCAAAAGCAACAGAAGGGATGTTTTTTTTTTTTTTGGCAATAACAACATGGTTTCATCAGTTGCATATTCATACACCTCAAACAGATGCGTAATATCCTCTTAGATGAGATAAGATAAGATAAACGTTATTGTCCCCATGGGAAATCTGCTGTGAGATACAGTGCTACACAGATGTGCATGATCAAATTAAATTAAAAGAAACATAAAAGTTCTTACCCGTGTCTCGCAGCTGCTCCACTTTCTCATCTTCTGAAAAGTTATCCGATTTCCCCTCATCGTCAGATTCAGACCGATTTGCATCTCCCTTTAAAACAAAAAAGTACAGATGCTAGTGTGTGAGCCTTCATTTGGGTTTGCAGCAGTAACTGAGTGGGCTCTATTGTAATGATATCCGCTGTCCGTCATGTGCAGCAGCAGCCTCGGACCCCCTCGCTCAGTTGGGAGCTAATTAAAAGTAATTGAAGGTCCTTTCACAAACCCACTTGTGAACAAAAAAAATGAAAAAAAAGACTGCTGAGAATTCATTTGTACTGGTTCATCAAACTGCAGACACTATTGAAGTCTGAAAACTGTGGAAATAAAGCTTTATGTTTCATTTCTATTTTGTTGTGTTCAAACGACATGAAAGACTTGTTTTACGCGAGGAGTACTGGGCAGACCAATTTGACTGATTTATAAAGTGATTATTATCCCAACTGTTGGTTTCACAGGCAAACATTCTGAGTCACTACATCGTGTACAAGGAAAGACACTGAATAAACAGTATTAAAGTTATATTTTGTAAAATCTAATTTTGTTTGATTATTATAATTACACATTATGCAACAATTTTCTTTTAGCAATGTAAAAACAATGTTCCCTCATTTTTATCTCTCTTTTTATCAACTTTGTAAAGTCCCCCGAGACGACTGCTTTTGTGATTTAGGGCTGTACAAAAATAAATGGAATAATTTGCAACCCAGCAGTCTTAAAATAATTTCTTTTTCATTTGTATTAGATTTAGTAATGTACAGTATGTACTATTGTCTTTTATGGGATCTCCAGACCTTGCCCTCTACAGAACACTAGCTTTGAAACTAAACCTGGCATCTTTACAGCATTGACCCCGTTGAAATAAAAAAAAGACAAAGACAACCCTTCACCCCTTCTAGGGCTGGGCAATAAATCGAATTTAGGCAATTAATCAGCTTTTTAAAAAATCTAATTTGTGAAAAATGTAAAAATCATGAAATTGAATGAAGGATATTGTGAGAGTTCCAGCAGCACATGAATTATACTTGCAATATCAGCACAGTCTGTACAAGACTTTTATAATACGTATTGGTGTAAAATAGTTTTGAAACTTGAATATTGAGAGGAAACATAAACAAAAATTGAGGGCAAAGTGTGTCTTTGGTGACTTTAATGAAAATTTATTTAAAATCAAAACCGTCCAAAGCAGGAAATAAAATCGAGATTATACTTTTTTGCTGTCTGGGGCGACAGTGGTCAGTTGGTAGAGCATTGGCCTTTGGGCCTGAAGGTCGTGGGTTCAAGCCCACCATAAGAACTACTTCACGACTCCCACTGATGACTGCTGTCGTTGTGTCCTTGGGCAAGACACTTAAACCCACTTTGCCTGAAGCCCCCACTGAAAGATCTCAGCTCCTGTGGACTCACCACCTGCAGGAGGATCAGTGAGGGGCTGGTGCTAAGTGTACTGGGTGCAGCTCTGACTGCAACCCCCCCCGACCCAGAAATGGATTAAGGGGAAGAAAATGGATGGATGGATGGATACTTTTTTGCCATGTCGCCCAGCCCTAACCCCTTCTGTGTAAAAGCTCAATTCGGTAGACCAAACTTTTTGTGTGAATAAATCGCCATCACAAATGAATTGTTCTCAAAATCCAGTAAAGACTAAAATCTTGAGTTTGTTAATATACTATACAATTCAATTTCCTATATTTTTTTTATATGATACAAGTAACCCACTTATACCATGGCCCCTGCACCCCTGGTTGGGAAACATAATACCAAACACATACAACTTTAGAGCAACATACAAGAGAAAAATACAATTCTTTCTCTTATTATAACTAATGGAAGAGATTTTTTTTCTAAACCAAGATCTAAAGGAAATAAAGTCAGCCCTGTTTGAGGAGTATTAGTCTTTACAGAGGAGCTGCAGGCGAAGCCATCCCACAAACTGGAGTAATAAATGCAAACCAACAACACACAGGCCGTGGCTCTCACCTCCGCCTGGAAGCCCTCCACCAAAATGGCCACCAGTAAATTGAAGAGCACGTAATTGCCGAACGTCATGAGAGCCACGAAATAGAGCGCGGCCCATGGGGAGGTGGAAGCCATGCCGTTATATAGGACCACGTTCCAGTCCTCTTGGGTCAGGATCTGCAGAGTCAACAGCAGAGCAAACATCAATGTGTAGACAATCTGTGTAAGGCACAAAGGAATGATTGAAAATAGAAAAACGCTCCTGAACGCACTACAAGTCACGCTGCTTCTATTGACGGAAGTGAGCGGGAGAGAAGTCTTTAGGAGTTAGTGCGCGGACGTAGTGCTCCTCGTATTATTACGCCTCACAATATAGTACCCCTTTTTATCCGCTGAGAAAATCGACATGTTACATTTCTGTGTTACTATACTTTGTAGTGTAACACGTAACGTAACTGTATTTAAATAGGGAACACGTGGAAGAGTTTGGTAGCTTCTAACGGGAGCTGATTTGTTACTATACAGTCTGTGGAAGAGGCTGCGTTTGTGCTCCGTTTGCATGACAGAGCGCACGGACAAAGACCAGACAGGTACATATCAACTAGGCTAAGGTAAGGTAAGAACATATGTCAGTATGTAAAAACGGTGGCCTATTCCTTTAAACTGCAAATGGCAAAGATCTATTTTTTTTTTTTTTACTCCAAGGATTGCAAAAATCTACATAATGCATCTTCTAAGGTCAAGGTATGCTTTATGATCCCCTAATAGCAATTTGTTCTCTGTCAGGAGCAGTGTTCGGCGTAGTATTATACATTGTGCATAATTTTAGGTGGGAGGGTAAACCGCAGCACCTGGAGAAAACTTATAAGGATAACACCCAAACTCCACTCAGAGAAAGGCCCTGTCTGAAGGTGGAACTGAACCCTGGACCTTCTTGCGAGAAGCGAGAGTGTAAACCTTTCAACCACCATAGTATAATTTAGATTACGAGATGTACTATTGTAAAAACTAAAATACATGCAAAAAATTGAAAACAAAAAAATAAAACTAGATTCAAATACTTCAATACCTGGAGTTTAAGGTGTAGCACGTTGTTTTTTTATCCAGTCAATCTCTATAAAAACCTCACCGCAGAAAATTCTAAATACAAGATTAAAAGTGACCACAATACAGCCATATTTCTCATACTTTTTAGCCCTGTGAGCCAGTTTATAAAGCCTGCACATATGTGACGGTCCCTGAGTGTAAATCAGGCTGAGAAATGGGGGCTTTTAAAATGATCCAGCACAGGCTTATTTATCAAAGCCCTATAGGCCACGCGGCATGTAACATCTGACGACATTCTAGAGCAGATCCATAAGTATACTGTTAGTGCAACTTCTCAACCACATTTTAGGATAAATTGCCTCTTCAGCATCTCCCCAATACCCAGCGGTGTGCAGTCAGTGAGCTCCTTCTCCGCATTCTTTGTCTCAATTGTGCTGAGGCAACTACAACCGGAAAAGAGGACAATATTGCGAATGTACAGTGCAATTTGAGAATGTGTGTTTGGCGCAGAGGCCGAGCGGAGGGAAAGAGAGAGAGCTGCCGACGGACTGCCTGTGGAGAAACGGCATTTTGCAGCATTTGACTAATGAGAAGAGTTGCGTGAAGCGATTTCTCGGGCAAAGACCAGAGCACGAACGAGAAAAAAACTGTACTTAGTGTTGTGATGGATCGGTGAAATGCAACAGCCAGAGCAGGAAAACATATGAAGCAGAATGGGGCTCTCTCTCAGTCTTACAGTATGTGTCTATTGATGTTAACAGGCTAATACGTGCCACAGTGAGGCTTTAAACATCTATCTCCATGGAAACAGATTCAGATTCAGTTTATTCGCTGTTTGCAGTTAAAAAAAAAAAAAAACGAATTGGAATATTTGCGCAAAAATAACCAGTGTGAACAATAGGTGACAGAACACCAAAAACAAAAAAAGACAGTTGAGGTTGTCATAATTAAAAGAAATAAAGTGTTAGATTAACCAATTAGTGCTCTGTTCTGTCTGGTGGAAATGTTTTCATGGTGTGAGGTTTTGTGCCTCAAGGCCTAGAATTCCAGAGGGAAGAAGCTGGAACATAGCTTTGCCAGGGCGGCCAGAAGGATAGGGTGGACCATTTACAGTACAGAGCCTGATTAAAAAGTTAGGATTCTTAAAGAGCTTCAAGAATTGGAGGCTCACTGTCTCTTTTGGTAAAGTGGACCACCCTGTTTAGAGCTTTCTTTTGGCAGGGTGGACCATCCTGCTCAAATAGAAGTTCTTCAATGTTTGTATCGGAGCATCAAAAGACCTGAGCAAATATGCTCTTTAAATTTTTTTTAATAATTCAATATGTTATGAAATAACAATAATAAATACAGTGTAAAGAACGCAGGTGCTCTGTTCACTGGAGCATTTTTTAAAAGACGACACATGGACAATTGAAGAATAATGAAAGATAGAATGAAAAAGTGATGATCAATACATAGTTTGATTCCAGCTTGCACACTCACCTGAAACACTGTGACAATGGCCCACAACAAAGAATCAAAGTTCTTGCGGTCAGGAATGGTGTCTCCGGTGTCCGTTTGCAGGCTGAACTTACAACCGAACAGATGCATGCCCAGAATACTGACAAAGACAAACAAAAGACACATTTAGCGCAATTTATTGGAGTGACGCCGCCGTAGTAAGAGGCAAAATGTCTTGTACTTACTGTAATTGTATTCATACAAGCAAAGGTGGCAAAAGTTCTAGTCTTAGGTCCAAAAGGAGCAATATGCAAAAACTGGCCAAAAGTGGTACTGCACTCTCCCTGACTCAGGTTGCCAGATATGCAGACTAATCCAGCTGGGACCATAATATCTGAATAGACAAGAGTTTTGTTGACAACAAATCTCTAAGCAACACCTATATCACAAAGGCCCTGATAGAAATCCACGTTATATTACTTGTTTTGTCATTTATGATTTGAGAATCATAACAAGACCTTTTATTGGCCTGGCATGTTACTTTACCAATGAGATTAGTTTGACACAGTGAGTTCTGGCAACCTGGATCACAGTTGTGGTGAAATACTGACACCAAAAAATAAAAAACTCTCAACTGAACATGAGAGAAACGTCTGTCTATTCTTGAATAATGAGAAAGATTCCCATCACTCTTCTGACAGCCCGAGTGGAGTGTGTGGAGTGAGCAGCCACCTGAATGTGAAGATGAAGAGCATGAGGAGCATGCAGAAGGTGGCCACGTTGTCCATGGTCTTCATCAGGACCACCAGTTGTCTCCGGAGCGCGGGCAGGAAGCGCACCAGCTTCAGCACCCGCAGCAGCCTGAAGGTCCTGAGCACCGACAGGCCTCCATCCGACTGCCCGATGATCTCCCAGACACTAGGGGCAGCACAACACACTGTCACTCTAGAACAGCCATTCCCAAACTCAGTAACACCGAGGCCCCCTTAAAAATCTGACGGGTCTGCGTGGCCCCCCAAAATAATAACCAAGAAGACAACATTAAGAATAGGCTCTTCTGGTTATTTTATTTTGGGGAAATAGCCTCTGCTACAAACATTGTAATACAAAAATGATTACAGTGGATTATTCAAGTCAAATAATGAACACAAATATTTTAATATTACAAACAAAACATTATAAATTTAACATTAAATAATTATATTATTTTTTTTATTTTATTTTTTGACCTCCCGCGGCCCCCCTGCAGTACCCTCGCGGCCCACCAGGGGGCCGCGGACCCCACTTTGGGAGACACTGCTCTAGAATGTTCTAACAGTGGTGACTTATTTGATTTGATCCCTGTTTAGTAGAAAATATATTGTTCAAAATCTAAAGTTTTGAGCTTTTAACCCTGTTAACACTAGGCAAGGCAAGACAAGACAGGTTTATTTGTATAGCACAATTCGTACACAAGGCAACTGAAAGTGCTGAACAAAGTAAGAAAGCAATAGAATTATAAATAATCACAGTATATTAAAAATAAAGATACAAATATAAAATCCCTCAGTTGTATGCACAGCTAAACAGAACAGTTTTTAACCAGGTTTTAAACATTGTCAGAGAGGAGGCCTGTCTCACATCTTCAGGAAGATTATTCCAGATTTTAGCAGCATGAATCTGAAAAGCAGCCTCCCCATGTTTAGTTCTGACTCTGGACACTAACAGGAGTCCAGTCCCTGTGCTCCTCAGAGTCCGGGCTGGTTCATATGGGACTAACATGTCACTAATATATTTTGGTGCGAGGCCATGGAGAAACTTGTACACAAGCAAAGCTGTTTTAAAGTCTATTCTCTGAGCCACAGGAAGCCAGTGCAAAGCTTCCTGTGACACTAGAACTCCATGAGCGGCCAAGGGTTGGGTTGAGTTGAGTTGAGTGTTTATTTATTTCGAGTTCATGTACATCAAATCATCCATTTACAGTTACTTGCTACAATATTGACATCATTCAAACTCAAAAAGGAGTGGGAGGAAGAAAAAAGTCTGATAAATTCCCACCCCTGTGAACAACACACTTACACCCGTGTGTCCGAAGCAAGTAGTAGAGTTCTGGTCCTGGACTGGATCTGGGCTGCGCTTTTCCACCAGAGCAGAGCAAGTGCTGGTTCCCATAGCAACACACACAATACTTGCAGTGATTAGCATTTAGCCTATCACCAAAATGTTTTTGCTGTATTTCAGAATATATTCACCAGCTTCAGCACTTATTAAAAGGTAAGTAAAGGTAAAAAAAAAACCCTATGAATTGTTAATTCATTCATTTTCATTCCCTTAATCCACTTCTGGGTCAAATTCCTTTGATTTGAAAGGGAGCCGTCAAAATTCTTGAGTTGTTTTTAGAACCATCCACACTGATATTAGTAACTACTGGCACAAACATGTAACTGTGTCTAAAAGCTCCTGTCTCAGTCCTGCAATAGTATGTTGCCATTGTAAAAGCAGTTTTACAAATCTGAATTATGGCTGCAGAAATGTATGGCCACAACAGAAACAATCTTGCTCGAGTAAATGTTTGAGAATTAATGAGACCACAGCATTTGGTCTTCATCATTTAAAAACTACACAATGTTTTGCATACTATTTGATGATTTGGGCTGAGGGAAGTCTTCTTTATTACTTGTCTGTCTGAAAAACCTAATCAAAAAATGGGGCAAAGGCCAAAAATACATGCATGTGGTTTGAAAGTTAGGTAGTCAGGCTTCAACACTTTTCTTTACTTATTTTGTACCATAAATGGGAAGCTGAAAATGTCATTCGACACATTGTTGAATGGAATGTGGAATGTGTGTGTTTCATTCTCCAAACTTACAAAGAGTTGGTATGCAATCATCATTTAGCAAATATTTCCCATAATTCAAATGTCTCCCATAATTCCATGGATAGTTGAACATGTTTTGCCGTTGGAGCTCACGGTGCCCTCAGCCATCGATCAGTGTCAGTCTGAGCTCCAGTTCAGGCCGAGGGTGAGCTGCGGCAAACTAATGACTGACAAGCAGCAGGAGAAATGTGCAAAAAGACCAACTCTAGCTCAGTTCAGAGCAGACAGAGACAACTTGGACTATGGGTTTTAACTGTGCATCTAATTTCATCTAATGTCAGAACGTGCAATATGAAACGTGTTCACTTGTTTCTTTACTTTTCTCATCTGTGCAATAATAATTGGATTAATGTCAGAATGTGCAATATAGAACCACATGTGTCCACTATAACCTTACTTCAGGCAAGTCAAACTCAGGCCAAATTTAAGTGCCTAAAAAAATTCCTAAACTTAACTGCTAATTTTAGCTTTTTTAGTAATTTGTACTTTTTTAAAAATTGCCTTTGAGTGTCCAAATATATAAGTACAATGTATTAGTATTATTAGGGCCGGGACTTTAACGCGTACATGAAGATTAATTGATAACAGAAAAAATAATGCGGAACATTTTTAAGGAAACGTTTAACACTTTCCACAATTTTGTTGCTTAAGTTTATGTGTTCAATGATGCTCAAAAAATCCATGTGAAAAAAAATCTTCTCACTGTTCTCAGGACAAATATTTATATGCGATAAAAATGTAATTAATTACAAAGCCTCTGCATTAGAGCCCTCATCCTTCTCTCCAGCATAGCTCCCTAAGAGTCCACACTTCTCCCCATCACAGAGACACATTTCCTGATCAGCCTTATATTATATATAATATATATATAATATATTCCCAACCCTAATTTTTATCAATAAATGTTTGCACTGACATAAATGAAGTCAATACAGCTGCTTTAACCTGGTACAATGCATCTCTCATTTTTGCTAATGTCCGTTGTACACTGTCCCTGTAAAAATAAAAATCATACCCTACCATTACAAAAAGCTGTGAAACTACACTGCAGGCCTGTTGGTGGCGTTGTGATGCAATGGGATCAAGGCTGAACTTTCATGAAGGGATTTCATGGGCATGCTCACTTGCGCAGATATGTGTGAACAGATTTCAGGAGATTTTGCTGTTAATCTCTTGACATGATAAATGATAATGATACATGATAAATGTGCACTTTATTGTCCCGGTAGGTAAATTTGTCCTCTGCATTTGACCCATCCTGATGCCACCAAGGCTTCCGTCAGGAGCAGTGGTACAGAATCAGCTGCTCTATCTGCAAGACATAAACAAAAGAAAAATAATCTAAGTTACCTGATGATGACGATGATGCTGTCAAAGATGTTGTATGGATTCTTGATGTATCCGAAGAGTCCAAAGGCCAGCAGCATGAAGCCCATCTCCAGCACAAACATACTGGTGAAGACGATGTTGCTGATCTCCAACACGTCCGTGAGCTCCTCCGGCTGAAGACATACAACAAAATACTTAAATGGAAATGTATATAAATCACGGGTGAATGTCACTCCGGCCAGATATGGATATAACAGAACACTTTATGTATTTATATATATCACAACAGTATTTTTCTTGGAGGACTTTACCATTGAATTCGCCAACACAGATCAGAGAATCAAACAGTTCAAAGACAAGAAATAAAAGAGAAAACACGTTGGTATTGTTTCATAAAAGGCAGATGACCAATGTCCATAAGTGTTGATAAATGTCCATACATTTGATGAATGTTGCGAATCATCATTGTCCGTCATTTTAGACTTCACAAGGGTTTAACAGACCCTCCTGCATCGTCCAGAGAGGGATCCGCTCTCAATGTGGCACAAATCAAGCTTCTATTATCTTTCTTTCTATTATCTTACTATCTACACAGGTTTAAAGCAAGTTTAACTTTCTGCTGCAGAAGGTGTGAAAACATTTTGGCATCCTTTTGTGAAAAAATCTGTTCAGTTTCTTCACAGTATAAGAAATCATACAATTTACATTAACTGTGGCAAAATTGTAAGAAAAAGCAGAGTCACTATTTGACTATGTGAGCTTTTTGGATCCATCCATCCATCCATTTTCTTCCCTTTAATCCATTTCTGGGTCAGGGGGGTGGCAGTCAGAGATGCCACCCAAGTCTCATAGCACCAGCCCCTCACTGACCCTCTGCAGGTGGTGAGTCCACAGGAGGACGGCTGCTCTCTGACTGTGAGCATAGCCTTGATCTTTCAGTGGGGGCTTTGGGCAAAGTGGGGTTAAGTGTCTTGCCCAAGGACACAACGACAGCAGTCATCAGTGGGAGTCGATGGAGAAGGTGCATAGGTGGGAATTGAACCCACGACCTTCTGGCCTTAAGGCCAATGCTCTACCAACTGAGCTACTGTCGCCCTTTGGATCCTCCCTTTTTAATTTTTCTCTCCAAAACAGCCGGCAACAACGGCCATAAAATGCTTGTGAAAAGTGATAGAGCCAGTGATAGAACCAAATTGTTTTAGAGCCAGGAACTAGCTACATGGATGAAAGTAGCGGGGTGAAAGTTGATGAAAGTAGTGGGTGAAAGGTGCCTAAGGTTCAGATGAGAAAGTGGAGAAGCATTGTTTTATACCTGTGGGATAACAAATGTAAAATAAACCAAGGCTGTCCCAGTCAAAAAATTATAATACCCATCCTAAAAAAAATATTTCTACTTTTCATACTTTTATCACAACCGTTTCCCCATTACCTCAAGGACAGTACATCAACCACCTCAACAAACAAAATGTTCGCGACTACTGCATTAACCTGTTATTTCAGCCTTTTTTTCTCGGTTCTCTTTGGGACTAAGATGCGATCCATCAGGTATGGAGCGACAGCCAGTCTAAATCACTCACAAAGCTCCAGTAGCAGTCATCCATCAGCAGCCGATCTACTCCACTTACCCCAGCGCAGTGCGGCCGGTGACCCAGCTAACGTACAACGGCGGGCGCTTCATAAAACATGCGCGGGCTTCTTTATGAGCTGCGCTGCACTTTTGTAAGCTGGTAAATGAGCAGCTTTTCCATTTGAAAAGCTTGAGTTCACTTAATGCCGTAACACAAATACAGCCTGCGTTTTCAAATAGAAACAGGATTCAGTGGCAGAATTGGACTTTACACGGTCGTAATGCATTTTGCCTTGACCTGGTTCCAGATCTTTGCAACAGCTGGGTCTGGCCGCGTGGCACAAAAACTGGCACAAAGTTCAGTGTTTTGCCTGTCAGCAGTTGATTTCATAAGCTTCATGAGTAAAAGAAGCATACTGTCATGCCCGTGTTTGATTGTCTGTCCCGCACGAATGTGTCTTACCTTTGTCTCTCCCATAGACTGTAAACATGAACGAACGTAGTCACGCCTATCACGGCTATCCAACGTTGAAACTAATGTGTTCCCTCTTTTCGCCGTCTATGGGTAGTTTCAAAATGGCCACGGGGCAGGAACATTTGGAAAAAATGCATTTGCTCATGCGTCAGCATGAGCCCCTTTCATTTGACGAGAGCATTGTAAAGTCCATAGCGGCTAAACTAGACTGGTCCAAAAAAAACTCCCTTCAGCATTGAGACACATGTGGAACGTAGTGTTGGGCCAAGAGCGACTTTTGGACCACCCTATAAAGACGTTTTCCAGAGGAAAAAAGACGCCATAGCATTGGGTAATTCTCTTTCTGGGTCCACCCCCACCGGCCCAGAGTGAGATTGCAGCATGTCAGCGCACATGCTCATGGACCTTTTTGAGCCGGGACCCACCCCAAATGGTTTCTCCCCAATTATTTTTTTTCTCAGTGAGACTTTCCTATTTAAATGAATAAAAGTAATAAGGAGTGGAACTATTGAACAAGCTCGGATTAGATATAAAGCAATGTGCAAATGTGAAGTCATTCAAAAGCCCCTACAGACAAATAATATGCAACAAGTCGTAAGAGTGTAAATAACTTCTGATGAGAAAAATTGGATGTACAAATATTGCATCCTATAATATTGAGCTCAGAAGTGGGCTAAGCTTCAGGCTCTGGAAGCATAAGTGGTTGTATGGCTTTCGAGATCAATCTTGTTTCTGAAAAAATCTTTCAATCTAGAACTACAATACCCAGAATACTTGGTAGTCCTGTGATCATACTATGAAGCTGTCTCAAGAGACAGATGTGTTTTTTTTTAATAATCAGGAAGTAATATGTTCACAGCCTTGCACCTTTTCTTTTTGGATTCAAGAAAAACCTTTTATGGTCATAAATGACTGTCCAGCTAATTAGCGTGTGCAGTGTCTTTAAACTCTTGAGATTTGAAATTTTCGGAAGTCCACGGATTTCTCATAGAAAGGCAGTTTTTGTGCTTGGTGGGACTTCGGAGCTGAACACAACAGACCAAGAAAGCAATGGTGAGAAGTAAGAAATCAAAGAAAGGAAAATAATGTGGTAAAGCAGAGATTTCTCCTTCCAACTCCCTTTTGAACACAAGTTTTTATTTTTATTTTATTGACTGCTTTAACATCAACGCCACCCCAAAGACACATATGGTTGAAATAACAAATCAATGGATCAATTATTCAGTCATAAATGTTGTGTTCTTTGCCCGTTTAAAGCGTGAGTCTTCTGTGCATGTATATGGTGCAGTAAACAGGGTTATTGGCCGCGCCTCACTTGACTGGTCAGTCTCATTAAATATAATTGCTGTACTTTTCATGCAGGGATCATCAAGAAAGTTTAAGCCGGCTTTCCAAAATTGTACTCATAAAGCTACTAATAACATGATTGTATATGAAATGACGTTTTATCACAGAGGATACCATTTCACTGCTCTACTCGTGTGGACAGGGTTTCGTCTTTGCGTGATTTTTGTGCTGAACAATAAAGATCTGATATTTGAACAACATTTTAGAGTTGTGATGCCTTGGCAATGCTTTTTTCAATCCTTTTAATTTGGCAAAAACATGATTGTAAAAACTGGGATGAAATACTTCCTCAACAGCTTTACGCTTTTGTGTGGCCCTAAAACACATCTCAAGGAAATCTGAATAATTTTAAATGTTGAACTTTTGGATTGGAAATTTGGCAATTTTCTTTTTTCTCACAAATATTTTTTAATATTATTTCATTGTTCCTAATGTTGATAGTGAGCAGCAGAATATTCCTCCAAAACACAGTTCCCATTTCCCAAAGCTAATTTGACTACAAAGTATTACACACATTTGATTTGACTCATAGCTGAAAGACTTTGATAATGATTACTTTTGTTCATTTTCATTACTGTGTTTATGATTTTTTTTTTCTAAATCTGTGCAGCACTTGGGAGCTTTTTTTTTTTTTTTACGAAGTATACTAAATTAAGTCAAATAAAGTGGATTGGAAAGCACCTTCACTTGAGCTGAAAAGGCCGAAACACACACTGTACATACCAATTACAATCCAACCACTCTAACCAATTACAATTCATTTTCTACTGCACACTCTTTAAATAACGTCCACGTGATTTATTTCTAAACTTGTTCCCTTTTGCATATTGTACTGCGCCTCCAATCTTGAACACACCGTATGTAGAACAGAAGACTCCTCTCATTACCAGAGCTCCTGAACATGTCGACTCCAGCCAATCACGTGTTTAACTGCGCAAATTACAGCTCTCCGTGCTCTTGACGGATACAATGGAGTCTATATGATGATACATGAGCAAGAAGTCAGCTATGCAATGTAATCTGAGACGCAAAGCAGCTCGGCTTAATGCGTGTGTTCAGGCCGATGTCGAAGTGGTTTTTGACACTAGGGCAAAAACGAAAGGATTTGTCAAGAAATAAAAATACATTGAGCATGAAATTATTTGATGTTTTGTGCTCGACTGTTTGTTACCAGTGTTTTCCTTTGAGAGTTCTGCCATAAAATCTTGAAAGGTTTTCGGAAGGGCGCAAAGCCACAGAGCAACACCCATGCTTATATTTAACACTGGCATTTTCCTTGCTGTGTTACACAACGGAGGTTTATTGCATCCACTATATACATCTACATGTGTTTTGTAAGGGCTTTGTAAGAACACCTTCATCTAAAATTAATGAGCTTCACTAGAACGAATAAAGTTTAAAGCAGCTCTCTCTGCTTGTGTACAAGTCCCTGCATGGCCTCGTACCAAAGTACATCTGTTACATATTTGTGGCATATCATCCATAGGCTCTGAGGAGCACAGGGACTGGCCTCCTGCTGGTGCCCAGAGTCATGTCACTAAACATGGGGAGGAAACCTTTTGTCAAAAATTAATGCAGCTGAAATGTGAAGCAGTGTTCCTGAAAATGTGAGACAGGCTTCTAATCTTAACAGTGTTCAAATCCAGGGTAAAACAGTTTTCTACCTGTGCATACAACTGAGGGATTGTTTCTTCACTCTTTTTAATGTACTGGAATGTTTTTGTGTTATGCCTTGTGTGATTGTTTCTATCTTGTTTTGTTTAGCACTTTTGTATGAACTGCGCTAAACAAATATATTTATTTATCTATTGACCTTTATTTAATAAGGAAAGTCCCTCTGAGATTCTAGAATCTCAGGAGTGGGGTTGGGGCGGTTGCCTTGCTTATATGATTACCCGTACCATAGTAGGCAATAAGCAATGCGGATCTTGCGGATCTAATCTTGCACTTTATTCTATAAACACTCTTTTTGAGTTGTTTCACAGTGACAAGTGTTACTCGTGTACTTTTGAATGTGCTTTTATATTTCTAATGGGCTATTATATTTGTGCTATTATATTTCTTCTGTGTCTTTGTCTCTGTTGCCCGCTCACAATACAATGTGTTTTTCTGTATAACTACAAATGGAAAATATTGAATTGAATGGAAAGTGTTATATGTTTATTAATTATGATTTCACACTCTGAATCTAAGAGTTTAGATTAAGAGGTTAGAGTTAGGCCCATTTTTACAATTCAAATGCATAAGAGAAAAAAGCTCATTATTTCTGACGTGCACAGCATTGTACTATTCACCTTCATGTTTAGATACCCTCTGCACCATCACTTCAGAAAGTGAAAGACTTTAAGTTGACCTTGAGACGTTTGTGTTTTTATAAGTGATTCACTAAGTACTTCCATAAAAAAGAAGAATGGGCCCCAATCCAGGTATCAATGCTATCTGTGAGCCAAAAAGAGCACCCCGTCTTGACCCACGTTGCCAACATTTAATAAGGAAGTTGATGAATCACAATAAAATAGTGTGACAAAGGCCCAGTTCATTTGATGCGAAATGCTTTGGTGCCCTTTGGTGCCCACACTTCAGAGCATAGACAGAACGTTGTGCTAATGGAGACAGATGTGGGATAAAGCCAGACATTGTATTCCACATAAGACGACAGAGACTTCTACTCTACTACTCAGAGGTAAAACTGAAAAAGTGGCTCCACTGCTGACCATAAACCAGTCAGTGATCTGAGATATGAGTTAGTGCGAGGATAATGCAGCCGCAGTAACAAAGAGAGCACAGAAGAGCTGCTGCCGACACTGGCAAACATGACGAATGGTTAGCACTCCTAATTAGTGTTGTGCGGTCCCCCTGCTCCACACTGAGCCCAGCAAAACCACTGCAAAAAAACACATCTGCAAAATGATGCTGGACCACAAAGCTCTGGGTGTAACAGCAAAGGCTACAGCAGCAAAACAGTTTTCTATTTAATTCATCATTTCTCTGTAAAGCAATAATTTATGTTATTTTTATCTCTAACTTATAATAATAATGATAATACATACTTCCTAATATATCACTTTTTGGATATTGAAAGTAGCTTTATAAAGGGACAGGTTTGATAAAACTACAGGGAACCACTGTCATTCTAAAACTGAAAATTCGGATGTATATTTTTTTGCGTTCACTGCATTTCCAATTTTGGGAGGAAAATGCAAAATCAAAAATGCTCCATGACGCTGCAGCCTCATGTCTCTGGATCAGATCATTGCACCTGCAGAGGCTCCGGGCACAGGGCACTTGCGGCATCAACCATGCGTTATCCCCCATTTGCATCTGGAACAGTTTTGCAATTATCACAGCAGGTGCCATGAGCGTTATTCACAAAATGTGCAGTTAATAAACTGTCATTTCTAAATCAAAATAATACTCGAAAGGTTTAAAAAAAAAAAAATGTATATCAATTAAAAAAATATCTTATTATTATTATTATAAGTACTAGTACTAAGGTGATAAGGTACTCCAGTCTTAGGCCCCGACTCCACCGGCTGCGTAAAACGTACTACGTATCCGTCCAAACGTGTCTGTTTCATCTCTGTTTACGTTTCTCCATGAGGGTGAATGTAGTCCTTGGTTATAAGTGTTTGTTAATGACAATGATTATAAACAGATGTGTGTAATTTTTTTTCATGTATTAAATTGAAATAATTGTTTCCTAAGAGTAAATGTGACGTTTTTCTAGTAATGTTAATATTGACTCGCTTTCAAAAAAGCCTGGATATGTTGGAGTTCTTTTCTCTCTCCACCCCTTTTTACCAATTTATTTCCATAAGTTTTGCCTCATCCATCGAGACGTCCTCGATGCTTCAATAGTGCCTTGCTCTGCATAGATCATAGCCACAGCTCATGCAAATCACACACCGCTTCTTTTATTTGAATAGTCTGAAGTTAAAACAAAGCCCTAATCACGGGGGGGGGCTTCAGCGGGGGCTTCAGCGGGGGCTTCAGCGGGGGCTTCAGCGGGGGCTTCAGCGGGGACTTCAGCGGGGACTTCAGCAGAGCTTCAGCAGAGCTGCGCGCTGCTGAAGCCAGTGTGGCCACTATTCCGATTTACGCACGCCTGACGGGCAGCAGCTTATGCACGTAAACAGAGACGCGGCTGGTGGAGTTCAGCACTTAGGAGCCATCACGTATATTACTTTTTGCTCGTGAACGGCAATATTCTTCCCAGAAATCTGAGACAACTAGAACTAGTCCTTATTTTACTGCTCCAATTCAAATCAATCAATGGGATTCTGAGAAATTATCAAAAAGGTTTTGTGTTTTCTTTTTTTCTTTCTTTTTTTTTAGAAAGGAGGCTATTTTTACTTGCATTCACTTTTAACAGCTAGAACTGATGAATATAACAGTCGAAAGGCTACCAACCGCAAACAGCGGCAAGTAAACAGTGTGTTGCCATGGTAACTAGCACTCACTCCTCTACGGTGGAAAAACCATTCCAGGATTAGTCCAGACTCCGTCTCGGATCAATCTAGTTGAAAGTTAAAGTTAGGAAGACCAAAAAGGTACATACAATGAGTAATTACGCTTCCATAACTAAAAGCTGTCAACTTGACATCTCTCGGAGTGCTAGTGTCAAAAGTAAAAATTCCTTGCACACTTTAAATGCCTCTCCATATACACACACACACACACACTCGCTGGCGACTGGTGGTGCTGTAAAGTGATCCTGGAGGTGCTAAGGAGGATGATGAGGACCTCGTGCACAAGTCTCCCAGCCTCTAAGCGTGTGCTCTTGGCCCAATAAGGACATGACTCTCCCAGTGTCTGCAGCCGTGTTTACACTGGGCCAGTGCAGAGGACAAACAGCAGCGCGGAGGTGCAGAGATGGATGATGATGCGCCCTGGCTCAGCACAAGCACTCATACCGGCTCCACACAGATGCTTTTTGTCAGGGACTATTTATTTTGCCGTGGGGAGCTTTCACCGGATGAGTGAAGAAGAGAGAAAGGATAACTGAGCATATGGTGGTTTAACGCGCTTACCACTGGTGTAGAACAATGGAATAGGGAGATACTTGATTTAAATACATGAACGTAATCACAAACCAAAAAAAACAGATTCCTCTTTAAAGAGACAGTATGTAATATGCGCTTGCACAATTACAATCACACTTTTGTTGCCAGAATCTTCTTCCTGTGACACATGCAGCAGACCTTTTCGAGTTGATGTGTTTTTGTATAGCCTTGATTCAGGAGGAGCTAACAAAAATGTTTATTCGTTAATTTGCTAGAAACAATACAAACTGTGTGTGTTGCATATGACTACTTATTTCTGAGTTGTGTTGTGTTTTGTTGTGAATTTTGTAAGTATGTATATATATATATATATATTATATGGTGGGGGCAGATACAAATTGTAGATTGATATAAAAATAATGACATAAAAATGTCTTTAAGTAATTTTAACAATTTAAGATCACTTGAGAAACCTCCTCCCCCATAACTGTTTGCAACATGGTAGAAATAATTGACAATAATTCCAATTTCCAATGTAAATCATTACTAATTCAAAATCACTCCAATTTAACTTCAGGTTACATATGAGTGATACTGTGCATGAACTAGATACTGAAGGGAAGATATGATATACTTTTTAATTTGTTATTTGACCTTTATTTAATCACAGAGGTCGATAAAGAACAAATTAGCATTGACCATTTGTCGAACTTCTCTTGGACTCACTTCACCGTATGGAGAGTTTTCTTACTCCTTAGAACAGTGGTCTTCAAACATTTTACAGCAAGTACCACCAAGAGAATATTTGTTCTTCTTTGAGAGCCCCTGGATCCAAACCCTGTCTGAACAAGGACTTCATCATCTAAGTCTAAACAAGGTTGTTTTAAGTGAACACTACACTTTGCTTGAAAACTACTCGATCAGAGGCATTCAGTTTCCTGCTCTGATCTACTGTGGACAATATCTTTGCAGTAGGGCAGTCTGTATTTGCAGGAGTACTTCAAAAGCAATAAAGTATACACGTAGTACTTGGACGAGCATCTTTCGGAGTACCACACCACAGTGTAAGTAACCATGGTGATGATGTAAAAAGATGTGACAGTACTTCTGTACAGTGTTTGATGTTTCCATGCTCGTCCGTCCCTCACCTGCTTGTGGTACTCGATGCCCATGCTCAGGGTGTTGACCAGGATGGCAATCATGATCCCTCGGTTGAAGTATTTACTCTCCACGATGCGTTTGAGCTTTTCCCTGAAGTCTCTCCAGACCCTCAGCACCCCGTTTTTGTAGTCGCCCACGCCGCGCCGCCGTGTCCGCCCCCGCATGCCTCGCAGCTCTGCCCCCTGCTTGACACATGTTCAGGGTCAGGGATCAGCGACATCTGGGTGTTTGCATAATGGAGGCGACACTGACCTGGGGGAAGTCATGCAGACCGTCGGGGTCGCCCTCCAGCTCCAGCGTGTCCAGACTCCGGGCGCACTGTGGACAGCTGAGCAGCTCTAGCAGCAGCGGGCTGGGCACCAGGCCGGCCAACTGGTACAGCAACCTCTGTCGACCTGCGGACAATGGACAGCACGGTAAAAAGTTTGCTCCATAAACTATTCAAACTGACTCGGACTCTGAGGAGAACAGGGACTGGCCTCCTGCTGGTGCCCAGAGTCAGAACTAAACATGGGGAGGCATAATTTCAGACTTAGGCGGCTAAAATCTGAAACTTTCTTCCTGAAAATGTGAGACAGGCTTCTTCTCTGACAATGTTTCAATCCTGGTTAAAAACAGTTCTGTTTAGATGTGCATACAAGGGATTTTATCTACACTCTTTTTAATGCACTGTGATTATTTATGATTTTAATGTTTTTAATTGTAATCTTATTTTACCACTACCACTAAAACATGTTCAACAATTCCCCTTAACATACTGGTCCCCTCGATTCTGTGTGCCCCAGGGCAGCTGTGGCAACAGAAGTTTCACCAACGTGTATGGAGTGAAATAATAATGCCATATTCAAAAATTGCTATATAAAACCGTTGCTTTATCATTATTTGTATTTGTATTATAAACTGTCCTAACTCATTTTTTAAGGAATTATAGTAAAATAATCTATCATGTAGCTGTAGATCATTTTGAGACCACTGTTGTGACTAGAAGGCAACATTTTTCAATCCACCTTCTAAGCTACACTCTAAGAAGCTTCTTGAGTCTGTCACTAAATATATACAGCTAACATTTTTTATTACAATATCCAGTGTGCCTGGGAGTTTCAAAGTTTGTGCAATATAATTATTGTGAGAAGAACACTATGACAACTCCATGTAGTAAAGTTGGGGGTAAAATGCCTCTAAAAGAAGCTTATGCAGTGGGGTTCATGGCAGGTGGTGGTAGCTTGAAAATGGGTCGTTCAGAATAGTGGGGAGGATGGTGCAGGAGGAGGCTGTGTCTTATGGTGGGTACACTGTGTTACTAATACAGTATCTCTGGCACTCCATTTCACTGCAGCCTCTTAAACCAGGACAGAGCTGTGAAACAACCAAAGCACCACTCCAGATCAGGACGGTCCTCTTTAAGCCTGCAGGCGGCTCACCAATGATATCTTTTTATACAATGATAATTCCTTCTTTATTTCTGTTTTTCTGTCTTAAAGCTGTCGCAATGCTTAACACCTGAACCATGTTGTAAATGTTTCTATGTGGACGTAGATGGAGATGTACAGTATTGCTTGGAATGGTTTACAATATTATAATAAATGGATGCCTCAAGCAGGTAATGTCTGCTGAGTTTGAGGTCAAATCTCAAACCTGGTCAAACCTGGTCAACAAAATTTAATGCAAAATGTAAATGTGCACTTTATTGTCCTTTGCATTTGACCCCTCCTGATGCCACTAAGGCTTTCGTCAGGAGCAGTGGTCACCGTAGTACCGTGCATGGGAACCCATCTCCAGATGTTGGTACTCGGCTTGGTCAAGACTGGAGATGGAGGATTTTATCTATTGTACATGTTTTTAGTGGTAGGGGAAACCGGAGCACCCGGAGGAAACCTACGCAGATGGGGGGAGAACATGCAAACTCCACTCAGAAATACCCTGTTCCAACCTTCTTGGTGCTATCGAGAGTGCTTTCAACTTAGTCACCGTGCCACCATACCCTGAAACATGGCTTGGTAATCAAGGTAATGTATCTGACATGTCGTTAAAAAGAAACAAACATCGTGACATGAGACAAAATAAACTCTTTTTTAATCAAATACAAAAAAGATTTAGTTTTGAATTCCTTGCACCTAAAAAAAACCCATATTTTTAATTTCTGTGAAGCTGATCAAGTTTGCGGACGACCCCACATACACTGGACTCCTCTCTGACAACTCTGAATCTGCTCCAAGAGGAAGGTGGAGCGGCGGGTGTACTGGTGCAGGGGTAACAACCTGGAGCTGAACGCCCAGGAGACAGTGGAGATGATTGGGGACTTCAGGAAGACCCGGCCCTTTACTTGTGTCATTTTATACTTTTGTTGTTTTATAATCTCATACCTCAATACCTTAGCAATAATCTGCACTGTTAAATGTCTTCTGTGTGTTACTTCATTATTAAAATGTTATTACAATTTTTGCATGGCTTATATCTATTCTTGTTTGGACCATGATTCAACACAAATTTTGCAAATGATCATTGACGTGGGTCTGTTTGTCAGTGAGAAACATAACCCAAAAAGTTGTAGGAGGAACGTGTACAATGGCCAAGCGAACAACTGATTTCTATTTCGGAGGTGAAACTAATCCGTATTTGAATGCAAGATTTTAACTGTTATTACAACTATGATGACCTTTTCATATCTCTATATGAGACCAAACAAAACACATTTTGATGAACAAACTAGATGAGAAAAGATTAGCTTTTTATTGCTTCTATAATGCCATAGTGTGGAGCTTTCACGCGTCCCCACAAAAATCCCACCGAACATTACTAAATGAATGTTTCATCTGAAGAATCATGACAAGCTCCTTTAAGGTCAGATGATTTTAGGCCATATTGTAAGTAGAAAAAACAATTATCTTAAGAGGGTCTGCAGACTACCTTCAATGAATGATGTGGTCATTGTTTACTGCTGCCACTATACACTGACCACTCTGCTCCAGGCGTAACCCTAAAACACAGCTCCGACTCCCCCGGTCCTCCCCTCTGCCCTTCCCCCTGCACTGCAACACTTGAAGCATGGATTTCCTGTCAGTGTCGTATAAGCCTGTGCTAAACCTCCACACGCCACACCACAGCACACACAAGCCCACGGTCCAGGCTACTCCAGGTCACTGCAGAGACTAGCACGAGACACATGGGAAATGGGTATTGTAAGAGAAATGTATTGTAAGCAGCTACTATACTCACTGGGACCTTGAAACATTCCAGGTGCTTTCATTACGAGGAGCAAACAAACTATAACAAATGTGGATACTTTCACTGTTCCTCTGTTGCGTCTATGAAAATAATATAAAGTAAATATGTCCCAATGTTAATGGGACAAGTGCACAGCATAAAATCGGATGATGTTCTCTATCCAGGTCTACGAGTCGGGACAGTGGAGTTATCCATCAGGAAGCACATGCGTCTTTGAAGGTATTTTCTACCAGAAGAAATACCCAAAAATGTCTTTAGCAGTAAATGGGCCATATCAGAGTTTGATTTTAAAAAGTTCCATATTTGATGTAGTTCAAATATGATCAGGTCTCTGGTGTTGATATTCTACAGGGAATGCATTAGTTAAAAGTATAACACTGTATAATTACCTCCACAAAGGAGGTTATGTTTCTGATAGGGTTTGTTTGTTTGTCTGTGTGTCTGTTTGCAACACAACTCAAAAAGTTATAGGTGGATTTTAGCTGCATATACAGAAAACCTCAAAAATGGGACAAAGAACTAGATTAGATTTTGTAGGTGATCCAGCTCATCGTCTCAGTCCAGTTTTTTTTAGGAATGGAACTGTGTATCTTGGCAGAGGTCTGTGCTCCTCGAGTACTTTTCTAATTCTAGTAAATGTATTCAGACCAAGCATGAAATGACTTGTTTGTGTATTTGCCAAAACCACCTTTTCTTATTCCATGATACTCATACAGCCTGTGGTGACAGTTTTTGGAGTAATTACATAAAACCAGCCGCAGCAAATACACGGACGTCAAAGGCCTTTTATCAATGCAGAGACGCCCTTCTGACGCCATGCTGAGCTTTGTGAGGGCCCCCTGCTGTCTGTCACACCCTTGTGTCTTTCGTATTTCGCATCTGTATGCCTGCCTCTCTACATCCTGCATGACCATTGTCTGTCTGTTCGCACCCCCATCCCAGACGGCGCCAAACGCTCCCCATGCGCCTCCTCACCGGTGGCCCCCTCCGATCTGTTGTGGGCGGGACTGTCTCTCGTGTGTGTCTTGTATACAGGAAACTTGGGGCTCTGCCCTCAGAGCTGGTACATGCTGCTTTTTGAGTGTATGTGTTGGCTCTCCGCACGTGCGTTAACAATAAACTTACGCTTTTGATCAGACAAAGGACCTTTGAGTTTTCTCCTTCATGGGGTATACAATTCTACAACAAGCCTCAGGCACATCCTGGGAATTACACTCGCATTTTGCAGGTTTGTTTTTGATAAGATAAACGTTATTGTCCCCAGAAGGAAATTTGACGTGGGCTCATATCACTGATCTATTATAATAGCTGGATAGGGTATTGCTAGTTTATAGCTGAAGAACCACGTGCTCAGGGGATTCTCGCGGTACTGCAGACTAAACAAGACCTCCCTGAGGTTTCTCACTTTTTCCCACTGGGTTTTCTTATGAGTTTTTCCTTGCCGATTAGTGTCCAACTGGAAGGACTGTGGTGATGATCCAGGACACTTTAACATTCTACAACATGTATGGACATTTTTCAACATGTGTTCTATATTCTTTATGTGTTTTAACTGTTGATTCTCTGACCTGTGTTGGTGATTTCAATGGTTTTGTTAAGTCCTCTGAGAAGACTTCTGTTGTGATTTAGGGCTATACAAGAATACATTGTATTGTATTGTACCTACAGTAGTACCTGCTGAGGCCTTATATTTGGCAGAGTAGCGCAGCAGTGCAGGGTTCTGGTGTAAACACCTGTTGCTGAGTAAGAATAAACGAACGTTTGGACACAGCTCCTATTAGTTTTGCTCAGTCAGCTATTTATAACCTGTTGCTCCTCTGTCCCCTGCAGTGCGGCCTGTCTGGAAATGTACTGATTTGAAATGTGAATGGTACAAATGTCGGAAAATACCGGGAAACTTTACAGTTTCATGGAGCTTATGGTCTATACCCAATTTCCCCTTTGAAATCCTGCGAGGTTGCAATTTAATTTTCCCTCCAGTCTCCATTCTAAAATCAAGCATTGACTCTCTTACTGTGCAGTCCCATGAGTGTGTAGGGGCTCTCCTATTGTGCTGTCCCATGAGTGTGTATGGCCTCTCTTACTGTGCTGTCCCATGAGTGTGTATGGCCTCTCTTACTGTGCTGTCCCATGAGTGTCTCTCTTACTGTGCTGTCCCATGAGTGTCTCTCTTACTGTGCTGTCCCATGAGTGTGTAGAGCTTGTTGAGGGTCTCGGTGTGCTCTGATCCGGCCTGCTGGGAGGGCCTCTGCTCTGGGCTGCGGGAATGCGGCGATGGACTCTTGCTGCGATAACTACACACGAACGAGGGCAGGATGGTGGGGTAGTTCATGCCCCCATTCAGCCGGCCCAGCAACGCCCCCATGCCCGGTGTCACGGAGGAGCTACTGCGGCCCCCGTTGGCGTTTCCTCTGCGTACCGGGAGGGCCCTCATCTCCAGCTCTTCTCCGGTCTCCAGGCAGCGTGGGGCCTCACTGTGATCACCGAAGTCCATCTACGAAAGAGAAAGGAGAAAGTGGGAGAAAAGTGTTTAAAAAGGACCCATTCTACTTTTAGCTATTAGGTCGTCAGATATAAAGGGTAGACAAAAAAGAACAGACTTTTATCCCATAAATCAAAATTGAAATCAGAGATTAGATTTTGATGTTCTTTACAAATGCAATAGTACACAAAGTGCATGGTCAATCACTTCAATCTTGCATGAAGGCATTTCACGTTATTCATAAAAAAAGATTGAAAAAATCTGTGGGCTCACAAACAAAAACACACTTTGTAAGGGTTAGGGTTATGCCTTAAAGGGACACCAGGTGAGATTTTAAAACTACAACTTTTTTGTCCCCAGACTCAAGGTCGACATGTACAAATCATATTTTATCTTTTCTGATTCAATGTTAGCATAGAAACAATGGTGAGGATGGCCACACTGTGTATCAAACCGGAAAGCAGAGCTACCATCTCATTTGTGTTGCTAGATTCTTTGGTGAAATCCAGCTGGTTTATTCACAGCCTAAACACTAAAGCTTCAGTGATCAAAACTAGAACACGGGAAGCATTAAGCAACCAGGTTTTTTTTTTTCTTTTATTGGCTAATTCTGGCATATTTAAAGAAACGTTCATTTATATGAACTGCCCCCGTAATAAATACATACATATAGTTAAAATAAAACTGGTTTAATGTTGACCAATTGTAAAATTAGTAAGAAAAAGCATTTCATAATCTAAAAACATGAAGCACCTAAAGCAATACTGGTTTACTTGAAAGAAAAAGTGGGCATAAGCGCAAGTACAAAACTATGAGTTTAGCTCCTTGTACCTACAAGCGTGTGTGTGCTAAACATGCAGGCAAGACACTAGCAACAAAAGCTTGGATAGTATTTGTCATAACTATATCCAAAAGAGTAAGAGCAACTACATACTGTCCCTTTAAGTGAACGCTGCATCATCAAGAGCTGCTTTTACAACACACAGGTTGCTCTAAATGTGTCTTTAAGCCTGGCCTGGAATGCATCACAGGATTCTTAAAATACATCCAAATGTTTAAGAATACAGCTGAGTTTGCTAATGATGAGTGAAAACCGTTGGTTCAAAGCTCATAAAAGTCGGTGTGCATAATGCGTCCCCTTTAGCAATTTCATGCATTACTTATCCCCAGTTGGTGAAGTACCTTGAGTGTGTGCTGGCCTCCGTTGCTAAGGCGACAGTGTTGGTGCTGGTGGGTCTGTAGGAGGCTGTGAATGGGTCTGAGCCACAAACTGTTGTTTGGACCCGAGCTCCCGACGCCACGACTGGAACTGTGGCCGTTACCACCGCCGTTACCGCCACCGCTGCCGTTTGGGTTGACTTTTTTACGCCTTTTACTGAAACAAATAAACAAAAAAGAAAATCAAAAGGAGAGTAGTGGTGCTTCATTTGTTGTCATATTGTGTCTTTTGGGAATAAATGACTGTTATTTTGTTTAGATGCATGAAAAGCAAAAAGGTCAACTGGATATTAAACTCCCATTCATCCTCATTCATTTTTGGTGACGAAAGATTGGCTTTCAATTCGACTCAATAGTCTCAAGTAAAATCAATCAATCTCATTCATATTTATATAAAAGTGGGTGACGGAAAACCCGGACCACCAGCAGATCTATCTGAACTAACAGTTTGTGCCGTGATGGAAAATGCCCGTGGAGAGTTTGGTTTTGAGAGATTCTGCTCTGTGCTCTGTCCGTCCCACTGTCATGCCCGAGTCCCAGGTTTCCCTGCTGAGTGTTTTCTTATATTGGAGTACCTGAGTTTTCCGTCATAACATTTTTATTCCGTGTTGTGAAAGCAGTATTGTGAAAAAATTACATTGCCGTGAACTCTTTTCATTGACCGCATCCTTACTTCACTGTGATGCCTTAGAAGCTTTTTCCTTGAAAATACAGTGCTGTGTCAAAGAATGTGAGAGAGTCATTTTTCAGGCAGGTTTGTGTCCCTGCTTGTTCCCGTCAGGGTTTCTACTGAAATGACCACACACAGATGAGTGTAAGTGCTGAGGTCCAACACAGACCTGTGCCAGCCCGAGTATATTCTCTGGACTCGACGCGTGAGCTTCCGGTACAGGTGACTGATGTAGCGCAGCATCTCTTCGTAACAGGAGCCCGGCTCGCTGTAGCTGGCCAGTGTGGAGTCGTTGGACATGTAGCGGGCACGCTGCTCCCTCATCAGAGCGTTCTCACGCTGCTTTGTCTCAGAAAACTGGGTGGCAATGACCACCAGGCACAAGTTAATCATGAAGAATGAACCCACCTGGAAGCACACAGACCAGAGCGCTTTAACGGAAATGACTTTTTTAATCATATTTTAACATTTAATAATGTGATATTAAATCATGGGTACAGTTAGAGTAAAGATATTTTAAGGAGTTTGTTTTTATGTGAATGTTGCCCATTGTGCACTTTGAACAAATTCAAGGTTTTTCATTACAGTTTGATAAAGAACATGGCATAGAACATACACTTATGGGAAAATTCAACATATTGCTGAATGAAATGGATATGATTGAATTCATGGACTCTGGCTCTGCAGATGGGGACTTGATGTAATTTCCATCTACGCATATTTGATTCCATGACTAGAAGCCTTTATTTGTCCTGTACTAGCCTGAAATAATGCAACATGATCAATGCAACTCATGCAGGTTGTGGCCAGGACAGTTATAAAGTCATTTGAGCAGAGCGCAGGTAGAGCACATGACCGTAGGGGAGCAACATGGCCAGACTCAGGTGTGCCATAATGGTGAGTCAGGGGCCACAGCTGGGACCTGCCGGGGGCCTCAGCTTCTGTTGGGTCATGTGGGCTGCACACATCCTGACACGGGGACAACATTCTCTAGTTGAAACTATTTCAGATTCACCAGGAGCTCAGGGGTCGCCCTACAGAGCCTGTATGTGGTGATAAAGGACAGCTGTGGTCTTCTTATCCTAAAGTTCAACCCTATAGTTCAAATCAAACCAAACTTAACTCGACGGACAATCATGCTTTGTATCACATATAGGCCATATAAGGTCATCAAACGTGTTAAAGGTATTGTTTTGAATTCAAATTTAAATCTACTAGGATTTTGCTTTGCCGATGCAGGAAAGACAGTGATGATGATCCAGGACATCTAACTACATTTATTGACATTGGTCATCCGTCCCTTATGGATCAATGGCTCTATGTGTTAATCGTTGCATTTCCTGAGTTTGAACCGTTTGATTCTCTGATCTGAGTTAGCAAATTGACATCTTTACAACGAGACAACTACTGCTGTGATTTAGGGCTACACAAACATTTATTGAATCTATTATAAACTACACCAGTTGAAGTACTCGTTAGTTTCTGGGTATCAAAGGAGTGTGGTGAGTATTAGACTTTTCCCATTTTTTAACACAATGAACTTGATCATCTTTGGAAAGAGGATTTACCCATAAGATAAATGCTGTGTGTGTGTGTAGCTGCTTAAAAGATTAAAATTAAGTGATTATTTTTCGTCCCACAGTGGGAAAATGTCAGTGTTGCATCACTAGTTACAGAACAGCTGCAACGAGGAGCACATAACACAAATCAAAATAACTTTGCATAATAAAGAAGCAAGTAAAAAATCTCCAACTTTAGCATAATGAAGAAGCAAGAATTAGGTAGAAAATCTCTGACTTTAGCATAACAACAGAATCTTTTGAATAGTATAGAGGGGATTAAGACCCGGAGGAAGTGTGTGTGGATAGGGAAGTCTGGGCGTCTCTGCTTAGACTGCTGGCCCCGCGACCCGGCAACGGATAAAGCGGAAGAAAATGGATGGATGGATTGATGGGATTAAGACCTGAACGTGACAGAACTCTAAAAACTCAAACTGTTATTCAGATGTGGGAGAAGACCACACTTTGGCTCAGAGTGAAACAACAGTATCACACAGTTGATACACTGTGATATTCTAAAAGACAGCTGTAATACGTTTGGCTCATGCTTAAGATCAAGTACACTGGTGACTATCAGCCGACATTCATGGCACTCTGAAAACAACTGCTTATCTCTGTGAACTCATCTTTTCAATATTCTTAACAGGAAATGAAAGACATCCGTGGGGCTCGCCGTGCAAGTCTGATCATCTTGTCAAAGTTAGTAAGAAATTAAATTGAAAAATGACTTTAAGCACGTACTGAATTTCCAATTAGATGCTATCACAATTCATCATAATTTGCCTATTCAATCCTTTTTCCTCTTATTATATCCTTAATATTTCCCATTTGACAAGACTTTAACAATCAGTATTTTTTTCTAAATCTTGCTTCCATTGATTTTGAATCTTATACTGCATGCATTTCTTTTGAGATTATCCAACAAATTGCTGCAAAAAGACAAGATACATTATGAGAGAGTTATACTTACAATAATAAGAAGTATAAAATATACAAAATTGTAGAAGGAGTGAGCGTCCATGACATAGTACATGATATCTACCCATCCCTCCAGAGTTATGACCTGGAACAGACATTACACACTGGTTAGATACAGTCATTTATTCATACAAGAGAAATTGGTCAAATAAAAAAATATATATTACTGCCTTGACTGAACTGTAAAGAATACTGTAGTACTTTGATGTACAGTATTGAGTTGATATGATTTGTAACCTTTCAGTACTTTCATTGGTTGTTGGTGAACCAAAACAGTTCGATTGAGATTCACAGAAAACTAACTGATAAACAGAATAAAAACAGTGAAAATGAAAGACTGCAGTGTTTCACATAAAGCACTGTAGTGTGTTGCTTCCAATCTGAAATATTTGGTTTTGAGAGCAGAGTTTGAGTGTTGATAGAGGGGTTTCATTTTGACACAAATGTGAATAGAATAGAATTTTGGGACAATGAGCGAAATTTTGCAAAATGTAATGTAAATTCTGTAAATGTATTCTGTTTTAAAACCGACAAATTACAGTATCCAAAAATTAAGTTTTGCCAAGGGGACATTATAAAAAGGCAAGCAAATTCTTTCTTGATGGGAGAAACAAAAACTGCTACTGGACTTGAAAAAATAAACGTTTTGCCCGTCCCATTGGCAAATCTTGTTCCTTCAAAATGTACTGTACCAGGATAGAAAAAAAATAAAATAAAAAAGTTTATTTTGAACAGCTCTGGAACGATGGGAAATGCAGCCCACACAGGATAGAGTCGTAGGGGCAGGACGAGAGAGCCTGTGTGTGCGTGTGTGTGAGTTTGTGCGTGTGCGTGTGCGTGTGTGTGTGTAGAAAGCCTTGGGACTACTTCTTTGCCTTCATGCTAGAGCGGTGTAATGCGCGTATGCAAATGCAGGCTCTTTGACCTGAATGTGCTTTGTTCAGTCAGTGCGACATGTGCACCTTCTCCAGCGTGTCATGCTCCTCCTCAGAATAAATACTACAAGGAGTTATTGTACATGGCACGCATACCAAATTACACACTGTTCTGACCATGTCCCTTGGATGAGGACATTGTGAAACACACCGTCCATTCCGGCTTCTTGTGGTTTTATTTTCTACTCTGTTTTTGTTTATGCTTGAGCGATGAATAGTGTTTGATGGTTTGGAGCATCAACAAGGAACGCTTCACTAATTAAAATGTCTTTGAAGTATAATACTGCGATACTAAATTAGCCCTATTGCGAAACGGGGATTGATATGTATACAGCAACCATATAATGCGTTTCATTAAGGGAAGGTAACAAATAATCCTCAGTCATTTTCCCATACTGTATGTGAGAAATATGCTACATTTACACAAAACATATAACAAGAAAGCCATTATGTTACAATTGAGAGAAAAAGTTTGCTTCTTTAAAAGCTTTAAAAGCTTATTTTAAATGTTGACACCAGTTTTCACTTTTACCACAAATTCACTTCAATTTCTTTTTGAATATTGGTTCAATACAGTGGGGGCGGGTCCTGGCTCAAAAGTGGCCAAAATGACATGCTTGCAATACCACCCCGGGCCGATGGGGTGGACCCGGAATGAGAATTATTCAATGGTAACATAAACATTACCTGAACAGTTGATTCTAATGTGCCATTCGCTTTGTTTTTGTACTGAAGCAAATAGGAAGCTCAATGAGTAATACATATATTTTTTGTTTAAGGCACTAGGGGTGGGATTAAATACGTTTTCTTCTTCCCACTCCTTTTCGAGTATCTGCAAGTGTTTCTTTTGTGTATATAATATCTATAATTTCGTATTATGTAAATTAACTCAGGGATATTTTTGCACAATTTTGATATTCTACTTTTGTTTCTTGTACACTTTATTGCTTGAAATAAACAAAACAAAAAACATGAATCGTTAGCTGACCTCTCAAAAACATCTTTACACAATGGTCCAAAAGTTGGCTCTTGGCCCAAAGCTCCGTTCCACATGTGTGTCAATGCTGAGGGGAGTGAATTTTTTTGGACCAGTCTAGTTTACTTGATGTGAATTTTTGAAGGCACTTGTTTAAATGAAAGGAGCTTGCGGCGGCTGACGCATGCTCAGATGCGTTTTTTCACATTTTCCAGCCCCCGCGGCCATTTTGAAACTGCCCATAGACCGCGGAAGTTGTGGCACATTAGTTAGAACGGCGGAGATAGACGTGACTTTGTCCGTTAATATTTACAGTCTTCAATATAGTGATCTCTTCATCATTAAAGGCCTTGAAAAAAAAGCATATCGGTGTGTTACAAAAGCAGGAACTATGCGCATACACTGTTTACACTTCTTGTTAATATCTTTAGTGGTGAAAAGTGACCGAGCAGCCATGTTTGACCCTGTTATTGGGTCACAGGGTCTCTCGATGAACCATCTGTGTGATTGTCTAAGGCAGTAGGGTCCTGAGCTTTCAGCTTGTCATCCCTGAGTGTAATCACAAATTTCCTGTGTGTTTGTGAGTTAATTCGAAGGTAAATATCTGGGAGAGCCACTCATGTCGTGCACGTCAAAGCCCATTAGCCACACAGACGCATCTATTAGCCGGTGCTGGACACATCAATTAGAACGTCTGGGATTCATATCAGCACGGAGCAGGCAGTTTCCGAGTGTTGGGAAGAGAAAAGTCTGTGACAATCTCCCGTCGAGCCCAAACCCGTCAGGAGCTGAGGAGGCCAGCATGTGGAAGAAAACTGGCTTTCACCCTCCAAACTGGATGTCTATTGCTCCATTCCGAAAAAAGCACACTGCAAAATATAACTGAACTCAAGTACATATGGCATAAATTCAAAAGCCTTCGATTTACTGCATTTTCTAGAAGAACTTTTAGCATCATTTCTAAATAATTAATTGTATCGTTGCATTACTGTTGTTGATTTTAGAAGTAATTTAGTAGTATTTTAGTCACTTATCTCTAATAAAGTTCCAAGGCTTCATGAAACATTTCTGAAAAAAGCTAATTCTTTAAGTTACTATATATTCAAACTAGACTATAAATTATTTCTCAAACGTTCCGTAGTATAGCACTATTTATGGGCCATCCTCTCCATCGAGGTCAAGATCTGGTCGGATGAGTGGATGTATGTAATTCACTATCAACAACAATAAACTATCAATAAATAATAAAGCTGGGTTATCTAACTTTCAAGGCACACGTTCCATGCATTCCATGTATTAAAGGCCTCTGTCACAACTTTAGATCATTCTTCAGACAGAAAAGTATAAAATATGGGACCACACTCACTCAACCCAAATATTCCAAGTGACTCACTGAGCCCTTTTTCACAAGCATTCAAACTATACAAACAAAAGAAGTTTTCTCGTGGGAGGAAGACAGCATGTTGTGGTCTGAGTTGTTCACAAAAATACTTTTACTTTTAAGACTCTAATGGACAAACGAATTGTTTAATTCCTGAAAAGAAATGTAGAGAGTTATGCACTCCAGTAAGAATATCTTGATTTGATGCCATTCACCAGGCTTGGAATCTCTACTTAACATTTGTGTAACTTGAGTTTGATTATACTTTATTTTCACATGTCGTTGCCATTTTCTGTCATGGGAATTAGGAAAATAAATACTGTATGGATTATTTTCGTTGTTAATGCAGTTCCATGTTTGAACATAATGATTTGAAAAATGCTCCTATGTGTAATGTGGAGCTTAACATGGAGCTTAATATGAAACACAAATTTGTAATCAAATACTAACCCTGGTCAGTGCTTGTGTATCCCCAACCACCCCAGTACCCCTGGTCGGGACACACTTGTTTAAAAGTTCCAGCAGTAGTTGCACTTACCTGGAATATGGCTATCCAGGCGTAGCCGATGTTGTCAAAGTTGACCGCTCCCTTGTGCGGGTTGAGCTCCCCGGGGCGGCACACGTTATAGTACTGGTTCCAGTTGACACACTTGTTGGCACTGACCACGCCCATCGACGAGGCGGGCTGCGTGCACTCCACCCCCGACACCTCATACGCGGGTACGGCGGTACAGCGCAGCATGCCGTTCTCCCGAGGAGCCGAGCAGATGAACGGGCTGTCCTCGCCATCCTCGTCCATGTAGTAGGGAGGGATGGACTTGTTGTATATGCTACAGGAGGAGCGCAGAGGCTGTTAGACGTTCAGAGATCCACATGTAACTCTATCAATCACATAAGTCAGACAATAACATGGAGACAACATGACCAGTCCAGTTGACTTATTCAACATATCTTAATACTACAGAATGAATGAGGAATTCAACACAAATTTGCATTTACTCCACTTGGAGCTGATAACACAAGTGACACTGTTAAATATGACTTGTAAATACAGTATATTTATCTGCGTGTTTGTATTGTGTAGTATGTGTAGTAAGTGATAAGAAATCAAAAAGTGAATTTATGCTTGTAATTAAGTTTTAAAATCTGAAACCAATGTATTTTTTTCTGAGATATTTGAGATTTTTTACAATCTGTGAGCTATTCATCAACATTATAGCAAATACAAAACATCTTTATAACTTCTCATGTTATGGGTTTGTCACATACAGTTTCTGTGAGTTTAATGACAGAAGTAAATGAGTTTTGAACGATATTCTATTACTCAGAGTTTCACCATATCAATGTAATAAATTGTGCTTGAATGAGGGAATAAATAAAACGAAATGTAAAATAATCCTCCCTGATTGTTTTGGCTTGAGTAAAGTATATTCTCTCAGTCACACAAGACTGTTTCATCCGTCATAATACCCATGGTAATTTGCATATATTTTGCTTTGAATAGTTTCAAACAATAATACATATTATTGCTACAAGAGGAAATTAAAGCTTGGCATATTTTGACAAATTTTAGCAACAGCCTTCCATCAATCTTGAAATTCCCCTCCGTCTCTTGAGAGATTATGCGACTTTATTCCACCTACACAGTTGTTCAAAGCAGGAAGTAAATACAGTTAGTCCGGTAGTGACAGTACTTTTTCTAACACTAAGATGTTAGATTACCCCCAGAGTCCAATTACATACAACTTAGAAAAAAAACTGTCTACTACAAAGAAATGTTATTAATGTTAAAGCCGTTTTATGTGGATTTATTGTTAGAATAAACAAATACAGTACACTATGTCGTCAAATATGTTTTCCATTTAAACAAACATTTACAGGAAATATGGCATAATTTTGTCATTAGTTTGAAATGTGATTAATTATGATTACTTCATTTATTAAGCTGTAATTAACTTGAATCGTTTGACAGTCCTACTTTTTTCATTATTTTTGCCTTTTAAAACAAAAGTATTGCCCATAAATGAAGGAAATTGCATTCTTTACAGTTGCTTTGCCACTGTGGCAGGTTGTAATCTTCTAATTTTTATAACAAGCCCAAAATCAACTCAGCTGCTCCACCCAGTGGTAGCACAGGGAGTTACAGGCCGATAGCATTATATACGCCGAGTATCTTCACCAAGTTTTTTTATTTAAGACTTTAATTTACATTCAAAAACATGAAGTTACTAAAATAGGGTTATTTCCATTTATAATGGCCAAAAATGAAAAATAATATAATTTTATCATGAAGGTTATTGAAAAGGTTTGAATATGCTTTTCTCGCAGCACTCTTTCAGGTGTCTGCTTTTTATAAAATTTAAATTGTCAACCTCAGTGATTTCCTCTGTGGATGCAGGTGGCTCCAACACACACGTGCCTTCTCGTGCTTTATGATATATCGCATTCTGGCAGCTCTGAAGGTCACGCAGTCACTGAAGAAATACTACTAACCTAATCTGCTCGAGTCGGACCCACAGCTGCTTCTATATTAGCATTACGGCTTGTTCTGTTGTTCTGCTGTATGCAAACACCACTGCACGCTTTTATTCTCCCTTGTGACGGAGTTGCTCTCCCCCTGTCACTAATGCTCTGGTTGTGCGCGCACTCTGGCCATACTTCCCGGTGCGAGACGCGCGCTCCCGCGCAGAGTTTTACACACCATAATTAAGCATGTTGTACTCACCGGTCCCGCTACGTAATCGCAGGTCTCCACACATCCCCTTGTTTCTCCCCTCCATAAACCACACGGTAGCAGCATCCATGGCTCGCTGCAGCTCGGGGTGCACACCGGGTTCGCGCGCGCGCCCGTTCATGCTCTCCTCCTTCCGCGTACGTAGTACCAGGTGACCGGGCAAACCGAGCGCATCTTTGGCTATGCCATTTATACTGGGGTTACGTGCGCTTTCACGCTTTGTTTGTTTAATATTCCTTTGTTTAATGATATCTCCCATATCCATGGAAGGGAATTAAAGGGGAGGTATGTTGAAATAATAGTATTGATAATTTGAGAGGAGTTTCAACCAGAAAGGGTTGTTTTGTAAAATTATATTAACTATTTTGTGTAACGCCCATGGGAGGGGCCTGGGGCATAAGAGGGGAGCTGTTTGGGCTGTACAGGGAGTCTTTTGCCTGGTTGCAGAGAGGGCAACATCCGGCTATTGTGGTATCCTGGCATTCTGAAAGGTTATGTACACAACTTATGTACATTTGTAAATATGTACATATATTGTTTTTTCACATGTTTGTAAATAGCACTGGGGAAATAAACTGGAGAAACAGTTTTTTTTGACTGGCCATTGGTTTTTTGAGAAGTGTTCCCACAACATTTGGTGTCAGAAGTGGGATGGCCAGTCGAAAGTTGGCCCATTTCCCAGGCAAGCGAACTGGACTGCGTTCGCAGAAGACTAAAATGTCCCTTCCAAAAGAGGAAGATGTTAACCTGTCTTGGGATACAGACGAGGAGGATTGTAGTCCTGGTCCCTCTACTCGAGGCCAGCCAGTGCCCGCAGGAGTGGGTGAGGAACTATTGGACGTTATGCGCAGCTTCCTACAAGGTCAACAGAGGAGGGAGGAAACCATGATGGCCGAACTCCAAGGGCTGAGGTCTTCACTGTCTGAGCGCAGACCGGAGCCTCCCTCTGCATCATCTTCAACTTGGACCGCCGTTAGCCCTCGGATAGACCTTCCTACCCCAGCACCAAGGCAGCGGCCACCCAGTTTTTCTCCAACGGACCGGAGGCCAAGTGGGGATGGCGGCCAGTCACGGCGCCAAGACGCTCGATCCTACGGGGACCCCAAGATCCCTCCCTATCAATCCGGTGAGGATATTGAGAATTATTTACTACGTTTTGAGCGCATTGCACGGACTTGGGCCTGGCCAGATGATGAGTGGGCGTGTCGGCTGGTGCCATTGTTATCCGGGAAGGCATTGGAGGCCTACTCGGCAATGGATGAGGACAGTGCACACTCCTATCCGGATCTAAAGGAGGCACTCCTCGCAAAGTTTGACATTTCACCCGAAACGTACCGCCGGCAATTCAGATCCACCACTGTTCCGCCTGGTGAAAATCCGGCAGGAACGTACCACCGGCTAAAGGGTCTGTATCGTCGTTGGATCCGACCGGAGGAGCACACCAAGGAGGAGATTGGAGACGCCATCATCCTGGAGCAGTTTCTACGCGTCCTCCCAGGCGATATCCGAACCTGGGTGATGGAGCATGAGCCGAAGGAGGGGCTAGCGGCTGCCAAACTGACCCAGCAGTAGGGACGCCAGGAAAGGAGCACGTCAACCAACTCCACCACCAAGGTTTCCACGCCGCGAGGGTCCAACGGTGACAGCAGGTAACCCGAGTCCGGCCGGCATACATCAAAGAACTGGTAAGGAGCTGATTTGTTTTTATTGCCAGCAGCTGGGCCATAAAGCATCTTTATGTCCCATTCGTAAGGCTAAGTTGTCTGGGGCATGCTATGTTCCACGGTCTGAGAAACAGAATGCGACAGTGGTAAAGCGCTACAAAACAGTAACGGTTAATGGACAAACAATTGAAGCATTGTTGGATAGCGGCAGTTCTATGTCTCTAGTCCGTGAAGAGTTTGTTCCTGTTAATGCTTTGGAATATGGCAAGTGTGAGGACATTATTTGTGTTCATGGGGACAAGCACCCTTACCCTACTGCGGAGCTAACAGTAGCTATTGATGGACAGACTTACTTATTGACAGTCGGAGTTGTGGCCAGTCTCCCCGTTCCGGCCCTACTAGGCTGTGACTTGCCCATTCTTCTGGACTTATTGATGGACAATGATAACACAACCAGTGTCAAAAAGACTTTGTCATGCACTGTGGTCACGAGGGCCCAGGCTCAAACAAAAGCACAATCACCCACTGGCCTTGACCATGGTCTGCAGGTGGTTGATGCGCTAAAGCCACAGAACCAGTGCTCAGATGCTCAGCCTTTTGCTAGTTTTGAGGACAGTGTTTTTGAGGGAGGTACAAAGGGGCCTAAAAAGTCAAGGCGTCAGCGTCGGTTTGAAAAGCGGCTGGTACAGTAGCTAAGCAGCCAGATAAGGACACTGTGCACAAGGACTTATGGGAAATACCGGGTAACATTTCTGATCTGCAAAAAGATGACTGTACTCTTAAATCTGTGTTTGCTAAAGTAGGAAAGCTACCGGTGTGTGACATTAAAGCAGGCTTTGTTAGTGATAATGATGTTTTGTACAATCTTGAGAATGGGGTAAAACGTTTGGTTGTACCGCAAATCTGTCGGCCTGTTGTGATGCACCTTGGTCATACATTGCCGTGGGCCGGTCATCTGGGACGAAACAAAACTTATCTGCGCATCAGCTCTCGGTTCTTTTGGCCTTCTATGTATACAGACGTACAGAAGTTCTGTTCCACCTGTCCCGTTTGTCAAAAAAGTTGTTCCGTTCGTAAATGCGACCATGCGTTCCTTCAACCGCTCCCTGTCATATCCACTCCGTTTCGTCGAGTTGCTATGGACATTGTAGGACCGTTGGTTAAGAGTAGCACGGGGTGTCAGTATATTCTGGTTCTTTCCGACTATGCGACCCGTTTTCCGGAAGCGTTTCCGTTACGTACTATTACTACCCCGGCAGTTCTGCGCGCTCTGGTGCAGTTCTTTTCGAGAGTAGGCCTACCTGATGAGATTTTAACTGACCAGGGAACCAATTTTACATCACGTCTTATGCATCTGTTCCACCAGCAGCTTGGAATCTCTGCCATTAAGACGACGCCCTACCATCCCCAAACAGATGGCCTGGTTGAGCGCTTTAACCAGACGCTTAAAAAGATGTTGCGGAAGTTTGTCGCTGATACGGGCAAGGACTGGGACCGGTGGTTGCCATTTCTGCTCTTCGCCTACCGCGAGGTTCCCCAGGCATCTACAGGCTTTTCGCCATTCGAGCTACTTTATGGCTGGGATGTCCAGGGTCCACTGGATTTACTTCGTAAGGAATGGGAGAGTCCTGCCAAGTCTGCCAGTGACCAGAGTATCGTGCAATATGTGCTGGAGATGAGGGAACGGCTGGTGAAATACCAGGAGGAAGCAACCCACAACCTCACTGAGGCCCAGAGAAGCCAGAAGACCTGGTACGACCAACAGGCAAGGCATCGTGAGTTTCACCCGGGCCAAAGGGTTCTTCTTCTCCTTCCCTCGTCTAATAGCAAGTTGCTGGCCAAGTGGCAAGGGCCCTATACTATCATCCGCAAAATGGGCCCAGTAACGTACGAGGTTCACCATCCGGACAAAAAGAAGGTGAAGCAGACATATCATGTAAACCTTCTCAAGGAATGGAAAGAACGGGAGGGCCCTGTCGCGTCGCTTCTTGTGCAGCATGTCCGAGTACCAGATGGGGAAGAAGAGGACATTGGAGCTGAAGAACTGCCGCAAGCCGCAGAGCCAGTACTGGCTCATCTCACCAGAGTCCAAGCTGTGCAACTACTCCGTGTGTTCGACAACGTCCCCTCTCTGTTCGCTGCCAACCCGGGGAAGACGACTCTGGTGGAGCATGTCATTCGGCTAAAGGAGGGCCGCCCGATCCGACAGAGGGCATACAGAGTTCCCCAACACCTGGTGGAGAAGCTCAAGAAGGAAGTAGAGGAAATGCAGAAGATGGGGGTCATCGAACCCTCAAATTCAGAGTGGTGCAGTCCCGTGGTGATCGTCCTAAAGAAAGATGGCTCCCTACGCATTTGTATAGACTTTCGAAAAATCAATGCAGTGTCGGAGTTTGACGCTTACCCAATGCCTCGAATTGACGAACTCCTGGAGAGGATTGGACGAGCCCAATACATCACAACACTAGACCTATGCAAAGGGTACTGGCAGGTTCCGTTGGAGAAGTCAAGCCGGCCCTACACTGCATTCCAGACCCCGCCGGGCTGTTCCAATTTACTGTGATGCCCTTTGGTTTACACGGTGCCCCAGCGACCTTCCAGCGGCTTATGGACTGGGTTCTACAGGGTTGTAGCCACTGCAGTGCTGCCTATTTGGACGATGTCGTGGTATACAGCAACAGCTGGGAAGACCACCTCAAACATCTTGCGCTGGTCCTGGGGAAAATCCAGAGAGCTGGGTTGACATTAAATCCATCCAAGTGCGAGTGGGCAAGAGAAGAGACCCAATACCTTGGATATCGACTTGGCCGAGGCGAGGTGCGTCCTCAAGTTGACAAGGTGGAAGCCGTCCGAAATTGCCCGCGACCACGAACGAAAAAAGAAGTGCGGTCCTTTCTGGGCCTGGCAGGCTGGTACCGGCGCTTTGTCCCTCAGTTTGCCACCCTTGCACCTTTGACCGCGCTGACTGCGAAGGAACAGAGGAATCCCGTAGTCTGGTCCAAAGCCTGTGAAGAGGCATTTCAAACCCTCAAGGCTTGCCTCTGTTCCTCTCCGGTCCTCAAGAGTCCCGACTTCACCCGCCGCTTCCTAGTCCAGGTTGATGCGTCAGCGGTTGGACTCGGAGCGGTTCTGGCCCAAGGAGAACCTGGGGAAGAGCAGCCGGTGCTCTACCTGAGCCGAAAACTTTTCCCAGAGAAACCCGTTACTCCACGGTGGAAAAAGAAGGACTGGCAATCAAATGGGCCTTAGAAAGCCTTCGATACTACCTGTTGGGCAGAGTTTTTGATCTGGAGACAGACCACAGAGCGTTGTCCTGGATCCACACTATGAAGGACCAAAACTGTCGGATTACACGTTGGTACCTGTCCTTGCAGCCTTTCCAATTCACAGTCCGGCATAGAGCAGGGAAGTCCAACGTGGTAGCTGATTTCCTTTCAAGGTTGCCGCACATCGCCAACCTCGGAGAGGGGGGAAGCAATGTGACGGAGTTGCTCTCCCCCTGTCACTAATGCTCTGGTTGTGCGCGCACTCTGGCCATACTTCCCGGTGCGAGACGCGCGCTCCCGCGCAGAGTTTTACACACCATAATTAAGCATGTTGTACTCACCGGTCCCGCTACGTAATCGCAGGTCTCCACACATCCCCTTGTTTCTCCCCTCCATAAACCACACGGTAGCAGCATCCATGGCTCGCTGCAGCTCGGGGTGCACACCGGGTTCGCGCGCGCGCCCGTTCATGCTCTCCTCCTTCCGCGTACGTAGTACCAGGTGACCGGGCAAACCGAGCGCATCTTTGGCTATGCCATTTATACTGGGGTTACGTGCGCTTTCACGCTTTGTTTGTTTAATATTCCTTTGTTTAATGATATCTCCCATATCCATGGAAGGGAATTAAAGGGGAGGTATGTTGAAATAATAGTATTGATAATTTGAGAGGAGTTTCAACCAGAAAGGGTTGTTTTGTAAAATTATATTAACTATTTTGTGTAACGCCCATGGGAGGGGCCTGGGGCATAAGAGGGGAGCTGTTTGGGCTGTACAGGGAGTCTTTTGCCTGGTTGCAGAGAGGGCAACATCCGGCTATTGTGGTATCCTGGCATTCTGAAAGGTTATGTACACAACTTATGTACATTTGTAAATATGTACATATATTGTTTTTTCACATGTTTGTAAATAGCACTGGGGAAATAAACTGGAGAAACAGTTTTTTTTGACTGGCCATTGGTTTTTTGAGAAGTGTTCCCACAACATCCCTCCTAACATTCTGTGACTAAAACAAATTTTCATTCAAAGCCTTGTCTGTCATAAGGATAATAGCAGCGATCAGATAAGAGTTGCTTTTTCATCATAAAGAGGAGATACGATCCGTCTGGGTGAGAAGGCTAATCTGACGGGCAGAGCCGGCTTCTTATTGCAACCTTTTCTGAACCACAGAGAGCAACACAGCACGATGAGATGACATGTTATGATACTTATAAAGACAATTTAGAAAAAAAAAAGTTGCACATATAAAGGAACTCATGGAACGGTCAGCGACCCCCGCTCCCATCTCTGTGTGGAGTGAGAGGACAAGTGCCCAAAAAAAAATAACAATTGTAAACTGCTTTGTGACTCTGGTCTGTGAAAGGCGGTATATAAATAAAGCTTACTTACTTAAAAAACGTTACTGAAAACAAGTCGTACAAGGATGTGATTTGTCATGGGGGATGGAGAGGGTTGGCGATAACTAGTGCCTCCGCTCAGTTTTATTCCACTCCAGCCCCTGGTCTGTTTTTGCCGAAAGGATGTGAAATCAATAAATCAAGGGCGGCACGGTGGCTGAGTGGATAGCACTCCCGCCTCTCAGCTAGAAGGTCCTGGGTTCGAATCCCGGCCGGACCAGGGCCTTTCTGAGTGGAGTTTGCATGTTCTCCCCGTGTCTGCGTAGGTTTCCTCCGGGTACTCCGGTTTCCCCTACCACTAAAAATATGTACAATAGGTCTGGCATGCGCCTCCTGTTCGGCGACCCCGCTCCCATCTCTGTGTGGAGTGAGAGACAAGTGCCCAAAAAAATAACAATTGTAAACCGCTTTGTGACTCTGGTCTGTGAAAGGCGGTATATGAATAAAGCTTACTTACAATCAATCAGTAACTTTTGTGTATATAGTAAACAAAGCAGTTGAGATGGATGTAGACCAAATCAATTGTGTCCAGGAAGGTGCATGTTCTGTTTGGTAATGCAATGTTTTACTTTTTTTCTTCTATTATTATTATTATTATTATAAACATATGAAGCTGGCAAACATGTATATGTAAATGTGCTACTTTTATCTCTGTGCGGCACTTTGGAGACTATATCAAATGTGCTATATAAAAAAAGTGGATTGGATCGAATTGGTCATGAGTATATTATGCACACTGGGGGTTTAAACATTACCTGCACTGCGATCCAAATGTAGTTTGTGAAAAAAGTAAAATAGTTGAACAGTTTTTCTCTTTTAAAAAAAAAGATCTGGATCCAAACATTTGCAATAAAGAGCATGTAGCAGATCAGGGAAATTACTGTTACTTAATAATTGCAATTTAGGGTGCACTAACTTGCATTTTTCCCCATTACAAAAAAGAGTAGAATAGTTACGTGGAATCTAGAGTCAACACAATAAACATACACATGGTGGATTTATCTCAATGTATACATTATTGATAATATTCAAGCCAAAGGAAATGATCATGAAATGTAACATCATGCACAATTCTAAGACAAACATAAATAAAAAGAATCTTACGTGCGGATATCCTCTCCCAAGAAGCAGCGGTTCCTCAGAAGCCCCGCCCACAGTTGCACCCCCACAATCCCAAAAATGAAAAAGACGAAGAAGCACAAGAGGAGCACATTTCCCAACATGGGCAGAGTGTCCAGCAGCAGAGTCACCAGGATCCGCATACCTGCACACACACACACACACAAATATGACAACACAATTCAGCAGTACACAATAAGGTTCAAATTGGTCATTAGAATATGGATTACAATGTTTAATAACATAATATAGTTACTATTTGATAATTAAATAATATAGTTAGTTCGAGTTTAGACCTGATCTGATTGGATCCTGTTCTAGTATTTTTTTTACATCCCTCTATGCCATCCCAATTCCATCCATCCATCCATTTTCTACCCTTTAATCCATTTCTGGGTCAGGGGGGTGGCAATCAGAGATGCCACCCAAATCTCATAGCACCAGCCCCTCACAGAGATCCTCTGCAGGTGGTGAGTCCACAGGAGCTGAGATCTTCCAGCAGGGGCTTTGGGCAAAGTGGGGTTAAGTGTCTTGCCCAAGGACACAACGACAGCAGCCATCCCAATTGTGTCCCACAATTCTGGTCATCCTAGTTGGCATAATGTTTTCCTGTCATATTTTTAATCAGTATTCACTCATTGAATCCCACATCCCTGACAATGGCTCTGTCTGTCTTGTTATGACAACCTTTATCGATTATCTGAGTTCATGCTCCAGTCAGAGCAGGTCTGATGAAAGCAGTCATGTGTGAGGGGGATATGATCCGCTCTCTGGGGGATGGCGCCCCCAGCTCCGCCCTGGGCACCTCCTTGTATGTGACTGAATGTGTTCGGCTCCACTATGCACTTGTCAGCGGAGGTGAAAGTCGACTCAGGGAGAAATCCCACAAGTGCTATCATGTTGTCTTTGCCTCGACACAAAATCCATTGGAGGTAATTATGGCTTTAAGTGGCTACTCATTGTTTGATCCATTTAATTACCTTATGTCTGCATGAAAAATACAACTATTTTCACATTGACAGGTGGAACAAGTGACAGCTCTGAACATTTATCCTGGTACCCTATGTCACTAAACCTTCAAAATATTACTTTTCATTAATTGTATTGGTTTATAAACAATAATAAAAAACGATTTGCATACATATGAGCTAATTAGATGTAGGATCACTGATGTGAATGAGGAAAAGTCTATTTGAAATGTAAGGCCAGCCCATCAGAAAAGTTACAGTGTTACTTTAATTAATTAAGCATTTACACAGTTCATTAATGTGCACTCTTAATAGACAATTCAAGCATTTCTACTATGTTAAATAGTTATATACAGTGTAAAAAGCATAAACAAAAGCACAGATTGAGTAGTCTATATGAGACAATTTTTTGGAGAGGATTAATATAAGCTTTTTGCACTGTCCCATCTAATTTTCAAACAAATTCAAGGGACATTTAGACCAGGGAAAAATATGAAAGTTAGCTGTGACAAAGCGATATTTTCGTTTAATCGAGAGCACTAATAACACATGTCTTGTTTGCAGAGAACATGTCATCAGATAGCCCCTTAACACATCCTCAAGCAACAAAACAAAACACAGAGAATTGAAACTATGAACAGGATTATGTAAGGCTGTAGATGTGAAAGCAGAGCGCCCTGCTGTCGTGTCGGGGCCTGAGGTTGTCCAGTGCACCGCAGCGAGCCAGTGCTGAGTGGACATGGCGGTGGTGATGCCCAGTGAGAAAAGTGCTGAGCTTTATGACTATGTTTGGACACTGGCACGACTGAAGCGCACGGGCAGAAGACTTCATGCCGCCTAACACGTGAAGCCTCGTGTAAACATGCTTGTTTTCACCAAGGGGAAATCTCAGGGACACAAAAATGATTTCTGTTGAGCAGCATGGATCACAGCTGTACCCCAATATCCACGGCAAACACCACCAGGAATACACTAACATTTAAAGGAGCAGTATGTAAAAATCTGGCCAAAAGTGGTACTGCAATCTCCCTGACTCAGGTTGCCAGATATACAGACGAATCCATCTGGTACCATAATACCTGAATGAAGAGTTTTGTCAAAAAAAAATCTATAACCAACACTTTTTTCACGAAGATAGAAATCCTTGTTTTTTTCCCTTGTTTTGTCATTAATGATTTGAGAATCATAACAACTTGTTTTAGTTCTACAGCCACATGTGACATTAGCTCGACGCGGTGAGTTCTGGCAACCCGGATCACAGACTTTCTGATTGGTAAAACTGTGGAGGGCGGGACATCGAATGAAAATAGTAACAAGATTTAGGGGCTCTAAACAAATTTTGAAATCCAAATATGTACTATCTAACAGAACTACTGTTATCAGTTAAAGAAGTATTTGAAGTATTTGTTTAATGCCTCTTGAATAGGTACTCTGTTAGGACCATTTAATGATGACGACATGAAAACATGAAAAACATGTATACTTTTAAGCATTTCACTTTTCAAGATGGAGTTACTTTTTTTTTCAATACATTTTGTCATGAAGCTAAAAGCGGAAATTCAGAGTGGAAGACCTGAGAACCCAGCTCTGAGCGCTCCGTTCTCCTGCTGTTGCCCACAGCAACAGCAATCATTCAATCACACTCAGCTGCGCAGTGCCTCACGCAAATCCTCACCTGCAGCAATCAGGCACTGCCCGCATCAGCTTCATATCGCGCAGAAGCTCCATCCAAGCAGCAGCTTCATTCATGCTACAACCCTCCTCCTCCCCATCTCCGCCTTGTTCTAGGCCAGCTCCTTCATCCTTCTCCTAGCTACCACCACCAAGGTCTAGGCCCCGGGGGATTTCATCTCATAATCTCTTTCCCTTTCTGCAATCGTGCAGTGCCGGGGTCTAAGCGCCAAATCCCAACCACATTCTGTTCAGGACAATAAATGTAATCTTGAAAATATTGTCTTTAGTGTCATATGTGTAATTCATGCAGTGTCAGATTACCTGCCAATCAATATACAATTCTAATACCATGTTTTGCCTGTTCGAGTCTCTCTAGATTGAATTGTTGTTGACATGTTGTGAACTAATGCTTTCTTTATTGTAACATTTGATCCTTTTCTTTCCCGAGAGAGCTGAGTGAGAGCTTCCACAATTCTGGTCATCTGTTTAATTATAATTCTCAGTCCTATTCCAAATCATCATTCCATCCTTGAATCCTAATCATTGTTATGTCAACTGTAAAAGCTCGTCTAAAGATGTGACAAAGGCTGAAAATACATGCATGTAAAAAACTAGTGATTGAACCAAACACTGAGAGCCAGGAACTAGTTACATGTATTGAATCACATTATGTTTTGTGGATTGAAAGTTTGGTACTCCAGCTTTAAAAAACAAAACAAAAAGTAAACAATTGTTCAAAATATGACCAATATTTATGCAAATTTCTGCAGGTGGCCCCTAACCTGCACCACTCCATGGAAATAAAAAATGAATACTTTATAAAGGAGATTTTCTTGGAGATTAATGTTTTCTGCCATGAATGCGGAAAAGCAGGTGGCAAGAGGATCAAAAATAAAAACATGTTCACTGAGAAATAGCTGGGAGCACTCTGTCAAAGTCAGTGGAAGTAAATGTATACCTACTGGCAGAGCAAACAGCCTGGCAGCTGGCCAAATGTATTCTGGTTAATCATATTGTGCTCTGTTATGACACTATTGTCTAGTGATTGTGTTTAGCTGCAGATTCATCGCCACCTCTGTCACGGGGCTTTTAGTGGAATGATAAACTGTCTGCAAAGGCTCGCTTAGCACCTGCACATTCTGGACCGGACCCAGTTCACTGCACTGCTCTCAAGTCTGTGTGGGGCGTGAACAAAAAACACCAACGCTCCTGCTGTTTACAGATGTGTCTAATATTATAAGACAGATTTTGACAGGATATCTCTTGTGCAGCTCTCACAGGAAACCTAATAGTGTGGCAGATTTATGGCAGATTTATGGCAGATGGCAAAAACTCACGCAAAAGCCAAAATAAATCTGGATTTGACGTTTACTTACTGATGAGTTGTAAAGCGGAGGATTGTCTTTGTTCTTTCAGCATCACTTTATAACTCCCTTTGTATATTATTCTTTTACCTTTCACATTCACTTTGATGTAGTGACACAAAGGCTTCAACTCTATCGTTAAAGATCCACTGTGTGAAGGTTTTTGTTACTTATTCCATTGTGAAGTCAAACAGGGACGAGGATTTGAACACTGCACAGCTCCTAAATATTAAATTTATTATTTGTGTGCTTTTTATCCTTTGAATTACATTAACACTTCAAACATCCACACTAAGATATTAAATCACACCAAATTACTCTTTTAATTACAGTTTCCATACAAGTTAATATCAGAAACGTCCATGTAGCTCTGCCACTTTTGTCTAAAAGTTCCTGTCTCAGTCCTGTAATATTATGACATCACACACTTACTTAAACAACAGACAATTCTGTGAGATAATGATGTTACCAAAGTTTATCTGCCTTTTATCCTGACTTGTGCCTGTTTGGAAATCTTGTGAAAATTGATAACCCTATAAAGAAAGATCAAGCTAATTCTTGGAAATGTCACCATCTGTTGCAATAAAATGCATTACTGTCACATGAAAGTCAGACCCCCCCTTTTTCTAACGGGATGGTATTCAGAAGTGAATAACTCTGTAAAAATGTCTGAAACATCAATGACGTACAGCTTGAGAAAGGTTTATGACAACTTTGTTAAAATAGGTGAACGATAAGTGAATCTTAGACAAATCGACTTTACCATATCCATTAAGCATATAATAGTAATACAAGTCTTAATAATATATAGTATAATATAGTATAATAGTATATACAAAGTTTTCATATTATTCATGTATACATTTTTTGGTGTGTGGGTGTTTGTTCTTTGACAATGACAAAATTCCACTGATGAAAGCACATCCATGATTTTGAGATTGTGTTCAAATAACCCCCCCGGTCACTGCAGTCCGAGAGCCTTGTCATCCGCATAAGACCTTTATAAAAATAACATGATGTGGGCGCGTCACTGCAAAAACTATAAATACATGAACTTACTTGGCACTCTGTTGATGGCGCGCAGTGGTCTGAGCACCCGCACCGTCCTGATGGCGGACAGACTGGCGTTGTGTCCGTCCAAGGAGTACTCCATCACCCTGTGCACACGAGACACACCACAACTTTACTGTACCTTCCACAATAAACTGGATTCATAGACTATTCATTCAGTCCCTGTTCAAACCATGTTCAGGTCAGTTTGGATTTTTATTATTTTATTCTATTTCTCTATGAATAGTTGTTTCTGTATTACACAAACACACACACACAACTAGCTGACACTAACTGGCCACTGCACGCCAACGGAGTGCCAAGTAAGTCCTCCGAGATGCATGTGTATGTGTGTGTGTGCGTACACTCACACACACATGCACCCGCAGGCACACACACACACAAACACACACACACGCACGGGACATTATAATCAGGGGCCCACACACAGGCGAACCATGGAAAAGCATAGTCGTTCAAACGTCCATTTACTTAAACGTTAAACTGATTTGAAGACTCTAGAGAAAGCAATTAAGTCAGTAATCAGAAACTTCATTAATGGCCGCACAAGGACTTTGGAATTTATCGTTAATATCAACTCTTTCAGATGGACAAACATATAACAACACAGCTTTTAAAAAACCTCAAATAAAACTTTGATTATTTAAGTCATAGTCATAAAAATTATATATACCAAAATATATTAGTCCCATACGAACCAGCCCGGATTCTGAGGAGCGCAGGGACTGGACTCCTGTTAGTGCCCAGAGTCAGGACTAAACTTGGGGAGGCAGCTTTTCAGATTCATGCTGCTAAAATCTGGAACAGTCTTCCTGAAGATGTGAGACAGGCCTCCTCTCTGACACAGCTAAAGTTCTGTTTAGCTGTGCATACAACTGAGGGATTTTATATTTTTATCTTTCTTTAAAATGTTTTCTGTGATTATTTATGATTTAAATGCTTTCTTATTTTGTTCAGCACTTTGAATTGCCTTGTGTATGAATTGTGCTATATAAATAAACTTACCTTGCCTTGCCTTGCCTATCAAAGGGTTGGCTTCTGGGAGTGGATAGCACCCCTGCTTCTCAACATGAAGCTCCTGGGTTTGCCTTCTCTGGGAGTTTGAATGCTCTCCCTGTGTCTGCGTAGCTTTACCCCATCACTAAAACCATGCACAATATGTACTTTGTCCAGCTCTGGTAAGCCTGACCAATCTGAGCCTTGCAGGATGGGTCAAATGCAGAGGGCAAAGTTACCAACGGGCATAAATAAAAGTGCACATTTACATATACTGTACATTAACTGTATGTCTCTCTGCATCTTTGACTCTATATCATGGATTGGATTCAGATTGAAGAAGTTGAAATACAGAAATAATTTGACTTTTGAACAATGTTTTAATTTTTTGAGTTTCACCCGTAATATGCATGTGAATCAATAATAATAATAATAATAATATTGTAACAATATCCGTGAGAACATGTCCATGAAGTTAATCTATTCATGAATTGTGACTTTTGCATAATTAAAAATAATTTAGGACTAATTTGTGTTATCTAATTTTGATAAGCTCTTGAACAGCCTTTTTAAGTAATCTTATTAGTACAGACAATCTGCTCGGTAATGTAATTATGCTTCAGGCTGCGTTCACATTCTAGAATTGCATCATTTATTCTCTATTTTCTTTCCCATACAGTATATTGGAGGGAGTCAGAGAAGTTTGTGAGGGATTAGATGCACTTTCCATAAAAATCACATTTGGTGATGACCGAAATGTATTGAACCAGGTTTTATGTTATTCCATAAACATAGGATCCTGATCTCAGCATGCCGGATAAAAATAATATAAAAAAGCTTGATCAAGGCTTTTTCAAAACATAATTCGAAACTAAATTCAATCATTTCTGGAGGTGCCTCGTGTGCTTCTCACTACTCGTAAAGGCTGAAGCTGTAATTGCTTTCCAACGCTCAAGGCATTGCCACTTTTCTTGAAATGTCACTTGCGTATCAGTATCTGATACCATATCTGTATTCAGCTACCAAGCGTAATATCCAGGATTCTCCTCATGAAGGATATGAGGATCCAGAATACTGCCATAAGCGACTTTAAGGCTCATAACCAAGATGAAACTGACGGTGGACTCACTCCTTCACTGAATCCAAAAGATCAGTGACTGGCTGCAAAACAACTTCCACCAACAAAACTGGATGGAAATATTGTCTGTCTGTCTAAAATCCTCAAATCAGCTCTGAAATCTAGTGGTAATAATGGACTCAATACTTGTATTAACAGCCTTAACAAATCAGTGACATCAGTAGCTTTTTACCATCAGAATAAGAAACATAGTGTCTAAGGCAGACTTGGAGATTCTTAACCTGCCTTTGTTTGTTAGACTGCTGTAACGGGCTAATCACTGGTTACTCCAAACAAGTTGAAAAAATAGAGACCTGACAAGAACCAGGAAGTACAATCGCATTAGTCCAGTTCTCAGGTCTCTGCACTGGCCTCCTGTGGCTCCGAAAATAAGACTCTGCTTGTGTCTCTCCATGGCCTCGCACCAAAGTACATCTGAGACATGTTGGTACCATATGACCCAACTCAGACTCTGAGGAGCACAGGGACTGGACTCCTGCTGGTGCCAACGGTCAGGACTAAACATGGGATGTCAGCATTTCAGATTCATGCAATTCAAATCTGGAATAGTCTCCCTGAAAAGTTGAGACAGGCTGTCCAGAATAGATTAAAACAGATTTATTTAGCTGCACATACTGAAGTTGTATGAATTTTTTTCTTTTCAAATTTATTATCATTAAGTTTTGTAATTTTAATGTTTCCTCTCCCAACTGATCACAGAGAAGGGTAAACATAAACCAGAAATAAACCAAATGTTCTCCTCTACAACTGCACTGCACATTTTTGTCTCATCTCTGACTTTCAAAACAACACATCTCTACAATCTGTGTGCCTTATAATTGAATCGATCTATTCTTACGTGCAGTCGCTTCATTTTGACTTCGAGGCGTTTAAAGAGCAGGCCTCGTATACATATTTAGTCTTGCGCCTTCAAATATTTTAAACAGAAACGATAACAGTACGAACATTTTGTACCGTGCGATACCAGCAGCTGTATCTCGTTTTACCTTATATGGTGCAAACATGGAACGGGAGAGGACATTTCTATTTAAAATGGCAGGACATTGTAAGGGCACACAGAATGGATTGCTCCAAGTTAGGCCAAGGAAAGTGACCCACTGGAAGCAAGTGTGGGCCTTACCTAAACACGAAAAGTAACACCGTTATTTTATCGTTTGCTTGACGATAACGAAATGGGAAATGTGTTTTTGTAATTTTGGTGGGATACTATATAGTTTGGTATTACATTACTCACACCACTATATAAGATTGTAGCTTGTAACGTCTAGTTTAAACAATGATAGACGTTGTGTTTAATATTTTTTTGGACACATTCATTGAAAACATGGACGGACACTCACCCCGCCATGACGATAACAAAATCCAGCTGGTTCCACTTGTCGCCAAGGTAACAGTTGGGCCCAAAAATCCCCAGCGCCACCATCTTGATGACCATCTCCACGGCGAAGAACGCAAAGATGCAGTCGTCCAACACCTACCGAGGCACAAGATCCAGTAACTATTGAGTCATGACACGTTAACGCAACAAAATATACACAACAAACTTTTCCAAATAATCAAATTTCAATATTTTTTTAATCAGTGAGACTTTACATGTGATTTCAAATAATAAAGTCTGTACGTGTATAAATGAGATTCATTATGTCAAATTTGCCTTTTGCAGATTACAGATTACAGATGTGTGTTCTGGGCCAGTGAGTCCTCTTCAGTTTGTATAGATATAGAGTAAAGATTGTAATATCCCTCTGTGCTGCATCCAAATACTATATTTCTGCAAAAACACAAGAGGACTGAGTGTATACGGGGATCAGAAAGAAATAATACAGGGTAAACCTGAGAAGTCAGGTGTTCTTCGAGGATCCGTGGGAAAATAATGTAGAAAGTATAAAAGAAAAGGGAAAAATGTAACCTCAGGTTGGAGGTAGAGGTTAGGTTTGCCCATGACAGTGATGATCTGAGACATTTAGGACATGTATTAACATTTTTGGACTTTGTAACAGTTCAATTCTCTGATCTGTGTTTGAGGAATCGACAACTTGGTAAAACACTCCAAGATGACAGCTGTGGTTTGAGCTTGTGTTTCACAGCAAGACAGGTGGGTTCGATTCCTTCTCCAGGCCTTTCTGTGTGGACTTTGCATGTTATCCCAGCGTCTGCATGGGTTTCCTCTGCGCGCTCCGGTTTCCCCTACCACTAATAACATGTATAATAGGTCTGAATGTAATCAGTGAGTAAATGGATGGCATCACTGTGTAGAAAGAATGGAAAAACATCTGAACTCTGGACACTGTAAAGTGTTTTGGGTGACCTTTGTCTGTAAAATGCACTATATATATGACTTACCAATACATTTAAAAACAAAAATCTCTGGCAGACATGAAATATTTGTGACTCAACATGTCTCATCAAGCAGACAAGTAGCAAAAACCCCCTCACCGTACGCGACCACCCTGACATTTTGGATCCTTATTAAGTCTCCTGTTTGTGCGTTTTGAGAGCAGAGCTGCGTACGTCCCAGTGGGGGAGAGCTCTGGCTCCGAGTGGGTTTGTCTGCGTCTCAATTAGCCGGAGCTGGTGCATAGTGGAGCCGCGGTATGTATGTGAGCGTAATTAGCCCATCGCAGTTTCCCAGAATCAACACAGCACTGCAGCGCGAGCAGACTGCACCAGACGAGACACGCCGCTCACTTTTAATTACAGCTGTATTTACATGTTGCCACATTACAGGGAAATCCGTGGAAAGTGTTCAGTGGGTAATAGTCTTTTATTGTAAATCAAATGTTTGGCGGGAAAAGGAGGCGTGTTGTGCCTTTTTATACTGCCTGGTTGTGATCAAAGATGTAAGCTGATTATTAAACTATTTTAAAAGGTAAATATGGATCTCAATAAGATTATGCATTATTTTCGGCCATTAAGATTGATAATGAAACTATTCTCTCTGTCACTTCATGTTTTAGAATGTGAAAAAAAAAACAATCTTCAGCAGACTATCAAGAGTAGAGTTATCGGCCTGCCCTCTCCCGATTCTGCCACCACAGAGAGTGGTAGATGTGGTCCCTCTCTACAGTGTAGAGCACTTTTAGCATTTTGTGCTCATTGACTGCCAACCGTTTTTGATGATTTCACTGACTTTCAAGACCCACAGAATATTTTTTACTATGACTTAAGTGAAATATAAAACCCGATTCTGAAAGATTGAACCGCCTACTTTTATCAGCAATATTTTGGATTCTAGCTAGTTGTGTTCTCCTGTAATCCCCAGTCGAATAGAGGGAAGTTTTACAGAAATCACCAGTCTCAGCCAAATACGTCAATGGCAGTCAATGAGTTAAATTTTGTGTAATTTTTTTCACGCTTGCTTCTAATGTATAAAACAGCTAGTAAAGCATGACAGTTTCCTTATTTAAAGTCATAGGAAAACGTTTTAGGGCTTTTGTGTAAGTTCAGAGGAATATAGCAGTCTGTTCTTATTCCTCAGTCCTGCTCCGGCTTCTCAGCGCGGTTTCCTCTGCAGCAGTATTTTACAGTGTATGCATGGCTTTTGACAGCTGCAGCAGCGCTCAGACCTACAACAAATAGGTTTGATATCTCCGCGTTTGGACTTCAGCAGTTGTGAGCTCAGGTGGTAAGAAAAGTGTATAAAGTGTGTGTGAGGGGTTTTACAGCTTTCAAATAATAGCTGCGATCTTGCTGATTTTTACTTAGTGCAGGTTATTTTTAGAGCGTAACCCTGTAAAGAAGGACGGGTCCAAACATGCAAATTTATTTTTCCTTATTTGTTAATGTGTTATTTGATCTAATATTAATTCAAATTGTGTTTGCATTAAGTAGATTGATCAAATATAATGTATACATTGTAAACATTATCATATCATCATTTTGTAGCTCCTTGGTGGCCCAGACCCCCGCTTTGGGAACCGTTGGCCATTCACATTATGGAATAGCTCAGACAGGACTAACCACTATTCGTGTCAGAGAATGCACATACAATGTATTTACTTGCTCAATTGCATTATAAACTTTCGGGGGCAAAATACAAACTATCTTGAAATGTTTTCATACGCGGGATCCAAGTGGTACGTCATAAGAACAGCTTGCGTTAGATGTTTTAGAGATAAAAGAGAAGATCAGTGGAGGGATGCTGATGTGAGAGCTGCCAGGATGCCTTGGGGGAGACTGAAGACGTATATACTGCACCGAAAGAGGCCAAAGTCTCAGCTCGGGTGAAAAGAACGGCATTGTGGGGGAATGAGTTTGAGAGATCCGGGACAACAATCTTTATTGGGCACTATGCAGGTTTGCCGGTGGATCTTTATCCTGTGTTTTGTCTGGAAAGTTTCACAAATAGTGTGAAATTTAACTTTGAAGACAAGCAAGTGACAAATATTTCTCAAGGCCTGATTTGTGCCGTCTTAAAAATACAACTCAACTTGCTGCAATCTGATGGTTTCAATATTCTACACACATTCTAAATATTTCAATTGTTCACGGCAAAACTTTTTTACTGCTTTCACAACCCAAAGCAAAATTTGTCCGAAGTAACAACTTAAATCCCTTATGCAGGGTTTGATTGATTTAGAAAGAGAGTAGAAGAGAACTACTAAAGGTTTCAAAATCAATTGTTTCTTTTTTGTCTGATCCCCCCAAATTGAGAAAAGCCCATAGCTTTTCTCATGGGCTTTGAAAAGTAGCAGACATTCCCCTTCATTTTGAAATTATAATGAATTACCAGGTTTATTTTTGTATTTGAATATGTCACTGCATTGCTTGATACTCAAAGGAAAGATGGATTTGAATGTATAATAAATATGAATAGATGTAATAATATGGTACTATATAGTATTCTTTTTCTTTTTCTTCCTAAATTCTGTATTGAATAAATAAAGGTGTGTTCAGTTCTGATTTTAGGCTGTTCTAGCCTGGTCGTACCACACCATAGTACACATTACATTTAATACTAAGGTCTGGAGGTGCTCCATTAAGCTCCGTTTACAGGTGGGAGGGGTTAACTACTTTTGCAGATTAAAACGATTGGATCTGAATTTATCGTCACGTATCAAATGCGCCTGAGTGAGTCGTTAGCATTTAGCATTTAGCCAAGCATCTCCTTTACCGCTAAAGGAGCCTGGGGAGTAGCGGCACATTTTTGCCAGCAATTACATTTGCAAAACATTCTTCTTGCTCCGGCTTCAAATTCTTGATAGAACCAGACCGGATTACTTTACTATCGCATTCTTCGCCATTGCCAAACTACAACCTGCTTGTTGGACACAAACTCTTGACGTCACCCACATCTAAACAACATCCGCCTTCTGCGCTCTCTGATTGGTCGGTAGAAATTCAAGCGATTGTAATCGCTAAACACAGGGACCAGACCCAGACGTTACCTGCAGGAAAATGATGATTGACCGGAGTGCACGGATGGCTAAGGCTGTTCTAGTCCAATACACTTTATTTATGTCAGTCATCTCCATTCTTTCATCTCCTCACTCTTTTTCTACTTTATTAATTTAGCACATTATAGAGAGTTTCCAAGGTGCCGAACAATGCAACACATTTAAACACACAAGTCTGCCAGCTCTGTATGTAAAAGCAAATAAAATATTGAAGAGATAGATTCAAACCAGAAGTATTTAAAGAGATGAAAGATATGCCCTCAATACAAAGAGAGTCTAGTCTTGTTTTGTGTATGTTTGTATACAATTTGGTCACTAGTCCTTGGCTTTAAAATAATATGTATCAATCACTGGTAGATAGATGTACTTGGTCTAGGTCTTGGTTTTGGTCCTCACCCTGGTCCTGGACGAGGACGAGGACAAAATACTGGTACTTAATTATACAAATAGAGCATAATTTGAATCTGTTCTTGATTATTTCATGGTGAAAATCATGATAAACACGGCATAAAGAATGACTGACCTGTAATATTCGGCACCACTCGGACTGGCAGGAGACGTCTTCGCAGGGCTGGAACATCCCCAGAGTGACGCAGTTGAGAAGGATCACCACCATGGACACGTGCTCGAACCATGTGCGGAGGAGTTAAGGCCAAAAACATGAGACTTTCAGCAGACAAGCAAAACAGAAGGTAATCATGGCAAAGAAAACAAAAAATACATTTAGATATTTATTCATCACATTTATGGTAGTCCAGGGCCTTTCTAAAGTGAAGTAAGTATGTTCTCCCCGTGTCTGCGTAGGTTTCCTCCGGGTGCTCCAATTTCCCTATACAGTATATCAGAGATGTCGAAATCAAATACATCAGAGGCCAAAAGAAAATTTGCTGAGGGCCGGACTGGTTCAATGTTTATAAAAAAATATTAAAATGATTGCATACGACCTATAGAACCAAGACCTAACATAGTGTACTGTATTTTATGTAATGATTATATGAATAACCCAATATTTTTATAATGCTTTATCAGAAATTTCAAGTGAAAACGTTTTTCAACAGACTCACAGACAACAATAAACGTCCTTCAAAGAGAAAACACAAGTCTTGAACATTAAATTAATAATCTAATATTTTCTTAGGTGCAGGCCGGTTCAAATACTAATAAAATATCATCCCGGGGGCCAGGATAATTCATTCACGGGCTTTGACCTTGACCCTGGGCCTTGACTTTGACACCAATGCTATATGTATATTGACCAACGCCTCTTGTGTTAGTTCCTGCATTCCCTGTGTTCAAACTGTTTGATTCTCTGATCTGCTGTTGGCAATTCAACAACTTTATAACCTTTTCTGAGACAACTGCTGCTGTGGTTTAGGACTGTACAAAAAATAATTGGATTGAATTGAAATTGAATGATAAAAACGTCCGTCCATCATACTGTAAGTGCTTTAAGTGATACAAAATGTTGGACGATGGAGAGGAAGTTCAGACCAGGGCTAATAGACGACAGATGACGTGCTGGGATGCAAATCGGATCACTGGCCTTTGATAATTGCGGGACAAATTCTGATCAATGGGCGAGGACTATGTGGTGTAAACAAGATGCTTGACATAACCAAGCTTGTATTAAAGCTGGGATACCTAACTTTGAAGCCACAAACAATGGAAGTATGTCATAAAATCCACATAATTTGTTCCTCTCTCTCAAATCATCTTGGTTCTATATAGTTTTCACAATCACATGCATGTATTCTGTGTAAAAGAGAAGGATGTTTTAAATAATGTACAAAAAGCAGATGCCAAATAAATACATTATAGAACAAGCTGACAAACACATAACTAGCTGGAAAACATCAAGATTGAACCATGTTTTTAGTAACCTCACTAGAATATTATAATCTTCCAGCCACTTTCTCTTGGGTCGTTCTATCCTTCGTCCTATTTCAGTTCAAAAAGTAATCTGCAAAGGGCATGATGCAAACTTAAATTTCCCCTCAAGATCGTAATCCTATCTGGAGACACAGTTAGGAAAATGTAATTCTAACATTTCTACTATCGGGCAGTTCTGTTATGTTGGATGATCAGGTGTGTATTGAAAGTCTGGGCAGATACAAATCAGCAGGTTTCCATTAGTCGCCTTGTTTTTCTCAAAATAGGCAAAATCAAGCCCAATCACTAGCAATCAAGAAGAGCGAGAATAAAAAATTAAAAGCTGGGGTGCCTAACTTTCCAACCACAAACAATAAAACTGTGTTATTAAAAAAAAAAAAAAAAAAAAAAAAAATTCTAGCAAAACAAAACAGTTCTATATAGTCCTATAGTTTTCATACACTTGGCTCATGGATATATGATGATGTATATGTTGTTGCTGAGCATGCAAAATTGCACACAAGGAGGTACGAAAGATGAACCGCATTATAGAGAGGGGTATAGGGTATAGGAAAAAATGGTAAATAATCACAATTGTTGTATTTAGTTGAATTGATAGAAAACATCACTCAATGCAATGCTATATTGCGTTCTTAGGCCTGTAGCAAGTAAATTAGAAAGACAATTATTTTTTTCATTTGCATGTGAATGTTAGCAACCAACCTAGCAAATTAGCTTCTGCCACCCCAAAGTGGAGTCTGAAATTGTTGGGTTTGCTAGTGTTAATGAAATTAAGATATTGAAAATGCCAAAAAATACTGCAGATTATATCCTACCCGTGATTTGTTTCTTAATAAAAAGCATACAATCATAAGTAAAAAAGGTTATAATAAGTCGTATTTAGGCGTGTTGAACCCTCTACAGCTCCAACTTAATCCATTTTACATAAAGATAGCAAACCTCCCTCCACTATTGTAAAAAGTGGAGGGTAAATATTTACAGACAGTAAATATTTAGCTCCAAATCTGTTATTGAACAAGTCGATCTTAATAATTATCATGACAGGCCGACGCAGACCTGTGGTTTAAGAACTACATACTGGAGAGAAAGTATCATTTTAAAAACAATATCTATATCTTAGATTGCCCTAAAGTGGAAAGGCCAGAGCCCAGAAGAGAACCATGCACCCAAAGCAATAACAAGTTTCAACAAAAAATGACTGCAAACCACCACACAGCATTATTCTCAAAAGTCCAACATACAATACATGCAATGCAATTAGAGGATTTGAATTAGTAATGTGCAATAATGGAAAAAATATGTCATCAATAAAAGTTTAAACTGCTATTGATGATAAGCATTTGTGGGGGTTTTAATCTTGAGTAGAAAAAGCTTATGTCATTATAGTTTGGAAAAATGATAACAGATACACTTACAGTACAAGTATTTAGGAGCAGGCCTCAAAAATATCTCATTCAATAGAGATTACATGCAAGTTTAACATGCTACAAATATATATAATTTAATAATAATGGTTTGACTACATATAGATTCCGGCTTGGCTTCAGTCTCATTTCATTAGAATACATTGGCATTCTAAACGGGAGCGCATTAGTAGTCAGAGTTGAATTTAATTTTAGCAATTATACAATAGGACATTAAAAATTAGACAGGATTAATATATTAAACAAGGGAGCTCATGTTGAAGGGAATACATCAAACCAGAAAATGTTTTTTTAATTGTGTGCAGTTTTTTAACATAACATTAACAGAGTGTAAAACAATGGCCAAGAATATTTAAAGCTGGGGTGCCTGACTTTCAGATCACAATTTTTTTTATTATGATAAGAATAATAATGAAAATAAAATCAAAATGAATCAATAGAAAATAAATAAAGATAATATTCAAGCAAATGACTGAACTTTTCGTGAAGAATTGTCCGTATTGTTGGGAAAAAAATGAAAAAAATGCATCAACAAAAAATATTCTTCTTAAAGACACACTCTACCTAAACTAAACCGATCTATAGCTAACACAAGTGCATAAGGACCTGCCCTCCTCAGCGCCCTCGTATTTTTCATTCAGTGCGGCTCTCTCATCCGACAGTGGATTTCCTACGACTTGGCTGCCACTACTCGCACCTACGTCAGCACACTTAATTAACTCAACCTGACAAGTCTGCAAAGTTTTTCAAATGCCACGTCTTTTTTCATTGCCCCGACAAAGAGGGGAGTGAGGAGCCGGCTTTAGGCACACTCCATTCCCCCATCATGCACTGTGGTGTATGTGCAGGGCCGTATCCAGAGGAAGGCTACAGGGAGATATATGGAGGAGGCTAAAACATTATTAAGAGTCTTGAGTGAGTGCATATGAATAATCATTTTCCAATTATGTAACCCAATAAAGCCATAGTTTGCGGTGGAAATAGGGGAGCTATGTAACATAGAATTATAGAGAAACTCAAAATTCAGGTTTATATTTTTCAACATATTGTCAAAGTACTTCTGATATATTATGTATCTATGCCACGCATTATTTTACATTTGTGGAGTTTTGGCCAAACGTCCCAAGTGCTATGTCTAAAAACAGAAATACAATAAACATAGTGTACTTAAACAGATATCATTCCTCAGATATCATTTTAGCAAACTATTTAATGTACGGTATGTGGTGAATTTTATGTTGTCACTGTTGGAGAAAAGGAAACACTGTTCCATCAGCTCAATGGCCCTCTAATACAATTGCATGCTACTATCTAATGTCCGGTCCTGGGGCACGTCCAGTTCTGGCCCGAAGACGAGTGCTGAACGGGGAATAATTTTCATAATACAAGAGTCACCTATATCTCAGGAAATAAATCATATAAAGGATTTGTGACGTACTTTTGTATGAATGGAGTTAATTACATAAAAAGTACTAGGTCAGATAAATGGATGACTTGAGCTATTCTTGAGCTAATCATATTTCTTTAGAAGTCACAGATGTCTGGAATTCCTCTCTAACACGTTGGGTCCCTTTGAACAGTATCAGTCTGGGGCCCCTTCAAATACAGAGCTTTCTACATATGCTTTCTCAGAGACAGAGCTGGGCTGTTAATGTCCTTATAATCTGTGTGATTACACTACTTAAGGCCATCACATGGGGATCGTTACATGCTGTTTTACTAACCCATAACGGATTTCTCTCTTCCTATACATAAACAGAGATTGTATGTTATGAGCATGTTTTATGACTGCTATGACATAGTGTGAGAAAAACAGATACTGGCCTGTGGGCGGTACACTGCAAAAAAGAGGATCTGCATTGTTTGTACAGGAATAGGTATAGGAATATGAACTAGGTCTGCAGATATCAAGATAGTAAAATTGTTATCAAAAATTATTTTTATAATAGCATAATTTGATTAACTCAATTCATAATTTTATTTCAGAGCTCTAGTGTCATGGTGTATATTTTGTGTTGTTTATATTGACTTCAGCTCTCCTGTGTTTTAGTTTGATTTCCTGTCCCATTCCCCTGATGATGGTCTGCCCCGCCCTAATGTGTTTCACATGTGTGTCTGTGTCTATTTGTACGTGCTCCTCTCAACTTGTTGCTGGTCCATTGTCTTTGTCTATCGTTTCTGGTTTCAATTAGCCTGGCCATAGCCATCCGTACCCTCTGCTCAATCATTATTTCCCTGCATGTAACGTCTGGGTCTGGTCCCTGGGTTAGCGATTACAATTGGTTGAATTTCGACCGACAGT